TTTTTTATATATATATATAAAGTAAGAATAATGCCTTTATACTTGGCAAATAACAGATACAACTAATTATTTTATTTTTATTTTATTTTGTAGAATTTTTGCTATAAGTTTATATGCAACATCCAAATGAAACTTCTACAAATCATGCAAATAGGTTAATTATTCAGAGGTCCATTTGTCAAAGGGACCCACTGTAGGTTTTTATCAATATAGACAATTAAATTATGGTTGTAGTCTTTTTTGTACTTTCTATTATGACAATTTTATAAATGAACAAACATTTAAATTTAAGTGCTTTGCCACAATATTTGTTAATCCACATTAATACCGAAAATAATTGTAAGATGTAAACAGTAGTTAGTTGGTCAATATTGCTCTGATGGAATAGTGCAATTTAACATTTTTCTATTTATTTAATATGCAAAAAAAATTCAAAACTTAGATAATACTTTAAGTCATGCGCATTCCAAGGACAAATTTTTCTCACCTAATTTCACTTGACCAAAGTTAGATCTGCTAATTGTGTGTCAAATATGCATGTGTATATTATACACCACTGAAAACATCCTGAAATTCCTAGAGATACAAATTATTTTTTAATTATAATAATAGTATTATTATTCTTGTAAGTAGCCTATGACATTGTTTTGAAGGTAAAATAAACTGTTTTCATTCTTAAATTTATTGACTTAATTTTTGCTGTTAGTTGAAGTTAAATATCAATTTGGACTAGGTTAGGTATTATCCTTATACATGTACTTTTTTTATAATTTCTATTGCAATTGTATACATTACCCTTAATTATAAATCTTTAATATACAATTGTAAAAATGATAAAATTTTTCAGTATTTATTAACATTGAAATAAAAAATATAAAAAAACTTGGTCGAAGTCAAAAACTGTTAAAAACCTATAATCGGTTATTTCGAAGGAAAATATAATCTTATGTTTATTACACATCCAATGTATATAAAATGATAAAAATAAAAATAATTAAAAAATAATAGTAAAAATCATATTTATTATTATCAAGAAAATAAACACAATCCACGCAATTCTCTTATGCTGAGAATCAAATGTAGTAGTATATCGAGTATACGTCACAGAATGAAGAAGCAAGCAAAGGAAAGTCAAGAACTGTATTCAGTAGCGGCGCAGACTTTGCGCTAAATAAACGTAGGTGGTTTACTTTGTTGACGCGTGTTGTTATAATAAGGTAAATTCGATTTGTAGAATGTAACACGCATCAGTAATATTTTCTTATTAAGGAGAAAACGAAACGTCCAAGTAAAGGAAGTGAGTAAAAATATGTATTTACATCTCGCGAACGTATATTTCATTTGACTATTTCCAACCAAAAATTCTTTTCGAAACACAACAATCATATGTACAAAATGCTATTGTAGTAACACTAAGGCCATTGTATATGCTAGATTAAAGTATTCTTAACCCTTGAGTTGAAAATATCACTAATAAAATAGACGTCTTGTTATTAAACAATCTTCGAATAACTTTTGCTTGTCGCGTATACATTATATCTTATAAAATAAGTTGTATATTGAAAAATGGTAAGAAGTGACAGAAAAATTAGATACGCATTATCGTCTAACAAGTATGATGTGTTTTCCACGAAATTATTTAATAAGTACATGATCTAGAAACGAAAGATTAATTTTTATACTGCTATAAGAATTATGCGGCCTCTATTAGAGAAAATTACTTTCGACAAACATGAGACACTACAAATTGTCTGTTGTATAGTTATTCTTACACGCATTCCATCAAATTGAAAGGGACAGTGGAACATCATGTTAAACATTACATATTACGTGTTGTCTCCAATTGACTGTTCTCAGCTTCTCTGTATCGATAACGTCTTCGCATGGCATCGTTTAATATGACCATTAACCTGTCTGTGTTACACAACTAGAAGGCATTCATTTGAAATTATTAAACAGCGATTTACGATTATTAACGTAATAGAAATCATTAATTTTTCATGACGACGATATTTATTTGTATGAAAATATTTACTGAAATATATAAAAAATTATTTTGTAGTGTAATATTTTTTATGTAGGCTGCGTTGTGACTTCATAATAATAGTTTGACTAGTTGACCGTTCATTGCATAACTTGTTTCAATTGTTCTTGATGAAGCTTCATATTTCATTTTAAGAATTGTTAATAATTTATATTTTTATTGTATAACCATTTCACATTTTTTGTAAACATTATACATTTGTTTGAAGATATAAATTAAAATAATAGTATAATAATAGTTAAGAAGTTAAGTTTTAGATTATTAATTATGAGATGCACAAGTAATTAATTATTTATTAAATTTCTTAAAATTATAATTTTACTATCTTTTCGTATAGGATGCTTATCTTGTCATTTCGCTCATATAAATTTGCTAAATCCTTCAAGGTAGTAGGATATGACGGTTCGTTTACCTTCGTCGTAGGTTGTTTTACGACACAGTGTGTACACATCCGTATCTATCAAGTAGAATTGAGGATTATAGTGTTAAATTTGCCGTTCGAGCATCACTTAACATCTTTCTTTCCTTTGTAGTGGCGAAAATTATGAAATATACAACCTTTTATTCTCTTTTTATATCGAATATTTTCAAATCAATTGTACACCATAAACCATTACGAAATTGTAAAATCATAGTTTACACTGATAACACGTAGAATCTGAGAAAGCTTATGGAACTGATAAAAGTATAATAAATGTCATGGTGCAATTATCTTAAATTATTGCAGGTTTAATGTATTTCCTGGAAAAAATTTCCCAATTAAAAATAACACATATACATATATAAAAATAACCAAAAATTTGTTGCTTTTCTTTATTTATTCGGATATAGTATTTTTATGTTAGGTAGATTATGTAAGATTATACAAGTAATAATCCCTAATGTCGATATGGTAAACCTTAGAATTTTCTGCTGAATAATCATGACGAATAGAGTTCTATTCGTTTGCTAACCTTACCTGAGTTACCTGAGTTAGAGATCGGTTTTTTATTTTTCTATACTTTTACTAACATTTTTTTTTTCAATTTGTTTTTGTTTTATGATAATTGACATAAATACTTTCAATTATCTCTGAATCATGCTATTACCATTTTATATTTATTTTTGTTCATAGATCTATAGATAATAGTTGATAAATTGAATAGTAAACAGTAGTAGCTAGAAGAAATTTTTACAGAAGTTTCTAAACAATTTTAAATAAATATATAGTAATTATTTTTTATTTCTTAGTCTTTGTTTCTTAATCCATTAAAACAATAATGTTTATATCGTTAGCTCGTTATGATATTATTCATGGTATTCGAATCTTTCCGCAGTATACTCGTATCAACATACTGTGTTATAGTTATACTGACTTTTATCTTTCCGATTAAGTATTGCGTTGGAATAGCTCGAGATATTTGCGAATAAAAAATATGCTAGCACTTGTAACAAACTATTTAACTCATTTAAATCCAGCTCAATGCTGTAATATGATCCTTGAATTTCAATTAACTTTCGCAAAATTCAATCCCAATATATTTTATAAGTAGAGGCAAGTCCAAGATCGCGAGATACATTATACTTATAAAACGATTATAAAAAGAACAATATTTCCAACATACTTGCTTTAATCGTTGAGGCAAATAACCCGTTCTCATAGATGCATAAGATACATAAGGTAACACTTTCGTTAACCTGATAATCCTGTAGTGTACATTAGTAATTTGAGAAGATAAATATTATCAAATCACAGATTCTTTATCACGAATCAAATTTATTGATTTCTACACTTTACTTGTACCAGTTTTATTAGTCAAATAATTTTATGGCTCGCAGAGGAATTTTGTCTTCGATATCACTTTCGTTAATATTTTTCTTGCCACATTCTTTACTGAATACATTTTGAACGATTCTATTTCTTTACGATTGCAAGTCAGATCATAGACATCTACTATAATAGTTCATATTAATTAATATTTCATTTATTGTCAACAAATAACGTTGTATATGTTCTATATATACTTATATGCGTATGTGTATAATACTGTATATATCTATATGTGTCAAAACATCGTTACAACCTTCCAGCCGTTGTTTGAGCAGTGACGAAGCAAGTAAGGAGATAAAGAGAAGAAACCGACACACATGGAATTCGAATCTGATACATGATCTCTTTTTGTCTTAAATACTGGCTTCCCACCGATATACGTCTTACTTTTCTTCACGATTCAATTCCACGTAAAAGCAGAACTATTTCGGATAGCAAAATAGGGCGAACTGTCACTGGAACAAGATTTATCGATGAGAATTTTAACAACATGAATCTAATGATTGTTATCAAGACTTTTCATTGTATCTGTGCCGTGTTAATTTTCAAGTGATTGTTTCATTAATCGACAATTAGCTTACTTGTTAAGAGGGCTCTCAAGCAGATAAGTTACTTAAATGATAACGTGTATCCATTGAAAATCATTTTCATTTCCTGTTTGCTTTCAATTTCAACGTGGATGCTCACAAGTTTTTCTTTTTTTTCGACGTTGATTGCTGTTAAACGATTTTCTGGCTAGTGACTAAAAAATCAATTTGAGCAACGGATTAATGCAGCATACGAAAGATGGACGCGAGCAATACGAAGACGAAACCGAATCCACGGGAACGAGCAAACTTACTATCGGTGTTGCTTTGGTGGTAAGTTCCTTATGGTTATTCTTCTTACCTGTTGAGCCAAACAATTTTTTTTTATTGTTCCGCACATGCTTTGAGATCTAAAAGCAGTCTAAAACGATGAACTCGCAACTTACTTCAAACATCTGGTGTAAATGTGAAACCGTTTTAGGTCCCGTTCGAAACTGTTAAAAAAATTTTAAACGTTATGAATTTGAAATAATGGGACATAAAAGTACTCCGAAGAATACATGTATCTTTATATATTTAAATTTGAAATATTTAAGTAGTATATATGTACATGTTTAAAATTTTTGTTTTATATTTTAATTTAAATGTTTGAACTTAAAAATTATTTTCGCAAGGTAGTTCGAGAACCTTTCAGAAAAAAAAAATAATTACACGTAACCAGCCACGTCATGCGAGATAATTTTACATTTGTGAAATTATTTCCGCTTATTTTCCTTATCACAAAGTACCAGGAGTCATGAAAATTTTCAATCTCATATTCGAGATTTTGAGTGACATTTAAAATACTACTGTTTGATCAAAGATTTATTTGGAGAATAAAATGTTATTTATTTCTACGGTAATTCACGTGTAATTGTTTGAAGATAATTATGAAACAAATAGGTTGCGCGAGGTCTTAACCGTTATTGAGTAAATGGACCCAAACTGCATTATCATCGGTCGTTGAAGCGACCGGTTGTGAAAACATACCGTTAAATCTAATTACTCATTTGCACGCTAACATATATGCTAAATTATATATCGCATTTAATAATATGTAGGTGGACAATAGATTTATTCAAGACAGGCTACAGAAAGATTCTTCAAACGGAAGATTTGTACACTCCTTTGAAGATTGATCGTTCAAATATCCTTGGAGATCGACTAGAAAAGTTCGTATTGGTATTTAAATCAATATTTTGTACAATATACTCTAATTCACTATTTAACATATGAAATATATGATTTTCAGACAATGGAAAAGTGAATTAGAAAATTTAAAGAAGCATAGGAAACAGCCTAGTTTATTAAAAGCCATTTTTCGTACCTTTTTGTGGGAATACAGCATACTTGGTTTAATGCAAATATTAAACGAATTTTTTATTCGGTATATCTTTTTTCTGCAACTCGCACTCGGCATTTTTTACAATTAGATATAATGTGTTATATGGTAATTTATAATCGGAAATCACATTTTTTTTATTCCACATATCTCTGGTAGAAGAAAAATATCTCCAGTGGAAAAAAGAAAAAAAGAATTACAATGTTTTTATGTAGACAATGTCGAGTGCAAATAGTTAATTTAATATTTTACTATTTTCACATGACTGTATTGACTTGTGTTTGAAGATTAGGGACTCCGATTCTTCTTGGTGGACTTCTGCGCTATTTTAAGAAGAACACGCACGAAACTTACGAAACTGCGCTACTGTATGCGGCTGGAATTTGTCTAGCAACAGCTGTGAACGTAATCACGCTCAATCAAGCAATTTTTGGCGCATTCCATGTTGGTGCAAGAATCAGGGTTGCCACTTGCTCTTTAGTGTATCGAAAGGTAATGTAATGAAAAAGCGCGCTAATGATTTGATTTTATAATTCAAATGATTCTAAAATATTCTATATAATTCAAATTATATATTCATAAATTTTGTATTACAAGTAAAATTATGATATATGTTATATTTGTACAACGCAGCTTTGCCTTTTAAACTCAACAATATAATAAAATTTAAAAATTTTAGAGAATTATTGAACGTATGAAATGGTAATGTAATTTTTTCTTTCTGTACGTAATAGGCATTACGACTTAGTAAAACAGCATTGGGCGAAACGGCACCAGGGAAGGTGGTTAATTTAGTAGCTAACGATGTAAATAGATTTGATCTTGTTTCCATTTTCATACATCATATGTGGTCTGCACCACTTTCTGCATTAATTATAGCATACTTTCTATATATCGAAGCTGGATATGCCGGATTAATTGGTATTGCTGCAGTTTTCGTTGTTGTTCCAATTCAATGTGAGTTTTTGATGCCTGTACTTGAAATCGATACCATTGAAAACTTTAAAATTTTAAATCGTGTCAAATATTATCTATATTTTTATTTTTTCAGCATATACGGGCAAATTGTCGTCCAAGTTTCGATTACAAACTGCAATAAAAACCGACGAAAGAGTTCGTTTAATGGATGAAATTATATCAGGTGTTCAGGTGATCAAAATGTATGCCTGGGAAAAACCATTCTGCGCTTTGGTCGAAACTGCCCGTAAATTAGAATTACAAGTAGTCAGTAAGAGTGCCTATATTAGAGGCATTTACATGACTTTTAACTTGTTCACTACGAGAATGGCTCTTTATTGTACTCTGATTAGTATGTTACTATTTCGTAATGATTTAACAGCTGATAAAGTGTTTGTTTTTTCCTCTTATTTTAATATTCTGGCACATACTATGTCTGGAATGTTTGTACGGGGTTTTGCGGAAATTGCCGAATGTATGGTCGCTGTAAGAAGATTACAACATTTCTTAATGTATGAAGAGTTTAAAAAAAATGGTTATGCTCTGAGCAATTTTGCAGCTAGTCTTAATGGTAGCATTAATAGTGTGTCAAAACAAGCTACTAATAAATCTTCCAAATCTGATTTACCATATATTGATGATGAAATAGACGTTTATGAAAATTTAGACAATTCTTCAGAGAAAAGAAGACATAATGGTTTAGTGGTTGTTGCAAGTGATTTACTGAAGAATACAGTAAATCTCATGGAAGGTAAGCATTTGATATATAATATAAATATAAATTTAAAGTACTTTCTTAAAGTATTTTCGTTTTCACAGATAAGAAGCATTCTTCAACGCTAAATGAAGAAATATACGCGGTGAAAATGACCAACCTAACAGCTAAATGGGAACCAGGTCAATCCGAAAATACCCTTGAAGATGTAAATTTTGAAATAGAAAAAGGAAAGATGTACGCTGTAATAGGTATGGTTGGAGCTGGAAAGAGTTCTTTCTTATCTGCCATCCTCGGAGAAATAGATGTTGTACGAGGACATGTGATAGTAAATGGAAGTGTAAGTTATGCTGGTCAAGAAGCTTGGGTCTTTGGATCCACTGTTAGGCAGAATATTCTTTTTGGACAATCTTACGATCGTCATCGATATCAAAAAGTTATCAAAGCTTGTTCTCTTTTGAGAGACTTTAAACAATTCCCACAAGGTGATCAAACAGTTGTTGGAGAAAGAGGTAGTTCTTTATCAGGAGGACAAAAAGCAAGAATCAATTTAGCTAGATCATTATACAGACAAGCAGACATTTATTTACTGGATGATCCATTAAGTGCTGTGAGCATTTTAAAGATAACGATTTAAATATTATAATATAAATAATACAAATTTAATAATATAATTTAAATAGAAATATTTATATTGTTTTATAAATTTTAGGTTGATACTCATGTTAGTAAACATTTGTTTGAAGAATGTATGCAAAGATACTTAGCTGGAAAAACGCGAATTTTGGCTACTCATCAATTACAATACGTAAAAAATGTAGATGCTATTATACTTATAGAGCAAGGAAAAGTAACTGTATTCTCACATTTTCATGATTTATTAAATCAACGGCCAGAGTATGCTGAATTGCTAGCAGCAGAATCAGAAACAATCGATGATAATTCTTTAGAAAAAAGTGTCATGAGAAGACAATTTTCATCATCAAGTACCAGAGTAAGATTATTGTATTTTTTAAACCTCTATAACTTTTTGTTGGATATAAAGTACATTAATTTTTATTTTAATAGAGTCGAACTCCAGAAGTAAGTAGTGGAGGAACAGATGATGAGGAGGATGATGAAAATTCTGAGAAATTTAACGACGGTTTAGAAGGAACCTCCCGCGGAGCAGTCAAAGGACCAATATTCATAAAGTATTTCCAAACTGGTGCTAATTTGTGTTTAGCCTCTACATTACTGCTGCTATTTATATGCACACAGTTTATAGCCAGTCTCAATGATTATTTTGTTCCTATTTTGTAAGTATTATCAAATATTATAACATTTCTATTTTCTTCAGATATTACTTTATAAACGGAAAATGTTTTCAGAGTAAGTGAAGAAGAGACACGGCATTATTATCTTACACAAATTAAGTTAAATATAACCAATGATACCTCAACTGAACATTTGAATATCTCCTCCATGTATAATTATATGTATATTTATACTGCTATAGTTGTTGGATTATTCTGCATTGGCATTACTAGATCGTTGACTTTCTATAATGTATGCATATTATGCAGTCAAAAATTACATGATATGGCCTTTAATGCCTTAATTAGGACTAGTATGAGGTTTTTTGATATAAATCCTAGCGGCCGAATCCTCAATAGATTCTCTAAGGATATGGGTGCCATTGATGAACTGTTACCAAAGGCTATACTCGATGCTGGTCAGATATGTATGATGATGGTTGGGTCATTAACAGTATCATGCATCATTAATCCCCTTTTTTTAATACCTATAGTATTTTTGGGTGCAGTTTTTTACTGGATAAGGAAAGTATATTTGAAAACCAGTAAAAATATTAAAAGAATGGAAGGAATGAGTAAGTATTATTAGAAATTTTTTTAGAACTTAAAATTTCCACAAAAATTAAAATTATATTGATGATTTACATATCACAGAATATATTAAATTATTGATGAAGTTAACAAATATTTTTAAATGACCAAATAATTTTTACAGCTCGATCTCCTGTGTTTACTCACTTAAATGCTACACTAAATGGATTAACTACCTTAAGAGCCTACTGTGCGCAGGATATACTAAAAAAAGAATTTGATAAACTGCAAGATACTCATACTTCTACAGTTTATATGTATGTGGTAGTGAGCAGTGCCTTTGGATTTTCATTGGATATCTTTTGTTTCATTTTCATATCTCTAGTTACCTTTAGCTTTCTTCTATTGGAGCAATGTAAGACTCTAATTAATGGTTTTCTATTATAGAACAATTTTTAATAAATAGCAATAATAAAATACAATTTTTTTTATAGCATTTTCTGGTGGAGAGGTAGGTTTGGCCATCACCCAAGTAATGGCTATGACTGGGATGATCCAATGGGGTATGAGACAAAACGCTGAAGTGGCGAATCAGATGATGGCCGTGGAACGTGTATTAGAATATACGCAGATTACACCTGAACCAAATTTGCGCGACAGAGGAAAATTTGCTAAAAACACCGAAAAGCAAGTCGCACTTCCTGCTAACGCACCAAAAAATTGGCCTATAGATGGAATGATCAGATTCAGAAATGTTTATATGAGATACACAGACGAAGATCCACCTGTATTAAAGGGATTAAATCTTGTAATTAATTCTGGGGAAAAAGTTAGTATTTTTTTGTATAATTCTGTAAAAACTATAAGTGGAAAAAGAATACACGTTTGTAATATATTACAGGTTGGTATAGTAGGAAGAACTGGAGCTGGAAAGTCGTCCTTGATTTCAGCCCTATTTAGATTAGCTAAAGTTGAAGGAGTTATAGAAATCGATGGTTTAGATACTGCATCTATTTGTTTGGAAGATTTACGCCGCAATATATCAATTATCCCACAAGATCCAGTTCTATTCTCTGGCACTTTGAGACGCAATTTAGATCCTTTCAATGAATTTACTGATAAAGCTATATGGGATGTACTTGAAGAAGTAGGTTGAAATGTAAATGTCATTTTTTCTATTTTATGATTAAACTACGGTTTTTAATTATATATTTATTTTAAAGGTAGAATTAAAGGATGCTATAGTTACTAGTGGTACAGGTTTGGAAAGTCGTGTTTTGGATAGAGGTAGTAACTACAGTGTTGGCCAAAGACAGTTGGTTTGTTTAGCAAGAGCTATTTTAAGAAACAATCAAATATTAATGCTTGATGAAGCGACAGCCAATGTGGATCCACAAACGGATGCCTTAATTCAGCATACAATACGACAGAAATTTAACAGATGTACTGTACTTACTATTGCTCATCGATTAAATACCATTATGGATAGCGATAAGGTTTTAGTCATGGATAAAGGTCGCATGGCTGTAAGTAAAATTTTCTACTCATTTCTTTGGCTTTGGATATTGTACTTTATTGAATAATTAAATTTTTATGTATGAAAGACAAATATTAAATAACTAAATTTTACTTTGCAGGAATTTGATCATCCACATATATTATTACAGAATAGTTACAGTCAATTTAAATCGTTAGTTAAAGAAACAGATCGTGCTATTTACGATCAGTTAGTGAAAGTAGCAAAGCAATCTTATAATGTAAAATATGGAGAACGATGATCGTTAAAAGTTGTCAAATTATAAAGTTCGTGTAATGGTAAAGACATATTTACTTATTTATTTCAATTTTACCAAGTATTATTACAAGTTCCAAGCATAAGCGATATTTGGAAAAACATATTTTTATATCTCTTTATGCGCAAAGTATTGCAACTAACCTTATTCCAAATACTTTCTATCAACTTATAAGCGGAGCACTGCTTTATATTATATACAAACATCAACACTTCCAATGAGTACTTATGTTTTTCTACTTCGAATTTTATACATTTACACCATGAAAAATTTGGTGCATTGAAAAATATTTCAATAACTTTAAACATTCGAATAGATGCCAAATAAAAAGTTAAGGTAATGTTAAAAATTATACGATTTTTTAAATATAAATAAAAGTGCAATGTGTTACGCTGATATTTTTATATAAAAGATGTATGTGTATGTATATGTACATATATATATACATATATATTTTATGATAGTTTTATATACTACACGCACAAAATGTACTATAGTTATATAAGAATATGTTAGTATGTCTTACAATAGAAATTAAGAATTAATTAGTTTATTTTCTATATTGTGCTCGTTAAATCCGTCAGTAAGCCGATAAGATCATATACATTCGCGAAAATAATAATAAAGTGTTCATTGTAATTTGTTATTTTCGAAGATTATATTGTTATATTTTTTATGTATACTTAGATATATGTATACCAATCTTTATTATATTATATTGTATTGTAAATAAAACTATTTACTTTTATACATTACTGAAAATATAATTCACATTTACCTAGATAAGCAACACCAAGTGATAATTTTATTCTCAAAATTATTCTCAAAAATGATAATTCGTATGTACGTTCTTATATTATAAAAATATTTCATTAAAGAAATATGCTGTTAATACATCCAGAGATTAATTATATTCTACTTCAGCATAATTTACACAGAATTACCACACCAAATTCGCATGATAAAGTTTGAATTCAAGCTGAATATTACGAAACAAATCTGCGTGCGTTTGCGAGGTAGAGTGTCGATTGGTTGAGCTCACGACTGTGATGAATTTACCGACTACATTCAAATACACATTATATTGGAAATCATATCATAAATCTAAATATTGGATTTTTTTATTTTAGGAAAAGTACAGCTATTAGCATGTAGTATAAAAATTATTTTATTGCAAATTTGAAATAATTTTTACCCAGTTAAAATAAAGAAAAGCTAAATCATGATTTTTCAAGGTGATGTTTATTTCTGGAATCCATTATTCAGAACTTATCAATCGGTATAAGTATTGTAAAAGCTAGACTATAGATTAGTATGGTTAGTTAGTTTGGCACGAATTCCCCCAGTAGACACATTAAATATATTTGTCCGAGCAAACAGTAAAATGGAGGCAAAATTGATGTATACTAAAGAAAGTCCACAAGAAACTGCAAATTTAGTTAGTCGATTATTTTTTGGGTATGCCTTTTATTATTTAATATTATTTTACAATAAATTTCGTTATTTATCGACAATTTTTTAATTTTTATAATATTTTAGATGGATGAAAGAAATATTTTTTAAAGGTGCTAAAAAAGACCTCACATTATCAGATTTATATCATCCTTTAATTGTGGATAAATCTAAAGTACTCACAGATCGACTGCAAAAGTGAGCATCGTAATAATATTTACTTAAATATACAATTAACAAATAATTTTGTGAATATAAGTTCTAAGTTCTAAAGTCATGTTCGTTATTAACGAATTTTAATATTTCGGATAAGATACCGATAAAAAAATTTTAATTTTGTTTGAAATTCACCTATTGGAAAAATTTGTGTCCTCCATTTGTTGTAGATATTGGAACTGGGAACTTCAGAAATGGGAACAAAGGCAGAAAGAAATGCCTTACGACAAGAAATCAAACGAAAAAAATACCCCTCGTTTAGAAAAAGCTCTGTTTCGCGCTTTTTGGATGAAGTATTTTTGCATTGGTCTTCTCTTGTCTATTCAATACATAATTCTGATTGTACTTGTTCCTATTATGGTGTCGTGGATTATCACGTATTTCAAAATTGAAGAGAATGTCGAGCCGATCACGGAAACAGAAGCTTTAACTTATGTCAGCTATTTAATAATCTGTGTAACATTGTCCGTGTTTATCATGCACCATACTGAGTTTATGTCCCAACAAATGGGCATGAGGTTACGGATTGCTTGTTGCTCGTTAATTTATAGAAAAGTATGAATCAAATTTAATCATTTTATTAATTTAAAGAATTCATATAATCGACTTATAAAGTCATAATGGAACGTATATGAACATAAAACGCTTGCTGGGAAATATTGTAGAATATTTCCAGGTGTAATTTATTCAATATTTAACATTCTGGCTTTTTTGATTAGAAATGTCCTTCGAAACATACCGATAACGTACTAAACAAATTGTTCGTGAAACAAAATGCTTTAAGTAGCTTTAATTTTCATAAAAATTATAGTTTTTAATAGCTGTTATCGCAGTCATAAATTCTTTGCTAAATATAAAATAGCCTTGTACTCTCAAAACATGCATTTCCGATATATTAAAATTGATTTTAGTTATAGATATACGAAGTTGGATTTATGTTATAGATATTAAGACTTAGCAAAGGAGCTTTAACTCAAATCAATTCTGGCCAAGTAGTAAATCTTCTCAGCAACGATGTTAGCCGTTTCGACGAGTTATGCTATTATTTAAATTTCCTCTGGATAACGCCTATTCAAGTAACTTCAATTGCATTCATAAAAAATCAACGGTCTTTTCGTATTTTTATACTTATTTTTAACTTATTCGAGTTCAATTGATTTTTAGATTATCTTCGTTACTGTGATAATGTGGCATAAAGCAGGACTGCCAAGTATAATTGGTGTCGCCATACTTTTGCTAATAACTATTCCAAATCATACCGTATTTCTCTCACTAGTTCGCCAGATTAGGAAAATTGTTGCTACACTAACTGACAGCAGAGTGCAGCTTATGAATGAACTTATAAGTGGTATCGAGGTATCCAAAAGATAGATGAGGAAGACTTAGATATCTGATAAAAAATTCTACATATATTATTTTTTATTTGATTAGTAATACTTATAGTAATCTAAATATATATGTATAATATATTACACACGCGCGCGCACACGCAATAATATTTCTATTTTTTTTATAAAAAATAAAAAATGTCTTTATTAGGTTGTTAAAATGTACGCTTGGGAAAAGCCGTTTGAAAAAATTGTGGCAGCTACACGTGCCACTGAAATCAAGAAAATATCACTTACGTCATATATTCGTGCAGGATATCTGGCTCTTGTGGTTTTTACAAATCGTACAGTCCTGTTCCTGACGCTTTTGTCCTTTGTTCTAATGGAAAGTTTTCCAAGGGCGGAAGTGACATTCATGTTATTCAGCTACTTCGAAATCCTCCAACTTACGACTACGCTGATGTTCCCACAAGCTCTCCTATTAGCTGGTGAAACTCTGGTTTCCATTAGAAGATTAGAGGTTGATTAATAATTATACAAATTGATATTATTTTAACATAACCACATAATAGTTATTAAAAAAGTTCATTGCTTCCTATAGAAATTTTTGTTACTAGAAGAGCAATCGAACGATGTAAAAGTAGTAGCCCAAATGTATCAAAATAAAACTTTAAAATTCAAGAATAGGAAGGCAGAGAAAGAGAATGTAGAGTCCATTAGAATGACGAATGGAAGTCAAAATTTGAATTTGAACAATGACGAGGAACAAGTGCCAATTTCGATAGCTCTGGAACGAGTATCAGCGAATTGGACACCAAACAAACTACCACCGACCTTATGCAATGTCTCTATGCGAATTGAAAATGGAGAATTGTGTGCTTTGGTAGGCCCAGTAGGCTCAGGCAAATCTTCAATTTTACAGCTTCTTTTGAGGGAACTCCCACTGGGAGCAGGAAAGCTGCACCTACGTTATAAATCATCCAAGAATACCGAGATAAAAGAACAGGAATACGTAGTTAATGTTACAAATTTGAAGATCTCTTATGCTAGTCAAGATGCTTGGCTGTTTACTGGAACTGTTAGGGATAATATTCTCTTTGGACAACCTTATGACAAGGATAGATATATTGCAGTATGTTTTATTGAAAAATGTCCGATACCAGATGAGGGAAAAATCAGAAATTAATTATTAATTCTTTAAGATCATTTTAATCTAGTCTCAAACGGATTAAATAAAGAGCCTATACGTGTTCTAGGTAACGCAAGCTTGTGCATTGGTAAAAGATTTTCAACAATTCCCCTATGGCGATATGAGCAATGTAGGGGAAGATGGGTCTTCTTTATCCGGAGGACAAAAAGCTCGAGTAAATTTAGCACGAGCCGTTTACAGAAAAGCAGATATCTATTTATTGGATGACCCTTTGAGCGCAGTAGATGCACGCGTGGCTAAACATCTTTTTTACAGGTGTATCAAGAACTACCTTCATGGAAAGACCAGGATTTTGGTCACTCATCAGTTACAATTTATTAAACAGGCCGACGTTATTGTCGCGTTGGACCGAGTAAATATTAATTTTTTAATTTTTTAATAAAAGATTTATTTATGCAAGATATACAAAAATATATATATATTTTTTATATATTTTTCAAGGGCTTCATAAAAATGCATGGAACATACGAAGAATTATCAAAATCGAACAAAGACTTTTCAGACATGATGAATCGTATTAAAATGTCGACGGAAGCTAAAAAGGAAAGCAAAGTAGAATCTGAAAATTCCTTTAGAGAGAGAAGAGTTAGTGGAAAGAATGGTCTCCGTAAATTGTCCACCATAACATCCACAAGTAGTATGGTAATTATGGCACACGTTTCACAATATAGAAGAATGATCTCTAATGTAATTATTTTTAGAGTTCCTTCAATTATGAAGGTGAAAAGTCAGCTCCAGAAAATAACGAGGCAATAGCAAGTGGTCGTCTTCCTATCAAAATTTATAAACAATATTTTCAATATGGTGGTTCTTGCCTTACACTAATTGCATTATTGTTCGTAGTTATCGTGTCTCAAGTAGCAACCAGTGGAAATGATTATTGGGTTTCCTACTGGACGAATCTTGAAATTATAAGAAGATCCATTACGAATAGTACTCAACCGTTTAAACGTCAATATTCCTTCTATTTTTTGAATGGCACAGCATTGTCGAATGTGTTCAACTTAGATAATTATGGTCTCATGACTACTACCGATGCTTTATACGTATACACGTTTTGCATCATTTCTTGTATTGTGACAGTATTTGTGCGGAATCTGTTCTTTATGAAGGTCTGCATGGTTGCTAACAAGAATCTTCACAGCTCTATGTTCTCCAATGTGTTACAAGCAGCCATGACATTCTTTCATCAGAACACTTCCGGTAGATATTATTCCAGAATATGCTCATGTCATAATTGAATAATTATCATAGACATTTTACAAACATTTATTCATTTCCTTGTTTACTCATACTTGTTTCTACAGGTAGAATTTTAAACAGATTTTCAAAGGACATGGGTGCTATAGACGAAATTCTACCCAAGGTAATGTTAGAAACAATCCAGATATTTCTTGTGATAAGCGGTGTTCTTTGCATGGTGGTAGCAGTGAATAATTGGATGCTCATTCCACTAGCGGTATTGTTTGTTTTCCTTCTCATTGTAAGGTCCTCATATTTGAGGACCGTTCAAAGCGTCAAGCGCATTGAAAGTATAGGCAAGTATTTAGTAATAAAAAATCTAAAGCAAATGGTATTTTCTGTAAACTCATTAATTGGTAATAAGAACTCCAAAGAAATAATTGAAATGGAACTTTCAGCGAAAAGTCCAATATTTTCCCATGTAAACGCCACGTTAAATGGGCTGACTACCATCAGAAGCAGTGGATCAAATGTTTTAGAATTGCTACAAAAACAGTTCGACGATTTGCAAGATGTACACACTGGTGCATGGTACATGACCATAGCCGTACCTGTAACTTTCGGTCTGTACCTGGATATTGTTGTGATCATATTTGTTGCGTGTGTCTGCTTCTCTTCTATTCTAATAAATACAGGTATACTTCTCGAAAAAATTATTACTACGTTTCAATTTATTTCTCGCTCAAAATGATATGTTTGATCTTAGGAGATGTTCTTGGAGGTAACGTTGGTTTAGTCATATCACAGTCCTTAATTGTAATTGGCACTCTACAACACGGAGTAAAGCAAAGTGGCGAAATGATGTCAAACATAACGTCTGTAGAAAGGATTCTTCAGTATACCAATTTGCCTAAAGAATCACCGTGGACCAGTAAAAATCCTCCACCAGAAGATTGGCCCAAGTATGGTCAACTGATTTTGAAGAATCTTAGCCTAAAGTATAATAAGGATGATCCTCCTGTACTGAAGGTAATGAAACAAGAACAAAAACTATCTTTCTTTAATCTGATTTTTATTTTTAACTTCTTCCAATTTTATAGAACTTAAATGTGACTATAGAACCAGGATGGAAAGTTGGTGTTGTAGGTAGGACTGGTGCAGGAAAGTCGTCTCTAATATCAGCATTGTTTCGGTTATTCGCTGACGGATTAGAAGGAGAGATCAAAATTGATGGAAGAGATACCAGCACGTTAGGCTTACATGAATTACGGTCACGATTATCGATTATTCCACAACAACCATTGTTGTTCTCCGAATCATTGCGTTACAATTTGGATCCATTTCATACATACAGTGATATGTCGTTATGGGATAGTCTTCGACAGGTTGAACTAACCGAGTTTGTACTAGACCAAAAAATAATGCATGGTGGAAATAATTTGAGTATCGGACAGAGACAGTTGATATGCTTGGCTAGAGCAATTTTAAGGAACAACCGGATATTAGTTTTGGATGAAGCTACAGCTAATATTGACTCATAGTAATTTTAACCATTTCTTTTAATAATCTGTTAAAAACAATACCTAAATCTACTACATCAATTATGATATTTTTTTTTTAGCACGGACGAGCTGATTCAGAAAACCATAAGAACAAGGTTCACAGATTGTACTGTCATCACAATTGCTCATCGTCTAAACACCATTATCGACAGCGACAGGATCATAGTGATGGACACTGGTAACATAGTGGTACGATCAACTTTAAGATTATTTTGGGTTTGGACGATATAGTCTGCTCGTAAAATTAACCAAGCCTACAAATATAAGTATCCCAAAAGAGTAATTTAAGATATATAGACAAAGATAGCGTTAATCAATGCTATACGTTGTAAATTTCGAATGGAATTTTCCTTTACCGGGTATTGCTACTAATAATACGCGGATAGTTGAAATCCTGTAAACATTCAAGGGTATTAGACAAAATGTAATGATAACAAATTAATAACAAGTAGTAATTAACGAATTTAATTGAAATTCAAAATTAATAATTAATTTTCTCTGTACTACTGACCTCTGTGTGACTTAACAACATCGTTTAGATATCAGGCGAAGTCATCACTTAATACTATAATTTACGAACAAACTTTATCGTTTAAACTAACTACAATCATTCTATATTATCTAAGACTCATAGAAGATGAGTAATGTCGCATTGTTATCTCTGGAAGACTAAATAGATCTATATTTCTGTACATATTTATTATATACTTCTTTCTACGTAGGAGGTAAAATAAATATAACGTTTGCCATACAAAAGGCGAATGGTTGAAGTTCGTTTGTAAAATATGGAAACTTTTACAATGATTGAATCATAAAATGTATTGCATGCATTACAACAGGAGTTCGGTTGCCCTCATGAGTTGTTGCGGGACAAGCCTAAAGGAATTTTCTCGCAAATGGTGAACAATACCGGAGTAACAATGGCGCAATTTCTTCGTGAGCAAGCGGAAAGGACTTGTTTGAAGAATACTAAGGAAATAAGTCTGGATCTTACACGAAAATGCTTCATAGAAGATGACACGACAAACGTAATCGAGCAGAGCTCTCTTTAGAATAAAATTTAATGATATGAGAAATGGAATAACGATTAAGTCAATTGGGGCAAGAAACAAGAGCGATTTCAAATTTCTCTGATTTATTTAAAATTAAATGTATCGATATAAACGTGTACTTAAGGAAAATAAAAAATTCTTTGTTCTCCTTAAACCTATATCCTTCGTCTCTACATAATCCAAAAAATCCAAGCACAATCCAAGATCACTTTATCATTAGAGTAACAGTGCATGAACAGTTGGACATCATTGAATTACCAGTTAATTTAAAGGAAATTAATCGCAGAAATGGTTGTGTAAAATATATAAAACTTTATAGAGATTAAAATAGATTTCTGTAGAGAATTTCAATTTTTGTAATTTTCTAACCACATTTTCTTTTGGTTCCACGTATTCCTCAAGGCAGTGATAGAACTTAGAAATAAACCCTTGTACACGTTGTTTGTCCTTCGGAAGACTTATAAATAAATTAATAAGAGAATATTTGTAAAATTATCATTTTTTTCTTAATACATATGCTTTGGCATCTATTTCTACGACTAAAGTGTGATAGAATAGTCGGTAATATCCTTTTTACTCCTAGATGAGGTTATGTACGACCTTCTGTCACCCTTACATTCCGGAAAAGGCAATAAATTCGGTACTCTAGTTTTAAGAATAAACTTCTTAATGATAGGTCAATTTTTGTTTCTTTATTCTACAAATTTTGAACGAATGCATACACTTTCTGAATATAAGTTGAAATGTATGCACGCGCGCATGCATGCATGCACACACACACACATTACGTACACGCTAAACGCGCATGCATACATGCATCTTTTTTCTTTTAAATAAATTCGTTACTAAAGTAGAGCCTAGTATAAGTATACTCTCTTTCTCTCTTACTCTTCATAAAATGTATTTCTCTCAAAACTCTAAATCGTATATTTGAATTAGAATAATTGATAAAGTTGTCAAAGAGTTCATGGATTTTTAAATACGTTATAAAAATTAGTATTTTGAACAACTTTTTCTTGCATATGTTACAGATGCTCAGTTTTAGTTTTCAAGTTATTCACATAAAACTTTGCTTCTACTACATTGGATCCATATTAAGAATAAAATATTTAGAATAATTACTGTGAAGTTATACGAATTATTAGATTTTTATATAGGCGGTCGTATTTTAATCTATTCCAACCAATAATAATTCAATAACAAATGATCTAAAATAAGGCTTCTATTTCATTCTATTTATTAATTATTTTTGGTTGTCGTAAAATAGTCGTAATACGGTCGCAAAACCCTAATGTAATACGATAAAACAGTCAATTTTTTCCAAAGTGAAGAATTATTCAAAATATCGTTCTTTATAGCATATTTAAAAATGAACAAAATCCATGATCAAAGACCTGCTTGACAACTTTATCGAATAATGGGAGACGACACGTGGTATCCAATTCTCCTGTAAAAGTTTTTCTAATACGCGCTACTTATATTGAGCTACATGGTCTGCATAAGCTAACAGCATTCGAATATCTAAATATATAAAAATAATACAATCCATGGTAAACGAAAATGCAAATTATTTAAACAAAATGATAACGCGAACTACATGTCTAAAAAAGAAAAATCATTTTGTTTTATATATATAGCATTTTTGATTTAAATATAAAGCTATTAATTTTTTGTTAATTAAACAAAAATATTTCAAATCTAATTTACTCATAGTTTATGTTTCATTTCTTCTTTTTTTATAATTCATTCTATCCCTTCTTTACAAAAATCACGAAACAAATTGCTGCAAACATTAGGTGTTGTACATAAAAACAATGTATAATATTTAGATATCAGAAGTAGAAATATTTTAAGCAGACCATGATATATACATTCAGTTCTTCTATATTATTATATATATGGAAATGTATCTTTTATATTGAATCCATTTCACAGTTTCGATATTCCTTACGAGTTGCAATTATACTTTCTTAAATTCATAGGAAAATCTGTTTACAACAGTGATAATTATATTGTAAAACATTTGTTAAGTGCTTCATTTTTTAAATTCTACTTTTGTCTACATAATTAAATAATTTTGTAAGGAATTAACGTGTTTGTGATACAGATTCTAGATATTCCAATTTTAATTTGTATGTATGTCCTCTAAAGGCTAAATACATAGTATATTAATGTTAATTCTCAAATAACACTTATCATAAGTTTTGTTTCTTTCTTTCCATTTACTTGCTGTATCTGGCAATTTACTTTCAGTCCTTATAATGGTGCTTAATTTTATTCCCTTATTCAATATCCATATACCATAATTTCTATTATAGTTAGTGAATTATAAACTATGTTTGATTTATTTATGGAATGTTAACTCGTGCATCTACGATTAAAATTCCGCGTAAAGTATTAAATAATAATTAATCGTTCAAATATGAAACAACTGATTACAAATAATTTAATAAGCAAATATTTCATTCCTTTTTATTTAAATAATACGTATCAGTTGTTCATTGTAACAGCAATTATATTTTAATAACAACATTTTAACATTATCAAGTGCTTTATGATCGTAAATTATATCAATATTCCTCAACGCTTTGTGTCACAGCTATATTTAACTTTATTTTGTAAGTGCATCTATAACCTATAGTACTAAATACTGTATAACAACAATTTTATGAATAATTTCCTTTTAGAATATTTGCAGAAATATCCTCTAATCCCGTATATTTTCTATATTTTATTTAATTCAACTGTCTTTCAATTTTATTTGGTTAGTAAGAATATATTTGACTAGTTTGTATGTATTATGAATTATTACGAATCCTTAAAAGAATGTAAATTGTAAATGAATATAAGTATGTAGTGAGAAATAAGTTAATGATGAAATAACAATTTTTAAAATATTATTTTATCATTAAGAAACTATTTCTTTATTAGAACTTGAAATTAAAAATCAATTATACAAAAAAATAAAAAAAAACACTGTTCTGTAATATTATACCATAAATATTAAGTAATATTTTTTCGTTTCCTCTGTTTTTTTTCACAATTTCTTGTGCGTTGGAACTTCACCTACAATTGTTCCCTTATGAGTATAGTACTTTTTTTGTTATGTTCGTGTTCAGAAAATGAAAATTAATAGACATTAATATTATCAATGCCAACAGAAATTAAGCTTTTAAGTAAAATAACTATTATTATTTTTATATTTTTTTTCTTCAATGTAATTTATTTAAAATATCTAATTAAATATCTGAGCAAAAGTCGTAAAAATATGTTTAAAAATCTTGGAAGAAATACAAATACTGAATACGTTAAAATTAATTTTTGGCATCGTCGATAAATGTAATTATGATTATGTAATCAATTTCAATTTTCCTTTTTTTTTTAAAATTTAAGTTGTTTTCCTACATTAAAATATAAAAAAGTTATTTTTCTGTTTTCATAATACTTCTATTATTTCTTTTTTTCTATTGCTGCTAAAAATGTTGTATCAGCTAATCGAAATTAAAAATTTTTTTTGGCAGTTACAATATCTTTTGAGCAATATGTGGGGTATCTTTTAAATTATATATTTATTCCTGTATATTATATTAATTGCAATAACTATTTCCTTGGTTTATAAAATATCGCGACAATGAATGAATTTATAGTGTTATAATGTAACTTAATTGTATACCTCTGGTATACATTTTATACATTCAGAAATGGAAATCTTTCATAAAGCAGTTTCTGCAACAATGAATACTACCATTCACTTTTCATTATCATGCATTCATATTGTATGAATGAAATCACTCTAACTGCCTGTACAACAATAATTACTATATCGTTTAAACTTAAAACTGTTTGAAAGAAAGAGAATATGGCTGTATTTTACGGCCCTCTCTATTGCACTGTTCAATTATGACAAAATGTTTAGTTACATGTTACATCTAAAAATATAGAAATACGTAAACAAACGAATAACAATTATAATTAAATAACAGTTGAAAATTTAAAATATATAAAAATTAAACTACGCAATGAAGACAATACTGTTTCAAAACAAAAAGAAATATTTCAACTTGAATTACGATGCCTGGGGATAGTGTTAAGTTAGTGGACGGTAAAGCACAGAGAAATATTGCTAAACGGTTGTTTCCCGGTCCACGTGGATATATTCCACGAAACCGGGTTGCTGTTGTCAGGATGCTGCTCCAAGTAATGTTTCCGTTGTTGGTGCTCGCCTTGGCCTATTGCTTTTCTTTGTACCCTTATAGTGAAATCTTTTTGTACGTGCTTTTGACCTGAAGAAAAATTAATTGTGACAAATAAAATGATTAATACATAATTATATTTGAATATTCTTTATAACCCTACCTACTAATCAGCACAACAAAGAAACAGGCAAAGGCAGCAATAATTCCAGCTACACCAGCTAATACAAGCCACATTTCTGAAGGAAGTAATCCAAGCAATTTCGCACCATTACCACAATTCGCTTCATCGTGTCCAGACGGACAATGAGGTCTTCCATCGCACCAAAGACTTGCAGCAATACAAGCACTTAATTCAGGACATTTATGAGGACAGTCTCCATGAGTTAATGTTTCGTTTTCTACCCCCCTCTCAGGTAAACGTAATTGCCTACGCAATGCAGCTCTGCTTTTTGAAATTTCAAGCCAGGAGGCTGCAGCCTGGCCAGGTTCTCTCGCGACGAAGTCCAAAAGAAGCGCAGGAGGTCGTGGTGGACCCGGCCATTTACCCTCCCCGGTTCCTCCTAACCACTCCTCGGAGAAAACATGAAGAGTAAACTCTCTTGTACCGGGTTCTGCGGGACATACTACTTTTAGGAGTTTTGGTGGCCAACCAGAATAAAGGAGAATTCTGTTGGTGGTCGGGCATTTGGCTTGCTCGTTCATTTCGGATACCGGAGGTGGTTCAAGAGGAAGAAACCAGCCCCAAGTTAAAACAAACAGTGATCTATTTTCACGTGCTTCCACCAACCAAGGAAGACCTTCACAATAAATATCTGGTCTTGATAATGGTGGAGCCACAAATCGTAATTCGCCACCTATAAATAAAGTACTAATAAATTTAAAGAAGTTGTGAATATTAACTTGTCAGATATACAGTAAAATAATCACCTTCTCCACGTACTCTCTGTTTTCTAGGGCATTCAGGTGTCCGTACAAGTTCAAAGCTAGCATAAAAGAAAAGTGTTTCAAAATCTTCATGAGGAGCTTGTTGGTCAACCAAAAAAGTGATTTCCAAAGCTCTGCTCGAAGAAACATGTGTCAATGGAAGATGAGATGTATTATCACATAGACAAGCTCTTGGAAGTTTTACATCCCGCCAGGGTGCTTCGTACAATATTAAACGAGCTTCCCTGGAACCCACTTCTTGAACACAACGTGGTCGACCGGTATGAGGATCTGGCTCGCTCGTACAAAGTGTAGACTCGCCTAAACTGATGTTGTGTAATGTCAATCGCACTCTTTCATCTGCACCAGCTTCAATACGATATTTGCAATCTAATCTTGGGGATCCACCCCTTCCAAAAAGACGAACATCACGAGGCGATGTTACTTCACCACTTTGAACTTTGCGCCAAACTCTACTGCAAACTCCATCTCCCCAGGGTTCACCAACTTGAATAGTCGAAATAAACTCGTACTGTGCCTGTATAACATTGTTTTTGTAATAATTTTATGATAAAAGTGATTATGAAATCAATTACAATAATATTATTAGCTTACATTAAAGTTAACTGTATGAAGTGCAGTACCCAACAATGTCTCCATACGTAAAGTTAAAGATGGTGCGACTGTGATATAACTTTCATCTTTTGTACAAGGTCTTGTACTTCTAGTGACATTCCTCAAAGCTGCATGTGCACACAGCTTGGGTGTGTCATCACAAAGTGTAGCCATTGGAAGTCCAGTATATGGTGTACCATCCCAGAATATGAGTTTTATTGCACATGGTATATCCGATTGTGAACTAGCATTATTTTCAACGCTATCTGTTAAGTCCCTTTGTGAGTATGAAGAAAAATAAATCCACACTCTATCACCAGCAGATCCTTTGATATTCCAAGTGCAACTGGAATTTGGTGGCAGTGCATGAAGTGGTGCCCTTAGTATACCACTTCTCTTACTAGTACCATTTACAAAAAAATGGCAACCCTGAAAGCCTTTTGCATAATCAAGCCCATCAGAGTCAACATAAACCACTTGAATTTCCAGTTCCAGCCTCAATGCAGAAGCACCAAGGGGAATGGCTATTGGGGAACTTCGAAATTCCACTTGCATTGTTGGACCTCTGGCAGTGATTCTAGGTAATGAGCCACCACAATAAACCAACAAAATTGGATCTTCTGGCCGGATACCATCTTGAAAGATAAGTTGATCTTTCTCTGGTGGACAATCTTGCCACACACTTAAAGTACTATTGGCTGTGGTTATTCCAACTGGATCAGTTGGTGTAGATTTCACAGAAATCATGGCATGCTTACAGGTGGGCACTTCTTTCTGTTTTATAGTTATTAAGCAGCTTGCATTTCTTGGATATTCCCCAGGATAGTTTGGACTCTGTAATCTACATTGCTTTAAGTGACATTCATAAAAATTCCTAGAACAATAAGTACCTGGCACTGGAGAGCCTCTTTCAATTGGAAGCTCTGGTTTCCCTAATCTAGCAACAGCTTCATTTCGTGCCACAAATCTATATCTTAAGCGAAATTCAAATGGTACACTAGAAGGTGCATGAAAGAGTCGAATAGATGCTGTGACAGTACTGGTTTCACTATAATAAGATGCTTTCCCTTCTCCCACTCCACACCAAGAACCTCCAGTGAAATGTCTACCTAATTCAGCTAGTTGCAATGATCCTTCTGGGCAACTTGTAGCAAAGCTATCAGTGTCTGGATCTACTCTGCCTACACTAAATGCATCCCATAGCAATTGTACCAATTCACCATATCCCTGACCAGCAGCGGTGAATGTTAAATGACAAAGGAATGGCAGACGTTCTTCCAAAAGTTTCGGAAGATCCAATTTGTATGTATGTCCTTCGCGTCCGTGATACGTACGATTACAGGGTGTACACATCGCCGGCTCGTCACTGTTATCTCCGCAATCATCTTGTCCATTGCAGTACGCGTCAATCGGTACACAATGCCCATCTCGGCAAGTTAATTCAGCTATACCGCAATCACCAGCTGTCACGTGGTCTGTCCACTCGAATAGAAGAATGAACAAAACTAGAGCAGTTACACGAAACTGTTTATAACCACCTCCAGCATCAGCTATCTCCTGTAAAAATAAATTTATAAACTTTTTCGTTTTATAAAATAGCAATCTTGCATTTATGATAAATATTAATTTTAAAATATAAAGTATGAACATATAGAATATGCAATTAAAATTTCTCCTTCTTTAAATATCATTATAACATAGTTTGATGAATTGTAAGTTTCCATTTTATGTAAGGACTTAATAAATTTGTGATATATTCAACCTATTTTTCAACATATGAACGAGCAATTCTACTATCAAACAATAATATTTCGTAAAAAAAGAAAAAAATAATTATTTAGTGAAATAGGTGAACAGATTAAATCGAATACTTCGTATTGACTGCATTCACAAAAGTTGAAAACGCATAAGCAAACAATGTGTTTCAACCCTGAAAATAGTGCTTGTCTATACTCGCTTGATTGATCTCTCATCTCTTTTAAATTTAGATAATAATATTGTGTATATGAAATTTTACCATCTTCATGGATTTATCTTCATTGTTAATTGTAAGATCGTTATGTACGATATTAAATACTCTCGTGAAACATTTATTTCAATACACATACAAACCTAACAAGAAGGGTGCATACATCCATACCTTTGTTACTTGTGTTAAATGGCAAATATTCTATCGCGATAAATTATATTGCATCGAATCGCATTAAATTTTGACCTTTAGATACAAAATTGGATCTCTGATTTGTATTTGTTTTATGTATTTATTTGCATGCATCCTTGCGCGGCATTATTCCATTCTGTACGGAATAACTAAAAGTGTACTTCTGGTTTTATCACTACCAAAACATAATCCAAGTAAAACTGTAATAATAAACAAAATTAACAAAAAAAAAAAAATACATGATTATATAAACTTTTACAAATAATTTTTTGATGTAAGATAATAACCATTGTAAAAAACAAAAGGAATGTTTATTGAGATCTACACCAGGTGTGCCAACTTGTAAAAGATTTTGACATGTATAAGTAATATATTTTTCAAATCTCTTTTTGGTTTAATAATTCATGCATCATTTACCATAATCATCTGTCAGTAAAACGAACATCACAACACAAGCTTGAATCGATGACACCGAATCAAATTTCTACGCTTAAAGAATCATCTGGCCAGAAAGTAGTTCAAGCATTTTGAAATTTCAACCCTCGATGAAAATGACAGTCAATATAATTATAATGAATGACACTTTTAATTGACATTCCGAATAATTTACACTATCGAAAATTTCACAAAAAAGTATTGGTGATACGAATTTAAAATGTACCCTCAGTAACGAATTATTTTATATCACAAAAAATAAGCCCGAGGGATGCAACATTTATACAAGACAGAAAATCCAGTAACTGAATGTACATCCACACCGTGGAAAGGTTGATGCGCAACTGCACAGTAAAGAGAAAAGCCCGGAGGAGAGCTTCGCTGCAGGGCATACAGGGGTAAGGGTGATGAAATGAAACGGGGCTGAGCTCAGGGCCTGGCGCTTCAATGCATCGATCGCCGTTCGGTCCTTTTCTCTCCATTTCAACGCCCTAAAGCATATTATGTACTGTAGTGACGTAACTACAAATTCCAATGCCTTGGTATATTGTAAAAATCATTGACTACCGATAATCTTAATATGTTTTTAAAAACTTTTCTACATAGGGAAAATATTGAGAAACTATTGTTATGAGCATTACATCAATTATAGATCTAATGAATTTGAAAAATTTTTTAAGAGATTTAAAATGGAAATTAATAAATAAATAATAGAAATATTTTCAGTTTTGTTTATTTACTGTTCACTAAAATATTGTAATTTTTTATTTTACATTTGTTTTTCTTCTCTTTTTTTTTAACTTCACATTGAAACTTCATATTCCATAGCCTACTTGTCACTTTGAAGGTTAAACGAGGGTAATCACGTTACATTATACCCTCGATATGCTTCAATACACGGATTAACTTTATGTTACGAAGCTCACCGAGAAAAATACGAACCACACGATGAACGTTGTCAACGAATTGTACATTGAAAGAAATGCAAACAGACAAAAGATACAATGGTACAGGAAATAAATGAGCATGCGAAATTGTTACAAAAATAAAGATAACGATAATGTATTAAAAACTTATGTACGTATTTAATAATCAAACTCTTTATTCCATATTTTTGAAAATTTATTCACTTTTTTTTATTTACTTTTTAATTATGTGTATTGTATAATAAATACATTTTTTAAAACGATAAAAAAATGGATGCTTCGTTGCTAAATAAAATAATGACATTTAGTAAAAACACGAATTATAATATTTTTATTTATATTAATACTTGTTTAGACACTTTTCGAGTTATTCGCCTGTAAAAATTAATTATTCATTTTTAATTGAACTGTTTAGCAGTATATTGTTCACTGTTATGCGCATGTTGTATTTAGAATGGTGAAATAGGTCAACAAGGCATTTTCTATTTTTTCCTTCGCTATACATCGGGGTTCAGTTTTAGCTTTTTTCCTCGTCAAATTGTAACAAGGATAAACTAAAAAATTAAAAAGTGATGTTTTATTCCAAGACTGTGAAAAATTCTTAAGGACAATGTTTTTAAAACATAAAATACCATTGTCAAAAACGTTTTCAACATTGCAGTCCTCACTTTATGTTACGTTAGAGTTTATACCACACATATTCGGAATACACATTGAATTGTAAAATCAGTAGAACATATTTTATCCTGTTTAAAAATTACAGTTATTCGGTTTTGTTTTTAATATGATTAAATATTAAGCGTACAAAGTAAAAATTAACACATCAAAAATGAATTAAGAATTTATTTGTTTACCAGAAATAAACTTTGTTTTCTTTTAATTTAAATAGAGTTTTGTAAACGATCTACCATCACATTCGACATCACATGAAGCATAATTTATACTTAATACACGGTACATGTGACAATTTTTATACATTTTTTTTTCTTTTTTTAGTCTATTAAAAACAATATTTATGTAGTATTTTTTACAAATGATTTAATCAGTGCCTATTTATTCATTAATATGAAAAATATGTTGAAGTCATAAAAACGGAATGCAAATTCGTTAAATGTAACACTTAATAATTCGATAATAAATTAAATTCGAAAAACCTTAGAAAGCGTATCGTGTGCGAATATCCTCGAGCTTCTTCGATACTTCGGAAGATGTTCGTTCAAGATCTCCAGATATACTCTTCTGTTTTACCGGTTCAATAGAATTGAATTGTTCACAAAGATCTCCGTCTATAACATTTTTTACGGGATAATAATAAGATCTGAATGATAAGTGATCTCTTCCACAAAGTGGTGGATGTTCTGAACGCATATGCATTTCTAAATGTTGAAAAAAGTCATGGTCTTCATGGCTGGTAAAGGGAACAAGAACACCAACTGTTCCACTTAATGTTGTATACACTAAACTTTCCGAACCGCCGGGAATAAGGGTTGCTTTTTGTAAAGACATGACTGTCTCACCAACATGAAAGCAAGCAACTGTATCTGCCTTTTGGCTGGCACCATTTAATAAACCTCTATCCCACAAAGCTTTGTTGCCAGTTGGGTCTTCATCTACATCGTCGTTAATTCCACTTGCTAAGCGTATCTATTAAAAAGTATAAAAAATTTACGTACTTATTATGGTAGTTTTATTGATATGTAATTAATTATTTGAAGTACATATTTCTGAACTACTTACAACAGCAATGTTTCCAAATTTATCAGCGGTAGCAACTGTATCATAATCTAATACGCAAGTTGTCGTTATCCACCGCGGATGTGTATCATCAGCAAAGACTATCAACTGATTTTCTTGGCGTTTGTATCTAACAGCGTAAACGGATTCTTGAACGTCACTCACGTAAATTCTTTGTCCAATTGCATTGATGGAGACAACAGCATTGGGAATATGTTTGTTTTCACATTTTCTCAACAACTTTTTCTTGCCCATATCGTACAGACGCAACATTCTACCAACGCCAACTAATACCCTACCTTGGTATGGACATATAGCCAAAGGTACTTCATCTAAAGTAGTTTTATGCACTAATTCAAGATTAGTGCATTCACTGTTTACTCTGCAAAAACAAATCTTCTTTCTTATTCATTCCTTTTTAAATTGTATGTTTCATGTTAAACTTAAATTTCAGAACTGCAGGAATTTCATCAAATTACATTACAGTAATTGTGTGTATTTTTCATCATAAATATTGTTTAATATGCGTATACACAGATGCATGGATGCATATGAGAATAAATACTTACTTATATGTATACAAGAAGCCACCACTACTAACTCTTGGATTCAACTGAAACTCTTTCGCAATACCAACTATGAGAAATAGCTGATCACCCTGATTAGCGAATTTCACAAGGCTTAAACTATAACATGAAATTAAAAAAGAAAAGGAAAAGGAGGAAATAATTATCTGTATTTTCGAATGTTAATTTCAAATACTTTCTATATCCATACCATAAAGCAGCCAAATTTTGCTCGAGACGATGAACTTCAAATGTCTGTCCCGTTGTGGGAGCTATTATTCTTATTAACGATGCCCATAAACCTGGTCCAGCTCTTGGTGCTCCAAACACAGACTCATTGGGTTCCTCGGATAAGAAAGCTTCCGCCAATTCTCTAGCTACTACGGCCTCTTCTGCCCCTGCTGCTTCTTGCATTTCTTCTGCCATTTGTAATCTTCTTTGCTGTTTTGTTTCTTCCGTATACGCATTATGTTCTGTTTCAATAATTATCAGATGTGCAGAATCCGAGTGAATTGCAAATTTTCTCGGAGTATATTCCAAAGGGAAACTAATTTGATTAAATACCGCGCCTAACTTTTCGAGGGCTAAAATTCTAAGCGTATTTGTCGAAATAGCAACAATTCCCTCAGGACATTGTTCAGAACTAAAGCCTGATGCAAATTCTAAACTTTCATAAGATAGTGGTGTTAAATGAAAACGATTTTGATAATAATAACTCAGCCACGATCTGCTACTCATTGCAAGTACAGCTTGATTTCCCTGCATTTTGATTCTAAATAGCTTAACAGCTCGGGAACCCAAGTATCGCGTACGCGTATCCGCAAGGTCACCGGAAATTGGATCTAATACTGTTCTTAACAAGACGCCGTTTTGTAAACCTGTAAGCAAATATATTAGAAATAAGAATGTAAAAATAAATAATTTACAATTATAGTATATATTTTTTATTTTGTTTACCTATATTTAGATAGAGACTGGATTGCTGAGGTGATAGCTCTTCAGAATTATTTGCATCTTTAGCACCCATTTCAACAATACATAAACTTTCCGCGGCCGCTGGTAGAGCTTGCATACTTCTAGGTGCTAAACAATCCGAAGGATCCAGGGAAATAATCCTCACAGTATTGTCTTGGAGACCGACAGCTAAGAACCATGATCTTTGTTCACCAATAGCTACGTTACCAAGAGCCATACACATTACTTCTGATGGCATCTTCTTTCGTTCTGTATATTCATTCAATTGCCCCGTCTAGGAAATACAAAATAGTATTAAACTTAAACGAAATTTCGAAATTGTCCACTTTTCATCTAATTGAAATAATTAATATTTCACTATTTAAGATGAAAAAAGTGATATATTTTTCGCATCTTTTACGTCTCTGAGAATAATTATCATCGTAGAGAGAACAAACGATGCGATTAAAAAATAATAATATAATTTTAGTAAGTAAATGAAAAGCTGCTACACATACGGGATCCATTTCGAAGTATACTAATTCTCCCCCAGTAAGTGCAATTACAACCTGACGTTGATTCACTGCACACTTTACTATTGTTTTTTTACCGGGAGCTTTCCATTCATTTACACGTTTGTCTGCTCGAATATGACGTATCCCATCGGGATATACCTAAATAAATACAATGAAATTAAATAATAAATTAGTAATGGTAAATAAGAAAAACAAATAGCTTAAGAGTAGAAACAATGTTGAGCTCAGATTACCAGAAATGTTCAAAACAATTACTTAAACACTCAACGATGCGAGAACTCTGAATAATTTAGCACTATTTATTGCGACCGATTCGTGGTAGACCAGGAGTCGGAGATACCGTAGTGCATTGAACAAAAATTGTATAATGAAAGAACGAACCTGCACCAGGGCATCTTCTCCCAGAGCAGAACAACTCAGTGTTGGCGTTGTACCGAGAAATCCAGAATCTGTCACTTCTTCTACAGTTTCTCCGATACTAAGTACAAGAGTAGCATTGACGAAGGACACTATGATGTAAGCATCATACTCCTCTGTAATCAAAATTTCAAAGCTCATTCTGAATATCTAAGAAAAGTAAAAGCATAAAAACGAAATTTGATAAAATAAATAGATTGTCTCTTCGTAGGTGGTCGAACACGCTGTTTTTTCATCCTACACGCAAAGAGTAGCCGGTTTTTTGGATGTAAATTCAATTTCGTTAATCTCCGGCAATTTTGATAGTCCTTACCTTTCTGTCACTTTCTGTGTTCTGTAGTTCAACCAATAGCATGCTGGTAGTCTGAAAGAGAGAACTGGTGTTTGATAAGAGTGTATCAAGCCACCAGATTCATTAGTATCATTTACAAAATCAACTTTTATGTTCTCTTTTACATTTTGTTTTTGTATTGAAAAATTGTCGAGGTAAAATAGAATAAACAATAAAACAATTTTCTGTTCATGGCAATGGACACAATTTAATCAGGTTCATATAAATAATTATTTTTACTATTAACCTTTTCTCTGATAATCAAAAATAAAATTGTTATATAGAAATATAATGAAACTATTTATGAAGGAATTCTTATTCCAAATATCTCCACAATTTTTTAACATCATTTACTTTTTGTAATTGAATAATACTTAAACAAACTTCTAACTAAAAGATAATTAGAAAATTTCTATTATCCATATATTTAAAAATATTTGATTTCAATTTAGATAACTTACTGTAATTATTGCAAAGATTATTACTATAATTATTACAAAGAATTATTTTACACAATGTTATACAACAATCTAATCAATTTATAAATACTATAATCACAATTGGCAAAAAGGTGTGTATTGACAATGCAAAAAACAAAATGAAGCTGAACTTATCCTATTTAAGGAAATAGTCAAAAAAGTCATGCATACAACTACTGCTAAAGATCTTTTTAAACTAACCATCAACTCTTCTTTTAACAGTCCACACAGCATTTGGATTACCAGGCAGTTCACTGACAGCCATTTCAGATACTTCTAAACCATGCCGTAACACCCGCAATGTAGATCGTGGTCCTCTACCACAAGTTATATATAATTGTGGAGTATCTTCATTTGCTAAATCAGCTACCTACATAAAACGATAAATAACCTTGTAACCATAAGTATAGATTATTGAAGACATATAGAATAGTTTCTAGATAAGTATGCATATTTTTCCCTGATGTTTGATGAAGTTTCCAGTAGTCAACTTTATCACCGTTCATGTAGATTAGTGTACAGTTACTAATACAATAATTTTATCTACACCAGCTAACTGCGAATAAATCGCTTCCGCGGTCACTTACCTAGGAACTACTCGCAATTTGAACATGTCATTCTTAGGTTCAACTTCAGTTTGCAAAGACAAATTGAAGGCGACTAAGAATATATTATTTTTGCACCTCTCCACAGAAAAAGAAACACAAAGAGTTAATTTTCTACTACAAAGGTGCTTTAATATTTCTCTTTCAATGTAAGATTAATTATTTAATATCTCATTAATATTATTCATAAGATATTACCTGACATGCCATTATTGGTGATAAACTATCCATTTCATCAACCAGTACTAAATTTCTAAGTGGTCTTGGTGCAAAAAAGAATGTATCACCTTCTTCCAGAGGCATAGCAGAACTAAATTCCGGCTCATCGTCATCATCTCCTAAATGTGCAATTTGGTAGAGATAACTAGAAAAAACAAACGGTTTAAAAAAAATTTCAATTTATAAATATGACTGTTCAAATAATACACGTACTGGTTACCAAATTCTGAAGCTACAAATAAAAAACCAGTTTTCAAAACACACATGCTTGCTGCTACAGGTACAGTGTCAAAGTACTTTAATTTAATCTCAGTCACCATATCTTCATCTGTCTCAAGTGTAATTTTAAAGATATCTCCTTGTTCTGTTTGAGCCAAAAAGAAAAACATACTCTTGGTCTTGTGAGTAGCAGAACAAACAAATATCATGCCTCTTTCAGGATCATCTAAATCATTACGTCTCCTTGGAATTGGACAACGAATATCGTGCTGATCCCCTAAATTTTTGTATGTTAAATAATTTTCGGAACAAATAAGAACACCACTTGGTCCATCATTTCCTCCAGGAACAGATACAAGAAAGTTCGCATGTTCTTCTAAAGGTTCACTATATTTACGCACAACATGATTTAAACCAAGATCAAGTTCATATAAAGTTAATGTTTGTTGCGTCTTCACTGCTGCGTCTCCTGTTGGATCACTATCTGCTTCCTAAAAAAAATATAAATCAAACTGTTAGTATTACAAAGTATAATCAATGCAAGAAATATAGTGCATTTGTAAATTATTGTATTAAGCGGCAGTTTCAATTAACACATTGAGCTCGGCGCCGATATTGCTGTTCTTTCCGTTCAGCCGGCAGCGAGCACTTGGACGATATTTGAGACAGCTGAACCACTTTGTTTCTATAAAATGGTATAAAAAGTTAGTTTTCGGGCTTTTTTTAAATACTGCTATTATAAACGCTCTGTTCATGTTCGGAAAAAAAATATCAGTCACATCATTTCGAAGATAATTGGTGGATAAACTTACACAACAAACAAATAAGGAAATTCTTATGTATATTGAAAAAATAAACCAATTACAAAAAAAAAGAAGGAGAGGGTCACAAAATCCGAAGATATTCCGGATATTACTACAAAAATTCAACGCTACTCGGACGCAAGACAGCCAGAAATTTAACTAAAAAAGTCGTCACGTTTTGTAATACATACAAAACCAAACCATATTTTTGTTTAGAGTGTTTCAATAAATATCATTAAAATTACTACATTTATATTTTAACTTTAATACTGTCGGTTCCCAGGAACCGACACCGCCCGAACGAAAAGTTCACTGTCTTTCACTAGGAATCGACGTCGGCCAAACGGGAAGTTCACTGTCATCCCTAGGGACCGACGCCGGGCTTAACATGTTAATGACACTATTGAAGTCGCTAAAACTTAGAGCAGCACTACTTAACTCGTCTTTCTCTAAATGTTTTATCTTACTACGTCAGAAATTGAAACTCTTGTACTTTTAGGCATAATTGATATTACGAGCGCATTATATTTCTTGTGCGAACTATACTTTATCTTTTTAAAGTATCGGAATATTACCTCATAATCAATTTCTAAACAGGCAAACATAGGATTTTCAAAACCCACATCTACTCCCACAGTATGATAAACTAATGTATTGCTCTTATGTGCTTCCAAAGGTGAAGAAATTGTAAGACGAGCTTCTGGATCTCTATTCAGAATATAAACAAGTTTTTGTTTCTCAATTGCACCTAAAATATAAGCGTACTTTTTTAAATAATAGTTGACATATAATGTTACAAATATTTTTACAACTATGTACCATCATTGAGAGTAATTATAATCATTGTTATAATCAGTTGAAACACGGACACTCCAAAATAATCATTTAATTCAAAAAATAACTTATTATTTATATAATTTGTACAACTAATAAAGTTTATAATACCTATCATTACAGCTCTTCCTTTAGGATCTATAGCTAAGTATTGTCCAGGTACAATGCGTCTACATCCACTTTTCCCAAATGTTTCTTGATGCACTTTCTCGAACACATTTTTGGCAGGAATGTATTCCAAAATTACAATGCGACCAGAGTCTGATCCAACAACGATATAGTCTTTTGTACCACCAGTCAATCTAAAGGCCATTAAAGACCTTATGATTCCAAATACTTCTACAGTCAGAAGAGTATGTACTTTTCCAGTATTTGGGTCAGGTCTTAACAGCTCTAAAGACTTGCCACGTGAAACCAGAATTTCTTGCATTTTACTCCCAGAAAAATTTCCATGCACTGCATGAGTGATACCAGTTGCACGTTGAAGAGTCAAATTATATAGATACATTTTCTTGAGTTTCTTTTTTATCAATTGGCAAATAGAAGAATTTATTATTTTTCATTGAAACGAAGGATTTACATCCATTCTGTAACAAATATTATAGATAAAATTATAAATTCGTATAAAAAGGTAAAAATATCAGTAAATAATATTAGTAATAAAAATATAAAAAAAGGTGGAAGCGTTCATTTCCTTTACTTATAAAATTTTTATCTTACGAAATAAAACATTCTCAAATATTTTTCTAGTAAATGTAAAAATCTCTTAATAAAAATATTTATGAAACATATTTACTACACGTGTGAAGATATAAAATCGGAAATGAATAAATTTCATACCAAACATAAAAAGAATTTTTATACATAAAATTAAATATTAAACAAAAAAATATTATAGTTTTTAAATATAAGATAATATAACAAATGTTATTTCACCTTGTAGTTGAAAATAATTTTCAACTCTAAATACGATGCGTGAAGATAATGATACTCTTAAATCAACAACCATATGCAATGACCACTTTTGTTCCATTTCGGATAGTTCATTTCTACCACACTACATGAGATAGACAGAATGGAAACCAGCATGTTTCGTAGAGTTACCACGCTATCTCAAGTCTTTTAGTGGAATTAAAATTATATTATGAAAGTAAATATATTTAATTTTCAATATATCATATAAAGTAATAGTTATTTCATAAAGATTAAATATGAATAAAAAGTAAATAACATAAGAATATAACTTTTTTGTTATGATTTCTATATATTTAATTAAACAAAATAAATATGGCGTACTGTACTTAAGCACCTGAGCCTTTAAGAAATCTTTGTGTACGGCACTTAAATGTTCGAAGTAAAACAGAACTATGATTCAATTATTTACATACATTTATAATTTTTATTAATTTGGTTTTAATTTACAGATATACCGATGTTTATAATAAAAACTTAATACAATAAAGTGATAAAACATAACTTTGTTTTGTAACAAAATGTGAACTTAACCTACAAGATGCAATTATTATAATTCGCGTATTCTTTCGATTGATACTTAGATATGAATAATTTATTGTTGTAAATTATAAAATACATATCCATTATCATTTTAAAAAATTATGTTCATAGTATAAACAATTATACAAATAATATTATAAAAAGAAGTAAATAAGTTTTAAAATGAATAATATTAGGATGATAACGTTTAAACTATTAAGAACATTTGTTACTAAATCAAGACCTGAATCTGTTGGTGTACAAGGAAAGATAAAATTAACAAAAATGTATAAAAGTGATGCTAAAGTAATAGCAGAAGATGACATAGAAGTATATGGATCTGATTTCATGAAAATTACTGATTCTTATATAAATCATAATAGGTATAGAAAACAGAATTGTATTTTAAGTATTAAATTTTTATTTTTTTAAGAAAAGCTTTTAATATGATTATATTATGATTTTTAGAGAAGAACTAGCAGCTAAAGAACTGTTAAAACGCCGTGTTGTTAAAAGTAAAGTTTTCAATGAAATAGAACCAAGTTTTCTTACATATATTGAAAAAGATCAAATAAAGAAATTACATGAAAATAATCCTGAAGAATGGACACTTGAAAAACTCAGTGAAAGTTTTCCAGCTTTACCTAAAACCATAAGAAAAGTGTTAAAAGCAAAATGGGTACCAAAATCAAAAGAAAGAATTCTTCAGTATGACAATAAAGTTATTAAAAATTGGAAACAGTTAAAGACTGGAAAATTAAAAGTGAATTCTATCTTAAAACAACATTTAATGAAATTTAAAAATAGAAAAATTCTTTTAACTGACAGAGAACCTTTAATAGAGAAATTTATATCACCAAAGATTGAGTATCCAAAACCCAAATCTTTTTTTTTTTCAAATATTATAAAAAATAATATTAATGATGAACCAGTAATAAAAAATAAATTGCTAATTTGTTCACAAAATAATACAAATAAAGATGACAAGAACTATAATTCAAGAGACAAAAAAAATGTGAGATTAGGCCAGACAGTAACTAATGATTTGATACATAAGCTAACAAAGAATAATACAAAACAGGAAGCATTAATTTTTGAAGAATTCTTAAAAATGAAATTGAATAGTTCAGATGAAATATCTTATGAAGAAAGGTTAACATTGATTGATACCTATAAAAAATATATAGATTCTAAAAACATAGAGAATATAGGTTCTAATATGTTAAACAATAGTACAGAGAACACTAGTATTGAAGAAAAAAGCCTTAGTACTATAAAGAATTCATCTAATGAATGTACATTGAATGCTAAGGAAGATACAACTGAATTTAAAATAACAATGAAAAACAACATTGAACATACAAGTTTAGATACCTATGTAAAAGAAAGAAACTCATTTGTGGATATGAATTTTGAATATGTGAAGTGTATAAAAATTCCTAAAAATGTGTATAGAAAAGGTATGACATATAAAATAAAGGATTGTTATTATGATGATGATGGAGAGTTCCTGTATAGAATACCTGGATTGAAAGTCTAATGCATGTACTATTATTATATGTCAAATAATTTTCTATTTTAATATTGTTATTTTAAGTAGTTATATTCATAAATTCTAAGAATAAAATATAAACTTTTTAATTATACAATTGTTAAAGTAACTGAATAAAGAAACATGTATATAAACATATTATAATTTTTTATTTCTTAAAAATTTTGTAATGGTTATATATTTTATAGTATGATATTTTAATATAAAAGTAAGGAACACGTAAATCAATGTGTTATGTCATGATTTGTACTAATTTTTGTCGATAGATGTCCTTCCCATTAGCCGCAACATATTTTATGAAGATTTTTGATGTTGCAGATAAATCGTTCGTAAAATGGTAAATAACTTTAATTGTTAACAGAACCTTTATCTTTTATTCATGCCAAAACATAAAGTAAAGATATCTGTTCTTTCTGTTTTATATTAACATGTATTCATAGATATTTTATTTATAAACCGATCACATTTTTCCACTACATCCAGGTTATGTTCTTGTGAATAACTTTCATGCTTCTTGTCTAGTTGCATCATAAATTTTTATTTTTTCGAAATTGATGCACTACACTCAATCTTTATTGAATTTCGTAGAAATGGAAAAAGATGAATAATGACACATTGAACAAATTAATAATATAGTATTAATTATATATTATATCTAATTAAAAATAACTAATTTTTCATGAATATATATGTATCAAAGTGTAAGCTACGTAAAAAATAATTAATTATAATATGATATTCTTGAAAAAGAATAAAAATATTTTTAATTTTTAGTATGAAATATTTCCTTTGTAAAAAAATTGAATTTTTATGTATTGAAATGTATATTTTTTTTGTACAGTTCCAGAATTTTTCTATATGTAGAGATAGCCTTATTGGTATTACAAGATTTGCTATATCTAAAAAGAAACTTTATAGAGATGGTTCAACAATTTATATCTATAATGTTTTATTACAATCACAACTACCGCAAGTCACAAATATACAAGGTTTATCAGTAAGTTTTATATTAAAATATTGTTAAAGAAATCTGTAGATTTGATTAATAGTAATGTGTTTTCTTAGGTCAGATTCTATTCGAATCCAGCAAGGAGACCTAGTTTTTTATCAAAATTTCTTGAAAATATCAAGCAAGAAATGCAAAAAAATAAAGAGATGAAAGAATCTTTAAAGAAGTTCAGGGAAGAAGCAGAAAAACTGGAACAATCTGAAGCCTTGCGTTCTGCTAGACAAAAATTTCATGCAGTTGAATCTGAAGCTACCAAAGGATCTGAAGCTCTGAAGGAAAAGTTAGGATCTTTAAAGGGAAAGGTGAACAAGTAGAAAGACATTTTTTACATTAATAAAATTTACAAATATTAACAATTTTAATTGAATATTGTTATATAGGTACAAGAAGTTCTTGAAGAAGCCAGTAAAACGGAACTAGGAAAAAAGGCTGGCCAACTGGGTGAAGGAATATCAAAGTCTGCAAAAGGAGCAGCAGAAACATTATCTGAAAAAAGTCAGGCTTTGGGTAAAACAAGTGCATTTCAAACAATATCTCAAACTGCAGAAGCTGTACGTGAGGAATTAGATAATCAAGGAATGCATGGTGAGTTAATATTTATAATTGAATGTAAAGATTTACAGTAATATGTTTCAAATCAAAATTATAGGAAGAGTGTATGACCCACCAAAAAAACTAAGAAAAAGAAAAGACGTGATAGAATCAGTAGATGGTAAAATTGTTCAACCAAACGCAGAAGCCACAGGAGTTGAACTTCATAAAGATTCTAAATTTTATCAATCATGGCAAAATTTCAAGGTATATAATTTAAAATAATAAAATTGTATCATATATCTTTAGAGTCGCAAATATTGATGATAGCATATATTCTTTTAAGGATAAAAATCCATATGTGAATAAAGTATTGGAATGGAAAATCAAATACGAAGAATCCGATAATCCGGTAATTCGTGCTTCCAGATTATTGACTGAAAGAGTTACAGATATAATGGGTGGGTTGTTTCAAAAGACAGACCTATCAGAAACATTAACACAAATTTGTAAACTAGATCCTAATTTCGATAGAGTACAGTTTTTAAAATATTGTGAAACTGATATTATTCCAAATATTCTGGAAGCTATGGTGAGGGGAAATCTTGAGATTTTAAAAGACTGGTGTCATGAAGCTCCATATAAATTAATAGCACAGCCGCTAATACAAATAGAAAAATTAGGATATCAATTAGACAATAAAATTTTAGGTATTTTTTAGTATTTTTTAGTATTTTTTGTACAAATACTTCATTTTATGCAATTATTTCACATAAAATAAAATGTTTTACTTTTAGATATTAATAATGTAGATTTAGTAATGGGCAAAGTAATGGAAGAAGGACCAGTTTTAGTGATTCGCTTTCAATGTCAACAAATTGTGTGTGTCAAAGATGCCAAAAATAACATCATTGAAGGAAACCCTGATAAAATAATGCGTGTGACTTATGTCTGGGTATTATGCCGTGATCCTACAGAACTTAATCCAAAAGCTGCATGGCGTTTACTTGATCTCAGTGCCAACAGTAGTGTACAGTTATTATAGTGTACAGTTTAGGTATAAATTTAATTAAAGCTTTAAACATAAATTAATATTAATACATGACTGAAAAATATGTAAGAACAGACGCATGTTTTCTTACAATTTTCAATGCAATTTATAATGAAAGAAAAAATGATAATTAAGATTCTCAGCATGTATATTAATCTATTGATGATGGGTATTAATTTCTGTGACTTAAATTGAATGACTGGTGTTCAATTTAGCTCTGTAACTTAAACTACAGAAACCTTGTAAAATTCACAGTTTCAATTTATATATAAAAATAGGGAGTAAAAGTAAATTTTAATATATATATTAAAATACAAAAATTTATTATTACCATATCTTTCTAATGTGTTTGAATAGTACAGTCACATGTTATTTATGTTTATATTAAAACGTATCTTAAAAATTTGATTGTTTATTTTTAGTATTATAATTATCTTTATATGCCAGAATTAATTATACAATATAAATTATTGTTCAATCATGTTTTATGATCATCAATTGATTATATGTATATTATTTTATTTAATGCATAGAAACATACAAAAATTGTAGTAACTCATTTGTGTATATATTTAAATATTAACATTAAAATGTTATAGAATACATTTAATAAAATTTATTTTGAATACCAAATATATATCTTGAATATATATTTCAAATTATATCATAAATAGAAGAATGTATACATTTTATGATTAAACAAAGATTGTGTATATCTTCATGTTAATTGATGCGTATGTTTATTGAAACGATCGTTAACTATTTTTTAAAACCTGTAATATACGAATTAAAATTACTTATTTTTTAATTACAATAAATTTCTGATAATAGATGACAGTATATTATAAAAATAAATTCAATATGTAAAGATAAAAAAATGTTTTCGATCAGAATTGTTCCTATTTGGCCTTCTTTCAATATTTTGTAAATAATTGGAAAATATTTGAAAAATTCTAAAAGATTCAATTGAAATTGTTCCAAATGACGTTTTAATTCATAACTAAGTTTGATATATTTTAAAAATTTTAATTAAATTTTTTAGGAATATTAACAATTTTTCTTTATAAAATTCATGGAATTATTAATTTCTTTTTAACTATGAATGAATTGTAGTGAAACTTTTTTCTGATTGGCTGATCTTATACTCGTTTTCATAGGAAGGTAAAATTTGATTACATGTCAATATTCCTTCTTTTCACTTTTATATATTATTATAAAAATTTGTCTAAAGTCATTGTAAAACATGCGTAATTTTATTATAAATATACAACATAATGTATTTATTAAAATGTAATTACACAACTTGTGTTAGACATTGTATGTAACTGAACCTTACAGAAAAAGTGGTGTGATAGAAATATTGTTAGTACACGCAAAGATATAACTAAATAATAACAATCTGCAAGGCAAAAAGGTATTCTCTATTATATTAATTAAGGGTGAAAGAAAAGTATGTTCAAAGATTTTCCGATTTGATATTATTAAAAATATAAATAACGATCGTAATAGCTCAGTCCGCCATTAGTGAAGAGTCGCCATGATTTGCCTTTTGTAACACCAATACAGTAACGTGATAGAAGCATCTGGATGATCAGTTGCAACTTGATAAAGACGAGTGCACATTCTATGGATATTTCGATTTAAACGTAACTATCAATTGCTCACGCATTATATTGAATCTGTGTAAATGAGAATTTTTAATGCTTTTACGAATACGTAGGCATAGTACAGTTCGCTTGCTTTCAAGAACACGTAACTCGTTGTTTCTTCAGAAACATGGCTGAATATCGTTTCGATGGTGTGGTGAAATTGTGTGTACAGAATTATTAAAACGACATCCTGGTCTTAGATACGTTCACACATTAATAAAATGACGTCGATACATTTTGTTGCACATCCGTTACCTGGAACAGATGATCAGCTAAATGATAGGTAAGAAAACGTATCTGTTATCGGTTTCCCATTAATGTATCCTTTTGGTATATCTATCTGCTCTCCGTATTGAAATGATCCATTCATTGTTCGTTCTTGAATATACTTGCTCCTATTAATTAGCATATATTCTCTATGCTTTTTTTTTCGATTCTGAATTTTAAGACGATAGTCCTCGCCCGTTGCCGAATAATTCAATAGTATTACATGCATCATCTGAAAGATAAAAGTTTGTTGTCACATCATTACGTTTCTGTTAAATAATACATATATATCTAACTACTATAACAGGGTAAAACGTCAAATATATCAGTTTAGAAATCATCTTTATTGCTCCAGTGAAAAATTACGTCTACACACACGCATGCACACACGCGCGCGCGCGCACACACATACACACGCGCGCGCGCGCGCGTGCGTGCACGAGCTTGTATCATATGTATGTGATGCTGTATGCATGCATGTATACTATGTATGTGTGTATGAACGCGCGCGTGCGTGTATGCGCGTGTATACACAGACGCACGCGCATACACACACGTAACAGAATATAAATGTTAATAAATTTTTTCCATTTGTTTCTATCATTTAAGATATTTTTAGGTTACAAAAATGAAATGCAATTTATTCAATTATAATTATTTGTAATTTAATACAATAATAATGGTGCTTTCTCGTTTTAGTCATTAGTAAGTTGTTCTGTTTTTATGGACATAATGTAATTTGTCTGATGTTATATACTTGTTATTTTAACAACCTTTCATGTATTTCAGTTTATATAAGCTTCCTGTTTACATAATGTTTTAAGAAAGTTATAATCTATAGTACTTAAATATTCTTTTATTAATATCAAAACACTATAGCAAGTATTATATTTTATGGCAACTAAATAGTAAAAGTCAAGTTAATACATGTTATCATAGTATCTATTTATTATGTTTACATTATATTTAAATGCCGATGATATCTTCTTATATTTACTAAGAAATTTTTACAGATTTCATTATTATGTAATATTAAAAATAAAATAACATTTTTTTTTATGTTCACCTTGAGATATGATATTTATTTATATGTATTATATATTATATATTATATATTATGTTCGTATTTCTTTGATTTTATTTTATTTATATGTAACAGAAAAATTTGAAATAAAGAATAAAAATCATACTATTACAATTTCATCTAATAAATTTAAAGGATTTAAAGAAGTACGATTTAAACTATAACATACACAATAATTGAATGATTAATTTAACAACCTTCTTTTTTCTTATTCCAAACTTGTTTAGATTGAAGGAAGTGGCAGAAAAAATCAACAGATATGGATTTGTGACATTACCAGCATTTAGTGGGTTGAAGGTTGCAGTAAAGCATATTGTGGTTGGTCCAACACATATTGCCCTCCTTACAGAAGACCATAAAATTTGTAGAGTTGCATTTACAGTATTGTCTGATAGATTGGATTTAAGTAAAAATGAACCAAATAGAAAGTAAGTTATGAAGTATTATTAAATTTTCTATAAATAACATCCTATTATGTATTATTGTAATTATGATGGGTAAAATTACCTATTTTTCTATTATTGTAGCACAAGTAAAAACCATGTTGGCAATGCTAGTTCAGCACCAAATGGTGGTACAAGCAGTGGAAGTGGAAGCAGAACAGGAATGTCTAGGTCACGTGCAAGAATTGGGCGTGGCAGTTCTGCAATTCGTGGAGGTGGAGGTAGCGGAGGAAGCAGCAGTGGAGGCAGGATAGGTCTAGGTGTAATTACAAGTGGTGGAAGCGGTAACAGTTCACGTCCTATTGCATCTGTACCTGCTCCATTTGTACCAGAAGATCTTATTACACAGGCTCAAGTGGTATTGCAAGGGAAAAGTCGCAATCTTATTATTAGAGAATTACAGGTTCAACCAGTTTAAATAATTAGTGTTTTGCTTGTATTGTTATGATTAAAAGCGGATTTAATACCGAAATATATTTTACAGCGTACAAATTTAGATGTAAACTTAGCAGTAAATAATTTACTGTCACGAGATGATGAAGAAGGAGATGATGCTGAAGATGCAGCGGATACCTATGTTCCAGAAGATCTCATTTCATTATTAGATGGTGGATTTAACAATGAACATTCTGTTATAATTGATACAGATTCTATGTTTCCAGAAGATATGTTTGGATATACAGGAATGAGAAAGTAATTATTTCCTAATTATTTTTTAGACCATTCATAGGAGAAGATATATTTTTAATTTTTGTATTTTCCTAGTCGGGGTAGTTCTTCGCGCAGAATAGGTAATGACAGAGAAGGTGAACGTACTTCTGAACGAGACAGAGATCGAGACAATTTTAGTAAATGGAGAGATCGTCAGTATTGTGGTCCAAGACGTTGGTTGGAATCAGCACTTAAAGATTCCTGGGACAAAGATTCTGGTAAAATTAAGACTTTAATAAAATTTATTTTTCAATTTTTTTGAGCTGTAGTACCTAATATCTTAATTGTTCATTTGAAAAATTCATTAGATAATAAAAAGAAAGAGTTAGCTTCTCAAAGTCCATTATGGATATCGGAAGAATCGCTTTATAGTGAACTAATAGCTGTTTCTGCTGGAGGACAGTTATATCAATGGAAATGGTCAGAATCTGAACCATACAAACATCCAGAGGTGATTATTACTAAAATGGATTGTGCTTTAAGATTTCATGTAAATGGTCTAATAAATAAAAATAATTCTTTTTATAGAATCCAAATATACATCATCCAAAAGCTCCATGGTTGGCAGTAACAACAGAAAAGATAGTTAACATATCTGCAACAGCTATTCGATGTTCCATTAGTACTGAATCTGGAAAAGTAGCAACTTGGCTTGATGAACTACTAGGGCATGTTGCTTCTCGTCTTGAACATCCAGCTCAAACTTTCACAGAATTTACTTTAGATAAGATAGTATCTCTACATACCTGTGCTTTATATACTGTTGCTAAACTTGAAAGTGGTGCATTGTACTGGTGGTGAGTTAAAATATTAATGGCCATTAAAAAAAAGAAAATATAGAGTTAATATTAATAGCCGCATCTCGTTTTAAAGGGGAGTATTACCTTTTGCACAACGTAAAAAATTATGGGAAAAATATAAGGCTAAATCACGTAAACACAGATCCTCTACAGTATCATCAAATGATATTAGTTATGGTGCACATGTTTGTATGAAAAATAGTCCTATATATCATCCTGGCGCAATAGGTAACTTGTTAAATATTATATTTTACTTATCATTTCTTTAAAACTAGTTATAGTATACTAAATTTATATATTTTTAAGGATTTACAATTGCTAATGGAGTTCCAAAAGTAGGACAATTATTAGGAGCAGCTTGGAATTTAGATAGTAATTACAGATTTAAAATATTACCAGCTGGAACTCATTTGCCCAATGTCAATGCTGAAAAAAGGGAATCAAATGGAAATAGCGGAACGGGTAACATTAATAAGACAAATCACAAAGAAACTGCTGATCGACTTGATATGCCTCCGCCACCCTCGCCAGCTTCGAGTACATGTAGCGACACTGGCAGTATAACCACAAGTCATAGTAATATCGTTTATTTATACATATTTATATATTTTCTTCTTATTAAATTTATGTATACTAATTCTAATATAAAAATTATATATATGTATATGAAATATATAATATATATACATATATTAATTTTGTAGAGAGGCAAAAGCGTGTTGCACCACGAAATGAGGGAGAATCAGAACGAAAAGATGAAGAAGAATGGCAGTTAAAAGATGTTGTTTTTGTTGAAGATGTAAAAACAGTTCCCATTGGTATGTCATACACATTGAATAACTCACAAAATAATATTGATACTGATACTATAATTTATGATTTTTTTTATATTTGCAGGTAAGGTTATAAAAGTTGATGGTTGTTATGTTGCTGTAAAATTCTTCTCAAAAGATTCAAAAGAAAAAGAAATTAAAGAAAAAGATTTTAGTACATCAGATTTTAAAGATTTAACAACTGAAGAGTTGATTAAATTATTAGCTGACTGCAGATTATTACGTAAAGATGAGATACAGGTAAGTTAAATGTTGAAATATAATTTTATTCAAGTAAATTGTAATAAAAGTAATTATACGGTTGTATACCTAGGTAATAAAATCATCTATGAATCCAAGAGCTCCAGATTGTTTTCAACGAACTCCTAGACGGGTGAATATTGTCGAAGGGTCAAATGATAGTATTTTGAGCATTGCCACTGATGGACAAGGTAAAATTTAAAAGAATTAATGTTGTTTATGAGACTTCTATTTTTATTAGTAATTGTTGAAGTTGAACTATGAAGTTCTGAACTATAATTATTAGTAATGCACTTCAATGATTGATTAATTACAGGAATTCATGCAATAGTAAAAAGTGGGAACAAATTAAGTTATGTTGTTTATAATTTAAGTACCGGGAGATATGTACAAGATTGTTATATTCCATCAGATGTGTCATCATTTCTGGGTCTACAGCCTCAAAATATTAGCTTGACAAGCTCAGGAGAAGTATGTATTCATAGTTTTAATTAATAAAAATATATTATTTTACTTAACACGTTGACGCCGGCGTGCATCACCGGTGGGTCACACGTGTCTGTTCCGTAAGGCGGCGTGCATCACCGGTGGGTCACACCTGTCTGTTCCATGAGGCGGCGTGCATCACGGTGGATCATACTTGTATTTCACAAAATAGGTTTATATTATTTTACCTCAACATTATAAACAAACATTCAATAGTAAAAACATACAAATTCAATACTATAAACTTAACATAATTATCTAATTTTTTTATGCAATTTTTTAAAACATGTCAGTCGGGGGTTCGACGAAATTGCCGCTCACACTCAACATAATTTACGACTAAAGCTTACACTACGTCCTAACACTATCCTAACACTATTTTCGTCGTGCATATTTCTTCGTTCTCCGACGAACATGCATGACTATTTTTTTTTTTCCTGTACGAAGTTGAAAAATTTTTTGATTCGCGATATGAACGTTTCTTATAGAAAAATGTTCACAAAATTGCGTGCGATGGTCAGAATTCGCGTCAGACTTCCACTTTTTGAGAAAAATTGAAAAGAGTACTCCAAAATTAGAGCCAAAACTGGTCCCGTCAGCTTTACTTAACATTTACAGGTATATGCAAATTGATATTACCAAACTATTGTATATGAATGTATTAGTTGAAGTGCACAGAATTCATTGAATCCAACAGGAACCGTATAGCTTTTGTAGTTTTGTTATAAATTAAAGTCAAAGTTGAAAAATTGCGATCTTCTTCAAAATCGATTTTCTCAAAAACTTAGGATGATAGACAAAAACTGATTTCAGATTCGTTTTTAGCTCGTCGAGATCTATAAGAATCACCTAGTGGGTATTACCGTGTGGGTATAATCTGGTGCTGCGCCAGAACAGACCGTGAATTCGGGCGCCGGCGTCAACATGTTAAAATAGTACAAAATGGTGTGTAGTACACAACTTTATGTTACAGAATATCGAGTGTTCTATGATACTTAGAGATGGGAATAATACAATTTATCCATTGGCAAAAGATTGTGCTGATGCTATCCGTGATCCAAATTGGTTAGATTTAGTTCCCGTTCTATGCATTGGTGCTTCAACCATTCCCATACCAACTTGTTCAAATTCAACCAATATGAAAAATCAAGTTGCAGTTATTGCACTAGCATTTGATAATCTTTTGTTAATGCCGCGTATATTAAGATGCGACTATGAGAGTATTAAGCAAATATTTTGTAATTTGGAACAAGATCACAGTATGTATAATTATTATTTTTGTGTTATAAATATCTGATTAGAGAAGGATAAACTACGATATGGTGCATTTTTTTTTTTTTAGAAAACAATGGAGCACAGATTCAATCAATATTGATGGAACGTTGTGATGGTAATCGTAATATTTTGCATGCTTGTATAAGCATGTGCTTACCAACTTCAAATAAAGAAAATGATCAAGGTACTACATTTGTCTTTTTATATAATAAATAGGAAGTTACTAATTATTTGTTCTTATTTATTATTTTATTTGGAAGGTATTGAACGTGAATTAGTTTCAAATACTGTTGATGGACCATCTGCACCTATTGAAGAACCAATTCCAACTTTAAGTTGGCCACCTGAAGCATTTGATAACACATCGGGTGAAGAAGATAGTTTACTTAGTATTGGTGCTGCTAGTATATCCATGATGAACAAATCAGGTAAACGCATATTAAAAGCCATTTTGTTATATTGTTTTCTTCTTTTTATTATTTTTATTTCAAAATATATGTTCCATATTATTAACTAAATATTTCCGTGCTTTCAGGTATTGGTGCAACATCGAATAATACTTACATCATAGACTCTGTTGAAAGAAGGAATAATGCATTACTTATATTAAAGTATATGTGTGAAAGTAGCGTGTTAGCGCCTCACTTAAAGGAGCTACTCACAGCAAAGTATGTCAACTATTAATAAACAGAATATTTTTGTGATTCGCAAATACTTACATATTTGTATTAATAGGGATATTCAGGGTCAGACACCATTAATGCTTGCTGTATCAGTTCGGGCATATCACGCAGCTCTTATTTTACTAGATATTATTCAAAGAGTTGGACGAGATCAGAAAGAATGTTCGACTATGATACTTCCTGCAGATGCTAATCCAGATTTATCACCATTATTTGTCACTTGCTGTAATGATACTTGTAGTTTTACGTGGACTGGAACTCAACACATCAATCAAGATATTTTTGAATGCAAAACTTGTGGTTTGATCGAATCTTTATGCTGTTGCACTGAATGTGCTCGCGTTTGCCATAGAGGACATGATTGTAGAATAAAAATAACTTCTCCCACAGCTTATTGTGATTGTTGGGAGAAGTGTAAATGTCGCGCGCTCATTGCAGGTCATCAAGGTGCTCGTTACGAACTTCTTTGTCGTCTTGTAGTGAACACTGATCTTGTCACAAAGATAAACTCACGGTAAATAAATTTGTGATAAATTGGTAAAATTGATGGCATTAGAAATTAACAAAGTTAACAAATCATTTTTCCAATTTTATAGAGGAGAAAGTATTTTATTATTCTTAGTTCAGACCATAGGGAGACAATTGATAGAACAACGACAGTACCGTTCTGCTCTACGACAACGATCAACATCTGCAAGTCGTAAAGGACCTTCAACTGAGGGTAATCTTTTCTCACTTGAATACAGTAAGCCTAATTGTATAAGAAATAAAAATGAAAGTTAATTGTATTTGAATTATAAACAGGATTAGATACTTATGTACCAGATATGCCAGATCATGATTTAGAACCTCCTCGTTTTAATCGAAAAGCTTTGGAAAGATTATTGAATGATTGGCCAGCAGTTCAGTGCATGATCATGTCAGGAGTTTCTGTAAATGGAAATGATCAGTTATTCGGGGATCAAGGACAATTGGGTCGTCAAAGTGGCACTGCTCTACTTGACAAATTTACGCATTCACTGTTATTTAAGTGTGGCCCAGAGGTAAAGAGATATTAGTTTTATTTTGTGCCTTTGATATACTAATAGAAATATTTAATACAGTGCAATTGTTTCCAGATGCTGGATACTCTTCTTACGACTCTGATACGAGAATTACAAAATGATACTATATCCGGACGACAGGAAGAAGCGAATAATGTTGCGCGTCGATTTGTTCGATCTGTAGCCCGAATATTTGTGATTTTTACAATAGAAATGGCACCAAATACAACAAAACGAAGAAGGTTGGAAATAAGTTGTGTTATGGAAATACACAATTGTTTCCCATTTGTGTATATGTTAACATTTTTTTTTTTTTTTAATTTAGCACCAGCCAAGCATCGCAGCCTTTGATGAGATGTCGTCAAGTTTTTCAAGCGCTAATTAAATTAGCTGTCGAAGAATTATGTGAGACGGCCGATTCACTAATAGCACCCGTAAGATTAGGTGTTGCTCGTCCAACGGCACCGTTTACATTAACTAGCTCAGCAGTCGAAGTAATCAATGGTTCAGAAGAATTGTTTTCTATAGAACCATTAATTCCTCATAGTGGAGTTAGTTCTCAAACTCTAGATGTCACTATGCAAACACAACAAGGGAACAATAATATAGCAATTGCCAGAGATGTTTCTACTATGGATGAAACAGAAGCTGGTGAAGGTATGTTTTGTAAATTAACATAGAGGAAAGTATAAAAACAATGCGACTCGAATATCAGATATTTGTAGAATTATTTAGAAAATTATGAGAATTCTACGATGTATAGGAGTAATAATATTTAACTTTTTGTTCTGGGATTGCTCCATTTTCAGGATTAATTTTCTGTGCTATTCTGTGTAATGTTTTTTTTTGGAAATATTTTTAATTTCTATTATGTGATTATATGTATGATATTTATGTATAAATAGAAGTTCCTATGGACGTGGATGGTGACATTAGTGAACATGAAGAATCTGGGGTTTCTGGAACCGTTACCAGTCAACCACTAGGTGAGATTGATAGCAATGGCAGAGGGGTAGGTGAAGAACAGGCAGGAGATGGTGAATCCGACACAGAGCTTGATCTCTTGGCGGAAGCAGAAACTGAATCGGATTCTGATGACAATCATAGCAATCAAGATGCAGCATCTGCACAGCGTAGCGTACAAACTGGTGCTACAGCAGGATCTGATGGTGGAATGGGATCCATTTTATTGTTTCCGGAAGATGAATCTGGGGAGTCTAGCCAGCAAGAAGACGACGAAAGTGAAGCAGGAGAAACTGACGAACAGGATAACGAAGATTTTCAGATTGGCGATGATCAATTAGAACGACGAAGGTAAAGATACTTTTTCCCTTTTAACTAATTTCAACTAACGTTGTATTTATGTATGAAATATATTAAATATGTGTAACACACGTACATTAAAAAAGTTTTGCAGCGATGCCCTTCTAATTATAGCATTAATTCTCTTCCTTTTTTCAAATACATTTATAAAAGTCATTTTTATATTAATGATACCTTATTACAGTGGTTCATCAGGCCATTTACATCGTAATAATCTAGCGCCTGTTTCTATGCAATGGGCAATACGTAATCGCGATTCAAGTATGCGTACAACTGGATTACGGGTAGCAGGTGGCAGTAATCTGGTTTTTATCGAATCTACAGCTTTAAGACGCACTACTGCAACATCTGCTGTTGCAGCTGCACAAGAACCCATAATTATGGGTACTAGTACTACTTGTTTGGCACGTGCATTTGGAATTGTTATTCGACAAATAGCTGATCTTTTAGTTATGATGCAAGATTATAAAACGTTAGCACCTACTTTGCCGCGATTAATGGAAATTACTTATCAAGATGCATTAAATCTACAAGTATGACTTTTTATAATATAAATTAATTGAAATTTAATAAGTTTGAAACAATATTATAATTTAAACAATTCTAGGTGTATCTCGAGGGGCACTTAAAACCAACATGGGATTGGCTTCTCACGGTAATGGATGCTACAGAAGCACAATTACGATTTGGAGTATCTTTAACCCGTAGTGCAGATCCCACACATCCAGAACATCCACTGAATAATGCTTCATCGTTGTCTGGAGGAAATTTTTCTGGACTGTTGAATACAGCGGCTTTGTCATTGACATTACAGTCTAATACAGGTCGGAATCAACGCAGTGGTATCGCTACGAGCTCCAATATCTCCACTCCACAAGCTTCTACAAGACTCACCGTTGGTTTTGCAGGCGTTGGCGAACCTTCAAGAAACAGTAGAGAACGCGAAGGTATCACCTTTTGTCTTTCTTGTGCAATATTTTCCTTTTAAAAAATTGTTCAAATATAGTACAATTACATTTTTAACATTAAAATAGTGATTAATCAGTGTTATCTTTAGGTGGTGATATATACTTAGCGAGGCGTGAATTTTTGTCCTATTGTCTGTCCTTAATGCGTGCTCATAATGCCGAACACAGGGACAGTTTGCCGGTATTAGATGTTTCTGCTTTAAGACATGTAGCTTATGTTTTTGATGCATTAGTATATTATATGCGTTCACTATCGGAACCAATATCATCACGAGGAGAGAGCCAGAAAGAATCATCGAACTATTCAAGTTGGAATGATCAGGTTTGTATTGAATTAAATTTTTTTTTTCAATTGATTTGCATTTAACACAGATGATAATGATACCTCACATCGCAGGACGAAAATGATAATGATGAGGGAGAAGAATATAGTTCACCTGTTCCTACTGCACTGGAAACAGATTCTGTCGATTACCCTGATTTACTTCAAGTACCTATTTGTGGATCAGGGAATAATAGTAGCAGTACACCAAAAGGAAGAAAGCATCCTTTTTTGCAAAGATCAGACTCTACCTTATGTCTTGGTTGTCCACCTCTTGATCCCTTTGACACTGTCCTGAGCGAAGCTTTGCCACTAGCTGATCAACCACATTTATTGCAACCTCATTCCAAACGGGAAGATCTTTTCGGTATACCAAGACAACCAACATCAAGTACAGGTCCGAATCAAAATCCGTTAGAAGGACTACCTACGAGACTTAGTTTATCTGCACGTGGTGCTGACAATCAAAATACCCCTACACCAACATTTAGCCAAGTTATTCAAAGATCTACCTTTGCATCGTCAGATGCGAGACGTAGCTCTGTAACAATTGGAGATTCGACGTCTACAAAGCATACGGTAATGTGTCTTTTACATAGTAAGCTGATTAAATTTATTTACTTACGGTATTCGTTTTTGTCCTTATTCTCTTTTTTCTTTATCTTGAAATTTTGCATGAAAAACAGCATTAGCTATTAATGTATTAGTAGAATTTCATTTTACTGTTATAAATTATCCTATTCTTATTTTGCTTATTTTGATATTGTTGCATTTTTGTTTTCACTAAATCTTTTATGCTATTTTATATCAATTTCTTATGTTGGAAAATGGAACATGTAGATTTACTTTACATATTGTAGGAAAAGGCAAAATCGTTCAATCACACACTTGTCGCAGAGCAAATCGATCGAGCACCAATTATTGTCTCTACCAATAATCAAATTGACCAAGCAGCAGGAAGTACTAAAACAAATAAAGATATATGTAAAACAAATAGAAGTGTCATTGTTAGAGCTGGAACCGTTGTTTCGGTAAATATATATAATCTGATTTTTTTTATATCTATTCTGCTTTATCTTATTTCATGAAGTTACTATCCAAAATATGTTAGAAATTATAAAAATTCTTGAATATACACAAAAAAAGAATATGTTTTAAAGGAATCGAATTCAAGCAAAGCTGGTGCATCAGAACTGATGTCTATGTCAAGTGAAACAACGCAAAATATAACAGAAGAGATGGATACATCCGGTTCGAACAATGAGACGTCCATAGCCTATGAAACGGTTGAGACAAATCCAGTTTCATCTATTGGAACTAATATATCACATAACATTTTATTGGGTCGTTGGAGTTTGTCCCTTGATCTATTTGGACGAGTTTTTATGGAGGATGTTGGATTAGAAGCTGGTTCGGTTGTTTCTGAATTAGGAGGTTTCCAAGTAAAAGAAGCAAAATTCCGTCGAGATATGGAAAAGCTTCGGAATGCTCAACAAAGAGACATTAATTTGTCAAAAGTAATTAATTGCAATATTGTAAATTGTTTAAATGAACAAAATATGTTGTATGTAATATAAATAATTTTTTTTTTAAGGTCGAGCGAGACAGAACACAGCTATTAGTGCAAACAATGAAGGAATTAAATACACATTACAATTTATATAACAGGCGTGCTGTTAACGCACCACCATTAGCAGTGCACCGCGTTAAAGTGACTTTCAAGGACGAACCTGGTGAAGGCACTGGAGTAGCTAGAGGTTTTTATACCGCAATTGCAGAGGTTTGTAATATTATAGTAAAATTTCTTTTTATATGAAAAATATAAAATGATATTTTTTACAGGCATTGCTTGCAAATGAAAAACTACCAAATCTGGAAGCAGCACAAGTCGGATCAAAATATACACAATATAATAACGTTCTTCGGAAGCTAAAAAGTAGAGATCGTGATCATGATTTAAGACGACAAGTAAGTATAACTGTTACAAAAAAAGGAAAAGAAAAGAAATATTTTCTACTCTCTGTTTACAAATTCTATCCTATTCCAGAATCCTCGATCTTCTGGAAAATGTCGAGAGACACGTAGAGCATTATCTTTTGAAGCTCGTGTATTTCATCCATCCAGTTCTGTTGAAGGAAGCAGTAATTCTGGAGCCGGTAGTTCTTCCTCCAATTCCCATCCGTTACCTGTTAGTCACCCAAATAACGATCACTTGACCATACATCAGCAACAACTCGGAGACAGGCTATATCCAAAGGTAATTAATAATAATTTTACTTTATTTTTCACAATAGCACACTACTGTTACCTTGTACAGGTTTATGCATTGCAACCCGCATTAGCTGCTAAAATAACTGGTATGCTGTTAGAGCTGTCCCCTGCACAGCTGTTGATGTTACTAGCTTCAGAAGATGCTCTGCGGCAGAAAGTAGAGGAAGCATTTGAATTAATTCGTAGTCATAGTCAGGAATCGGCCAGGGAAGCACTCTTGGATCTCGATGTATTCAGTTTGATCGCACGTTGTGGGGCTAATAAGAAAAAAATCGAGAATAGCATTTTAGATGATACCGAGGATAATGCTCCGCTCTTCTATTCTCCGGGAAAGAGAGGTTTTTACACCCCACGACAAGGAAGAGCCAGTTATGAACGACTGAACGCATTTAGAAATGTGGGCAGGTTGGTAATGATATAGAAATAGCAATTAATTAAAATATAATGATCATAAATTATTAGTTGAAATATAACAAAATATTTATAACAGACTTATAGGATTATGTCTTTTACAAAATGAGTTGTGCCCAATATTTTTAAATCGTCACGTAATAAAGTACATTTTGGGAAGACCTATTCGTTTCCATGATCTTGCATTTTTTGATTCTGTAATTTATGAAAGCCTACGACAACTTGTTATTGATTCTGAAACTAAGGATAGTAACAGTCTATTCTCTGCTCTTGATCTTACGTTCAGGTAAATATATCACAAAAATATTCCAGTCTCTTGTATTCAAAGAGACAGCTCTAATCTTGTATTTCGTTTTGAACATAACATATAATACTCTTAATTGTTTTAGTATTGATTTGTGCCCTGAAGAAGGTGGTGGATCGATTGAACTTATTCCAAATGGACGAGATATAGAAGTGACAGCAAGTAATGTTTACGATTATGTACGAAAATATGCAGAAGTTCGTATGATTAAGGTACAAGAGAAAGCTTTACATGCCATGAGAGAGGGAGTGTTCGATGTATTACCGGAAGGAGCGCTCGATGGTTTAACATCCGAAGATTTGAGACTTCTTTTAAATGGAGTCGGTGATATTAATGTTTCCGTTTTGATATCGTATACTTCCTTCAATGATGAATCAGGAGAACCTGCCGATAGATTAGCTAAATTTAAGCGATGGTTATGGTCTATCGTCGAAAAAATGTCGCATTCAGAAAGACAAGACTTGGTAAGAGATTCCACTAAAATGTTCGTTTTGTTAACAAGAAAAAATTGTCTTTTATAACAATCTACTTTTTATCTTTTTTCTCTATATTTTAGGTATACTTCTGGACAGGGTCTCCAGCACTACCAGCAAGCGAAGATGGTTTTCAACCAATGCCGAGTGTGACATTACGACCTGCAGATGATCATCTACCAACTGCAAATACATGTATTTCCCGACTATATCTTCCATTGTACAGTTCTCGTCACATATTAAGACATAAACTACTACTTGCTATTCAGACAAAGAATTTCGGATTTGTATGAATATATAGAATCTTTCTATATATATATATATATATATATAAACACACGCGCGCGACTTCCATTGTACAGTTCTCGTCACATATTAAGACATAAACTACTACTTGCTATTCAGACAAAGAATTTCGGATTTGTATGAATATATAGAATCTTTCTATATATATATATATATATATATAAACACGCGCGCGCGCGCAGACACACACACACACACACACAGACACAGACACACACACGCACGCACATATGATTATATATATACACGTATGGGTAAATATATAATTATATGTATACATAAAATATATATAATATAACGAATATTATATATACATTATGTATTATATATATACTATGTGACCATGTTTGTGCGCAATAGCTCTAAAAAGAAGTCACATTATTGATAATGAGAAACGAAAAAGTTGTATGTTGTTATTTTTTTCCTTCCTAAAAAAAAGTGTATAACATTTATAAATTTATAAGGTGTAATTATGAATTCTGATTTCTTTTATTGAACAAAAAGACGTGGTTTCCATCGTAAGATTTTATATTAAAGTGTCATCTTTAGTCATTATAGTGATCGAATAAAACATTTTTAAAAGTCACGGCAGAAAACCGATTAATAGCAACCCCGTATCATCAGAGATAATTACTTTAATATCTGTTACGCCTGTATATCTTTTACATCATTACAGTACTTCTTTTATATTTTTCTTTTTTTTCTTTTTAGGAGTTTTAACAAATTATTATACAATTAAAAATTTTTTTATTAGGCATGTTTAAGATGTAACATAAAATGTTGACAGGAAATTGTAGATTTTTCTTTTTAATGCACACCAGTAGTAATCATTTTTCTGGATTTCAGCATGTTGTTGATTATAATACATATCATTTTAAAAATCAGACTACAACACGAGAGTACAGGTTACAAAATATGAGATTTGATATTTAATAATTGCGAAAATTACATAGTTTCACATAAAAAATTGCTTTCATGAATGAAAATGATAACAAAATATCAACATAAAATCACACGTAATTTAAAACGATATAAAGGTTTCTTAAACATCAAATTCTTAGATTGAATTACCAATATTTCTTTTCAATCGAATTTATGCTGGATGAAATTGGCCAAATGCGAAGGTAATAGGAAAAATAATCTAGGAATGTCTAGCTGCCTATTTCATATTGTTATATACTTTCTTTTTTTAACATGTTCAAAATCTTGAATCTATCATAAAACAATATCAACTCCGTTACTTATGCTGCTTAGTTTTAGCATGCACTCAATATATGTTCTTGTTTCTGTCTAGGATCGTAACAATATATATTTCCAAAATGATTATCATTTTGAAAGAAAATTGAATTTACAGATTTAAATTATTATTTATATATATATTTCCTAAACAGTAAACTGAAATAGTAAAAAATAATCTATTATCTTTAATTTACTTAAAAAAAAAAGATTACTAATGCTAATATGTATAATATAATAAATCTCATTGTTTATAAATTTCTAAAAATCGTAAAGTTATATACAATAATTATATTATTCGTTATGTACTTGACAAAGTATTAATAGAAACTTATTTACAATGGTTACCTATTGACCACTTCCTGAATTGTTTTGGGGTAATTTTGCTGTTGATTGGCTCAATTGAGCCAATGTTTCTGGAGTTGCATGGGCTTTCAAAATAGAATTTTCAGCTTCCAGTTGATTTATACGATCCATAAGCTCAGCTATTTTTTCCTTGAGAACTTCAACCTCTTCTCGTACAGCAAACATCAAATGACTTTTAACAAGGTCCTATGAAAAAACTCCTTATTAACTTTAACATTATTATTCTTTATTATTTTCATGTAATTCTATCTACAGCAAAGAATGCTTACCATAGCTTGTTCAATCTTATTATCAATTGCTACAGCGCTAGTCCCCGACATACTGCAATAAAAATTACATACGAAAATTTATTTATGCTGTAGCAATTAAATTCACAATCTTGTTAAAAACTACTTTTCTGTTTCTAGAAGGAGAAATTTCTATTAAGTATGTAGGCAAATTATCTCAATATTTTAATGAATATATTATTTCGATAATTCAATACATATTTAATAAAGTATACCTTTCATTATCTTCGAGGGTATGATGTTCATCACTGCCTTGAGTGACTTCAGTTAATGATTCTAAAAGAGTTGTATCAGCTGATTGAGTGGTGGATCCAGTTACAATGCCTGAAATAGAGTCCTGCTCCGGATCTGGTTGATGAAATGTTATATTTCCCTGTTGTATACCACCTACAACATTTTGGCAACTACCTGATACCTGTGCCATTTGCACTTGAGCATTGCTACTGGAAGTTGGAGGTTGCATTTGAGATGGTAACACTTGAGATTGCACTGGTGCTCCAGGAGCATGAATAGTTGATGAAGTTTGCTGTGCACCTGTTTGAGGAACTTTATGAATATTTTGTATGCCCTGCATTCCTTGTATGGCAGTCAATGGCTCAGACATTTGAGTCATTGGTTTCTGTGTTTGTAATGACTGTTGAGGCTGTTGCTTTTGTTGTTGTGACTGCTGCTGTTGTGACTGTGGTGGCTGCTGGGATGGAGGATGTTGTTGCTGCTGCTGCTGCTGCTGCTGAGGAGCATGTTGTTGCTGTTGCTGTGTAACAAGAATATTAGGTGCTTGAGACGTTGGTACAGGTGTTTGCTGCACAGGGGGTTGACAAACATTTTGAACTGGTAATGACTGATTTTGTGTGCTCACTGTCACATATGTATCTTCTTTTGAATGAGGTATATTTTGTTGGGTTGTCACATTAGTACTACCAGTCTGTGTTATAATAGGTATAGAACCTTGGGGCATACTTTGAGATTGAGTCAAATTACTAGGATGAGTTGGCTGTAGATTAGAGGGTAATGTGGAACCTTGTCCACTTTGCTGTTGTTGCTGAGATGCCAATTGTTGAGCTGAAGATTGAAAATATTGAGGAATTTGCGAAGGTGCCTGAACTTTAGTTTGTGTTTGAACTTGCGTTGGATTATGTTGTGCATTGGGAGGAATTGAATTGCTTACTGCATAATTAGCACTTGAAACTGGTGTAGGATTACTTGGTACACCAATTGATGTATGCACATCTGTATGTGCAGGTACTTGTCCATTAGCATCGATGCCCATACCTTTATCTTCAGATACAACTGATTGCTTAGATGCATCAGGTATAACAATTCCACTGTCTGTTACTCCATACGATATGCATACCTCATTTGGATCAGATACTTTTGGTGTACTGATTGCAGTTGGTTGATTAACTGATGTGTGATCCAAATAATCCATGCAAGTCCATCTACCTCTCTTAAAAGGTTCAGTACTTTCGATTTTAACCACTTTGAATCTCTCATTTCTACCATGCGAATGTACTTCACGTAAATCTGCATCTTGTTTAGCATTACTCGAAAGTAAATTGATAATATTGTTATCGGTAACAGATGTAATATCCAAAGTATTGATATTGCTATCATTTACCGAATTGTTAACATTATTTCCTTCAGAGGGCACAATTGCCAAACCATACTGTGAACTTGTAGGAATCACCGGAGCAGTACTGAGGGCAGCATTACTAGTATTAAAGAATACATCTTCTTTAGAGAAAGTATCTTCTGAATAGCTAGGCGTTTCAATATCGATATCTGTGATACGCGAATGTTCAACCGAATTGTCCTCCGTGTGCGATTCATCGAGATCATCGTTCGAATCTTCACCGGCATCATTGCTCATACGAGAACCAACGGTAACGCTTGTAATCTGGAAAGATGATGTCTTTTTCCGACACTGGTTACTGGTCGTCACGTTGCTCGAGGTGGTCAAACTAACCGGCTGGTATAGTTTCTCAGGTTCGCCTAACCGAATCGTCTCGGTGGTTGTACGATGCACTGGATTTGATATTTTTCTACTACCATCCGATAGCTTATGTGATTTTCTGTGTACATTATCTGCCATTATTATAGGAACTTAGCATTCGAGAGCCACGATCTTTGCATTCGTTGTTCTCTTGCATGTTAAACCCGACATCGCTCTTAGCCGGGGCCTTTCGGCTTCGAACTATTTCTTCCTGTTATAATCGTCACGATTACTTTTCAAACGGACTAATTCTTATTCTTTATGGTAATTCAAATTATATTCATATTCTCATGTTAGAGAGGTGTTGACAGTTCACCATTTCATCAATTTCACGGGGAAGAAGTGTATTCGCTCGAGCACCGTCTACTCGAAACGAATATTCGCACTTCAACAAATGCCGAATTGTCTTTTTCTTTCTTCACAGTCGATCACACTACATTTAATCTCACGCGTTTACATATAACTATCTTGCGATCTGATTTCTCATTATTCATATCCTTTCTTTATTATACTAAGTAAGCAGTTTAAAAATGGCTGCCAATTCACTCACGGAATTGCCACGAATTATATCTAGAGCATCTGTGTGACTTCACAACTAAAAATCTATTTTCATCCGCGATGTAGGTGCATCACGAGAAATAATCATAGTTCCTCTCCTTTGACCCTTATCCACGCGAATACACCGATAGAAATGTCTCGATCTTGTTTTCCATACTGCGATCTTTACTATCGTCTATTGTTTAAATATAAGATAAATTCATCTCTAATTAAAAAACGATATAATTATTTCTCCATTTACATATTTTAAAATAGTCATTGTATCGTTAATAAAAATTTAATGTAAAATTTTATCATAGTTTAAAACATATTTTTATTTATTAAATAATGTATTATTTTCATTTAAAAAAATATATAAAATGCAACATAATAAAAATTTAAATTTCATTCAAATTATTTCATTTTTAATTGTTTTTATTGTATAATACCTTTATAAAATATATATTGGAATTTTCACAAACTGTAATTCTTTTCTTATTTATATTATCCGCGCTTGATGTCATTGACATGTAGTAGTCGCTGTACATAAAATAGTACCTTTAGTTTTATAAAAAAAAAAAATAAGAAACTCAAATCTGCTATTAGCAAGTTTCATATTGTATTAATATACTGAAGATAACTGATATTAAACTCGCATTATAATTTGTAAAATTTAGTGAAGGTTTAATGATTTAATTAATGAATGAAATTTATTTAAAGCGTATATTTTTCATGTTTATATGACAAATTTGCAAAACTTTTTAAACAGAAAATATAATAACCATGTTTAATACAATAAAAACAAATTTAAAAAATAGTGTAAAAAAACCGAGTAGAATTATACAGCTTAACAAAATTGAAAATAAGAAACCAATTTTGAAAACGTTACCAGGTAAAAGAATATAAAAAGTTAAATAAATTCTTGAAAAAGTATCAAATTTTTTGTTTAATTTGTAATATTTACATAGTTTTTCAGTATCCAGTAAGTAACGAAAGAGATCACAGGGTATATGTTTGGGGTTTGGCAGATCACGGTGCTCTTGGTACGTTAAAATCAACAATGTATGAAAATGGTGTTTCTTACATTCCAAAGCCTAAAAGGTTAGCTTTTGGAGAGAAACATGATATAACAAACATAACTTGTGGTTATGGTTTTACTGCTTTTGCTGTAAGATCCAATGATCAAAATATTTTATATGGAAGTGGAATCAATACGGATTCCCAGCTTGGTAAGAAAATTATTATTTTTAAATTATTTTTAAACTACTTCTCACAAAAAGTCTGTCATATTAAAATTTAACTTCTATTCCAAAATTTAATAGAATATTAAAAGTCTAATTCTGAATATACTAATAGGTTTCGATGAGAAGGATAAAAAATTCACTAATGGCTTAATAACTGAGCCAAGACCTATTAATTTACCAATTAGAAGCTCTGCTAAAGTTCTAGATATAGCAGCTGGAAGGGCACATTTATTAGTATTAACAAATGAAGGTTTATTCACATTAGGAAACAATGCATATGGACAGTGCGGTCGTCCTATAATATTAAATGAAAAATATCAGAAAAGTAGAGTTGTTTATCATATACCTAATATTAAAGAAAAAAAGATAAAAGCTGTAACAGCTGGTCAAGATCATAGGTACACAAACTTTTAATACTTATTAAATAAATTATTACAATATTTGAGAATCTTCCCTTACTGCTATATGATAGCATACTCTTGACAGAATCTGGTGAAGTCTATACTTTTGGTTGGGGTGCAGATGGACAAACTGGATTAGCACATTACCGAAATGAACATAGGCCAAGTTTAGTAAAAGGAGATTTAGCTGGGCAACATATTATAAAAGTTGCATGTGTTGCAGATTGTGTATTAGCACTCAGTGGTATCTGCAATATTCATGTATTAATACTATAATAAATTCCATGACCTTATTTTGTATAAAAATAGATAGTAATTAAATATTATATAATTGTACGTGTGGTTGTAGATAAAGGAAAGGTATTTGGTTGGGGTAATTCTGAATATGCACAATTGCTTCTGGAAGATAAAAATCAACAAGTAAATATAGCTACAGAGATACGTGCATTGGAACAGTTAGGTCATATTGTAGACATTGCCTGTGGTGGTTGCTTCTGTATGGTCCTAAACAGTAAGTATTTCTTTAATTATTTGTATAATTGTGTATTGTAATAATTTGTATATGTGTATTTATTAGATGTAGGCGATGTTTATGTGTGGGGTTATGGTATTCTGGGTTTGGGTCCTGAAGTTCAGAAAGTACTACAACCGACCTTAATTCCATCTGTATTATTTGGAAATAATGCATACCAGAAAAATACAAAAGTAAGTTTACTTTAAGACTAAAAAAAATATATATATAAAGTGAAATAAAAAAATTTAATTACATAACTTTTTCTTAGGTAATAAAAATATATTGTGGCATGAGTCATCTTGCAGCTGTGATCAATACAGGTGATATGTATATGTGGGGTTGTAACAAATTTGGATCTTTAGGATTAGGAGATTGTAAAGATCAATACTTTCCATTAAAGGTAGGATGATTTTATTTGCCATCAAAACACAATATTACAAGAGAAAATAAAAATTTATATTATAGGTAAACATAGGAGCACAAGTGAAAAAGGTTGCTTGTGGGATAGATCATACAGTTACTCTTTGTAAACCTTTTGTTTGAAACATAGTATATTTTCCATATCATAAATGATATTATACTATTTACAAAAATGATGTATAAATTTTTATTTCAATTTGTTGTATAAAAACATTATCTATATAATTACTTTTTATGATACAACATATCGCATACAATTTAATTGATAAACAATAAGTTCATATTTTTGAACGACGTATCGTTACAAAAATGAACACACTTGTTTTAAAATTTTCCATAATAACTTGAACTTTGTTTATAAAATTTATAGTAGGCGCGAGCAATATAGCATATTCGTAAATTATTGTGTTAAACCGCGGTTTTGATTAATGTCGAAATAATACCGTTTGCTATGGATTTACGAATAACAAATTCTATATATTTCAAACATTTAAAAGAACTTTAATCTTTCATAAATCATTGTCAAATATATCTAGTAATCGAAAAACTTATTCCAAATTGTCATCGTACAATATTGATTAATTCTTAAATGCTCAATTTCCATATATCTCATATTACTACTTCAGAAATGGAAATACTCGTTTTTTTAGGTTCGATTGATTTTATGAGTGCCTATCAGTCGCGCCTATTATATATATAATAGTCATTTTGTCATTAAATTCATATATAAAACTTGTCGATAATTATATATAATTAAATAAAATTAAAACTATCATTAAAATAAAAGAATTAAATGCGATTTTGGTTGCCCCACTAATACATACCATGTTTTCATAAGATATAGTATATTTCATCAAAATGGGAAATCTACAAACCCGGCGATCTAAAAAGAAAATATTAGCTAATATTAATACTACTGATAAAGTTATTTTAGTGTGATTTTTATTTAAATTAACATATTTACCAGTACATTGGTAGGAAGTACTTGAAGAGTTTGAGGCAACTGATATATAAAGTGGCGAACAGTCATGAATAACAGCAGCATTAGCACAAGACACTGTAATACTGTGAGCATTGTTGGATATTGATACACATGACTTTGATGTTTCCGTTGTATTAACGTATAATGATTGTCGTGATGAACATACAATTAAATTATTCGAATCAGAGCTTTGAATCTGAAAATATAATGTAAAATATGAAATTATAATATTTCACGTATTTGAAATAAGTATTTATGGAGGTAAAAACTCACTTTTATTGTTGCCGTATTTGCGCCATTAAAAAAGTAATTAGGGTGTAATTTATAAAAATTAATACCATTTGGTATAACATAATCATCATATGGGAGTGAAGATCCAGATGAAACAAAATCTGATCCACACTGTGTATTAAATAAGCGTTTGGGAACTATAACACATTTTACAATAATTATTTTTTTAATTGATATATGAAAAGATTAAGATCAGACTGAAAAACGGTACAATTTTAATCATTATCGAGTATTATCTGAATTTTTACTTTATTATAACTGTTATAATTATTATAATTCTTCGATTTTTATCTTGTTGAGAAGAATAGTAAGGACATTAAGAAAAATGATGAAATAGTTGCATTTATTTCTTTTACCTTGCTTTATTCTTGAAACTATATCGGTTATCGGTTTTAAAGCTTCTTCCGTGTCTCCGATGTTAATAGAAAATAGATGTGTTACACGGTTCTGCACTAAATCAGACCATGTGTCTTTGGATCCATATGTCGTAACAAGTAGCGTTGTATCTGAAAAAGAATTGCTAATAATGAACTGTACAAATACTCTATAACTGAAAATTCATTAAAGCAGTATAAAATAGTTTACCTGGAATATGTTCTCGCATTCGCAATATAGTTTGCAAGCAATATTCCTTATCGTTTTGGGATATATCAAAATTGTGTGAAATAATTAAAACAACATCAGCACGTGCCCCACCTACACGGCCACGTTCATTATTAAGTTTATTCATTAAATATAATTCCAATTCCTTAAGTGATTTAGGCAAATTAAAACCGTGTGTAACTGAAAAATATTATGTTGTAATAGTAATAATATTGCAATTTATTGTTCATTGTTAATTTCTATCTTAATACATACTATTTTCATAATGGGATGAATTATATGCATAAAAATCCAAAATGTTAGAAGTGCTATTAATTATTGGGATTCCATCATGACCATTTATTAATGTAAAATTAGAGTTAAATTGATTTACGTCTATGTTTTCCAGTAAATATGCAAGAATAGGTTTTATTGCTGTAAATACCCAATTTGTATCTAAAACTATTGTCAAATCGACAGACATTTGATTGAAATTGTATAATTTCTCAGTGCATGAAGGATCCTTATTCATAGATGTAGCTATAAAAATAATTAACTCGAATGAATTTTTTATTTTTAATGTAACATTCATATGAAATCCCATTATTAATACTTACGCACATATTTTACTAATTGGTTTACTGCTTGCACTGAAAATTTTTCTATTACTGTAGACTCAAGTGTGGCTTCTGATAGATCTGGTTCTAGTAATAAAGCAGCACTATATGTCTGAGCAAATTAATAATAATAATGAAAAACGACTTCTATTTTATAATTAAGCATTTCAACAATAAAATATTTAAATAGTTTACTTGTTCAACCATTGTCTGATTTGGTGCAACAGATGTGAATAGAGTCCTACGATTGCAAGCTTTAATGGAGGAATCAAAGAATCCTAGTGAACTATAGTACATATCAAAAACCTGCGAAAGTCTTAAACTAGAAATTTTAGAATACCACTTATTAATTTCATTGGCCAAAATTAAGCCATCTAAATCTCCTCTAATTTCTGCTGTTGTCATCTCATATTTATCATTAGACTTCAAGAAATACCATCGTGGCAAAGCAGTAGAATTCCAATTACCAGTCACTCCAACACTAAGTTCACCTCTTAAAGGGCCTAGTCTTAAAGCTATTTCTGCTAAATCTCCTATAATTTCAATAATAAACATTATATGTTTTATCAAATAATTTATCATTGATTTATATTTTTAAAAATTAATATTACCAGCTAGAGTAGCAAGCCATTTGTTATCTAAAGTTAGTCTTGCTAAATGCGTATTATTATTTTCCAAAATATCCGGTTGCAAATTGTAAAGCATGGTTGTTTCTGGTTGCATAGCTGCAGCTATTCCAGCAAGCACTGTACCAAAAGAAATTGCACCCCATCTAAAGATGTTCAATAGAATAATTAATTAAAGTTGTCTAACTATTTAATTTTACAATTTTTCGGTAAATTATAAACTTACGGAGTTTTTACAACGCCATTTTCTATAGGACATTTACTTTGAGGTGGTTTAGAAATCCGTGCGCTATCTGGATGATTAGGTGGTAATTCAGGATACAACCAGCTTGGATCAATTGTAAACTGTTCACCTTTGTTTTTGTGGTGACTCATACTTTTTCTATATCAAAACGATACTTTATTTCTTATATTGATCACATTATATAACTTTTCTATACTTACATTTCATCAGATGACAACATTTCTACATCATTAACAGCACTTTCAGTCGTTATCTTATTCTTATTCTTAATATTTCTTGGATATCTATATGTATCTGCAAATCTACAAACTTTTGTTTCGTCTCCTCTTTCAAAAATTTCAACGCTACTCGATAACATGAAATGTAACGTACACTGCAATGTAATAATTAGGCATTAAGCAAACACAAATAAAATATAAAGAAGAGTCTAAATTACATACATACTCTTTCAACGTCTGTGATACTATTATTAGGAAACATAATAGCATTTCCAGGGATAAGATGCAGCATTTGAGCAAAACGATAAAATTGATAGGTATTTGGCGCATAGGGTGATATTCCATCTTGAGGAGGAATATCAGGATTTGGAGCAATACCATCTTGTCGGAAACTATAATTTAGATATTAATAAAATTATTAATAAAATTAAAGAATAAATCTTTTCAATTGATATTGTTATTTTTTAAAATTATGTTGAACTTACCGATGCAAAAGTGCAACAGACAAACTTCTCATATCCATATTAAGACCCTCTGTATTTTCAATTTTACGAAGTATGGCAATAAACGTATTTAAAGTATGAGGCAATCTATTATCTCTTTCCAAAAGATATTTGTTCTCGTAACACTCTCGTAAAGACGGTGGAAGATTTCTAAGTGCATTTTCCTGTGCATGCACAGCTAAGAATATAGAATAATCAAATTTTAAAACAAACTATATTAATTTTAATTTTATAATAATTTAAACATGAAAATATACTTACTTAATATAATAAAAATAAGAAAATACAAAAATATTGTCATTTTGCTGCAACAAAATAAAAATAAGTAACATAATTAATATTTAAATTCTTGTAATTTAATAATTTACAAATTAGGAGACAGAATCTGATGGTAATTAATACAAAGTAATATAACATAAAAAAATATAACATGTATATTATATTTGATTATTATATGTATTTAATTTAAAAGAATAATTATGAGACATTTAATTATATTTGAAAACTTATAAAGTTCATACCTCAAATAATTTTTAACCACTTTTAATATAGGAATATATGATATCCCTTCAATTCCATTCAGCAAAGTACAACACCACGCCTATCCAGAGATATAGTGAAACCTATCACCACTAAACAGATAAGATAATATGATACATCATGAGTAACAAACTCCCCACTTTATTACAGGTATCTTTATTGGAATAGGTATTTCTAAAACTCCAAATATGTTAGAAAGAATCAACTGATAAACATTCTACATTAAATAATCGTATCTGTTGTTTTGTACTTATTATGCATCTTTTTAAATTAAATATCATTATATTTTTTGTACACTTAAATAAATATTTATTAAAGTAATATAATAATTTTCTTATAAATTAAATTTAGGGTAATATTTAAAGTAAAATATCTTGACCAAAATAAATAGTAATATACAGTTTTATGAATTCTGGAATTCGATTTTGAAAAGTTAAATATTTCTATCACCTATTATCTTATCAAGTTTTAAATAGAGCACAGTTTTTTTTTCATTTGTACATGACAGTGAATCATTCAAATAGATATGAATAGCAGAATATAAGTATCAGATTTTCAATAACAGTATGGATTTCTAATAATAAAATGATGGCAATTAATAAAATTGTATTATTGATAATATATTGTGGTAAGTTCTTCTAAATTGTAATAAGATATATTAATAAATTGTTTGATTATAAAAATAAATTATAATATTATCCTAAATATTTTTTAATAACAGAATTACAATTAATATGGTCACAAACATCTATACCGAAATCACTTCAAGAATGTTATAAAAACAATGTCACGTTAAATTTTCGATTACCGTTAAATTTGCGCATACTAGTAGATATAATACGGAAGATGGAAAAATGTTCTTATTTAACAACAGATATGAAAATAATGTCCTCATCAATATTACACAGGTTATTACATATAGCAATTAATATCTACTATCTACTTCTTTACTGTAATATAATAAATGTATTTTACAAATTATAGATTTAAATTTGATGGCATTGAATACCAACAAAATGTTCAAGCTACTGAAAATATACTTCCATTTAGTGGGACTGGAACACAACGTATTAAACACAAATTGATAGAAGAATTAATTCCAGGCAAAATAGAAGCTTTACCAGTACATGTACTTTCACAGGAAGAACGTTGTATACTTCACCAGGCTATTTCAAATACAATTTTAAGGCCTGACAATGAAAACACATACAAATCATGTAGTCAAATTACTGACTACAAACAAACTGAAAAACTAACAGGTAATTGTTAAAGAAGATAAAAGGTATTTAAAATAATGAGATTAAAAAATTACTATTTAGATAAAATTATGCTTACTGATATGTGGAATTGTCCAAGACAACAAGGAGTAATTCTAACACCATATGGTACTGTTGCTCCTGGAATAATTATAGGAGCAATAGCTGCATCTCTCCAACATCAAAACATTGCTGTAAACCAGTTAGTTACAAGTTTAAAAATATCTCATCCAGGTATAGCATTACTATACTTTTTTGTAATAAAGTATCACATAATAATACTTCTTTTCAATTAGAAATGAACTCTACAAATATATATAATTTGAAATATGATGAAGAAGAGATCGATTTTGTTCTGCCAAGAAGTCATATGAGTCATAAACCATCTATGTGGTACAGTGCTTTAATGACATCATCTGTAAAAATTGATAATATATGGTTAACAACAATTGCAGGTAGAAAATATTATTGTGCTAACATTTATTTTTTGTTATGTGCCATTTTGAATAAAAAAAAAAGCCATTTAATTAGGTGAATTAGCAGAAATGGTTGTGTACCAGGGGCCTTTACTAGGAAATAATATGACTCTTGGTGCAACAGGTTTTTGGCAGAATATAATGTATCCATCTATTTATTATCTTTTAAATTCAGATGAAAATTTTCATGCAACTCGAGCTGAATTAATAGGAGGCATTGATGGTAAATTGATATAAAAGTATTAAATAGATTTAAAATATTTAGTAACTATTTATTTATAATATATTTCAGGAATTATTATTGCAAGTTATTTGCAGACTTGGATTCAAGATTTTTATAGTCTTCGACTTAGCCAAATTTTAGAAATGTATTATTCATATGAAGGTATCACACTTAATACAAACGTGAAAGCTTGCAATCGAGGACAAATCTTTTTTTATGCACTGCCAAAGACTATCTTAAATGAACAGGTCAGTCATAATCATTTTTAAAATTATAGGAAAACTGTATCTTAATTTGCAAATATCGTTTGGAATAGACTTATGCAATAGCTCAAATGCTAGCTTACCGTAAAAGCATCGCATACATTTCTCCACAAGCACTTCAACGAATGGTTGAATTTGCAACCGAAAAATTTTATACCTACGCAAAAGATTATTTATTTCCTGAATTACCGTGCTATGAAATAAATAAACCCCAAGTTGAAGCATTAATTGTGTTTGATGGTGCTTGGTCGATAGGATATACGATAGATTTCCTTGCGTAAGTTATAATATATACTAATATAATCCTGTATTCCATATTTGTATTTCTAATTAAATGATACTTTTTAGGATTCTAATACAAGATTTAGATGTATCGATGTATGGATCAAAAATAGGAATTATACACAGTACTACAGGAGAATGGTTATTAAATGTTACAAACAGTCCGTCAACCGCGTTCCAAGCATTAAATAAGTTTACTAATGATACATGTAAACTTTAATACTTTATACAAATATTTATTAACTACTAATAACAAATGTTATTAACAATATTTATTTACTTTTAACGTTTAAATAATTATCAACGATATTTTTTTAGGGCCTATGCAATTCAATTATACGCGTGTTTTGGAAACGATATCTGCTTATTTAAATAAAACTTGGGAGTACAATTATAAAAATCATATAATTGGAAATCTTGGTCAGGTAATTATACTATTAATTCCATTAAGGTACATACCCAATCATGAAAAAGAAACTGTAATAACGTTATTGCGTCAGTTAAAATACAATCATCCAGGTAAATATACAAATTTTAAATATAAATTAAATAATTTGAAATATAAATTAATTTCAATAAACTTTTTTAATTTACAGATGTTTACTTTATATATTACGTATCGCAATATAATGCCCAATTATTTAAATCATTTGTTTTATCAGATGAAGATTATATAATACAAATTTCCAATATTGATGCTATTATTCAATATGTATCCAAAGGTATGTGTTGTTATAAAAGTAATTAATATCCTACCATAGACGTATATTTAATATATACAATATTATTTTTTGTAAATTTTTAGTTCCACGAACATTGAGACCTGCAATACCTCTAAATAATTCGAAAACTCTTATTTCCGAAATGGAAGATTACATAAGTCCTTCAAAATCTATTACCTATAAAATACATTCACATTGGAGACGAAATATGAAGAAAATACTGGTTACAGTTTGTATTTAAGAAACAGACTATCTCATAAACTTTTATTTTTATTCATTTTTATTGGAATATTAATTTTGTAGATTCACACTTTCGGTTATGGCACAATGAAAGCTTGTTTATGGATGGGATTTGAATCCAATGACAAAACAAATTTGCATTGTACAGAATTGGCTGGTTACAAAGAAATTACATTAACTGACCACTTAAGGTGTACTAGTACCACGCCTTGTCCTAATCTTTATCTTCGTATACAAAATGTAACTTCCTTATATAAATGCGCAGGTAATTATTGTTATGAACAATATAATAAAAAACTTCTAATATAATAAAAATTTCAGAAATAGACTGTAAAACACCGGATCAAGTAAGATACATCATACGAACAAATCAACAAATTGTACGTTATGATAATTTTGCAAATAAGAATATGATACTGATCTCATTAAATATGTTAGCCTTATTTACACTTCGAGTACTTGTGTAAACTTTATATTTAAATATAAAGTTAGTTTTCAATTTTTGATAAATACTTACGTAATTTTGTTACTATGCAATTTTATATTTTACCAATGAAAGTATAATGTATTCTGTAGAAATTTATTACTTAAAAAAATACAAATTTTGTTTTTACTTACAATAATTCAGGTAGATTAATAATTGCTATATGCATACTCATATACGAATTTAATTAGAAATTGAAAATTACTCGATGCGGCAAGATTTCCCAATTCAGGTTCTACGAAAAGCATATCAACTGGTGGAAGGAATTCATTTATTTCTCCACCTACATTCAAATGAAATAAAACATATTTTATTAGAAACAATTTTTTATCTAATTTAAATTATTTTTTCAAACCAATAATTAATAATATACCCATAAAATGTGCGAGATCCATTAACTTGAAAAATATCGTTTCTTGTACTTGTTGTTCAGGATTTTTTCCTATAATATCCCATTGATCCCGCTTAGCAGCTCGTGCCCAAATTTTTAATTTCAATGATACTTTTTCATCTTCTTGCTCCACGTATTGGAGCAAATCGAGAGCTTTCTTAAAGTCATACTCATTTACATCAACATTATCCTCAGATGTGTATAACTATATCAGTTATATAACTAGTATTTATATCAAGTTTTACTTATTTTATAATATAAATCTATTTTATAATTGAAAATTAGTACCGTAATTAACTCTGTTGGTGTAAATACTCTTAATTTTTCTACATCATAACCATACGTTGTAAGTACTTGAGTTGGTAAGTCTTCTTGATGAGCTATCAATGCTAGTTCATTGTTGATTCTTTTTACACAGTCTTTCACTTCCTCTTCTAGATCATCTGAAGTAAGAAGAGCCAATTTTGCTAAAGAAAGCATAGACTGTAAAAAAAATGATTAACTCATAAATAAAAATGTAGCTTAAAAGATAAAATGTAATAAATCTATACCTTTTTGCGTGTTACTAATTCTTTTTCTTGAATTGCTAAAGAGTGAAGTGTATTAGCAGCAAAGCGTAAATCGTCTGTAAGAGCAGATTGCACCCATGATAGAGTTGGATGCTCTGCTAACTTTTCAGATAATTCAATAGTACCACCGTGTCTACATTTTTCTACTAACTGACCTTGTCGACCATCTTTCACATACCTATAATTAAAAATGACTATAATACAAATAAAAATAAAAATATTTTACTGTTATATTATCAACAAACTTACCATGAAAATAGAAATCCTACAAAATCTTGAGCTGCAAATTTTTTTATATATCTATCCAATCGACTTTTATTATTAGTTAATTCACAAATCTGAATGAGGGATGCAAAATCACAATATTTTTCAGCTAACATAGCAGCACTATCGTACTGTTCTTCCTTTACTATAAATTATTCAATATAAATATTTTTTCCTATTTAATTAATTATTTAATTTAATCAGAAATATATACTTAGTGGTTGTATTAGATTCATTCGATCCGTCTCATACTGCTTCAAAAGTATTTCAAACTTTTCTGTACCCCTAACACTTTCTAAATGACATTTTCTGCCATCTAATATTAGATCTATGTAACTTACTAATTGTTCATATAATTCGTTTCTTACTGTCGAATCATTGGTTCCAGTTATACCATGTTTAAGAGTTAAATTATACTGAAATATACATATGATATTGATGAAAACTTTTTCTAGTAATTAGCTCAAAAAACTGTTATTATATAATTATTAACCATTGTAGTAAGAGAATTTCTCAGTCCTTGTTTCCCAACTGCCGCTGTCCATGGAAGATACTCGCTTATACTGTTCGAACATCTCACAGGAGCAAATCGATCAGCATTATGTTGGCGATATTTCACCACTTCGTGTAGTATACCCTATTATCAACATGTAGTTAATTATATTTCAATATTAACTTACATATTTCTTTGTTAAAATCATATTGGGTACAAACTTACTAATAATATAGCGTTCACTTGCATAATATAACACGCTACTTGTTGAACAGGTCTTTCAGATTGAGTTACTTCCGATGCATTGTTCACTAAAGTGGGAAGAAAACGATGTACGGTACTGACTTCTCGATAAAATATATCACGCGCCGTTAATTCATTAGAAACATATAATTCAGGGCTTAAAGTTTGTTCTATTATCATATCCATGATATCTGGGTATCTTAAAATAATGTAAAATAAAATTTAAATCATTATCATGAAGAAAACTTGTGAAAATACATATATCAAAATACTTACTTATTTTGAAGATTATATATAGTTAGTGCTGCAATTATTTTTTCTGCATATTCTCCTAGAATGTGTGGTGTAGACATAATTATTCCTCTGTGTGTAACAGCACAGAACTGAATCAAAGAATATTATTTAATAATCACGTATTAACTTAATTTATATATGTAATTAGAATATCATGATGTAATATATAATCAACTTACTCTGTTCCATAATTCATATTCTTTTAGAAATGTAATAAATAAATCAAGGGCTTTTTGTTTTCCTTCCAGTTGATTTGGTATTTGCATAGAAGTAACTGCATTTATTGTCATAGCTAAAAACAGTATACTAAATAAAAATAAATATATATGTGTATAAATAAATATATGATATAAAAGTAAAAAATTTAATTACATAAGTCTCTGTGATTTGACCAACGTGGATCATTTGCTGGATAATCATCTATTAAATCTTTAGCAACTTTCAAAATTAGTATATCGAAATTAGCATCTATATCCATTACTGTTTCTTCTTGTAGTGGAAAGAGTTGTGATAAAATTTCATCACACTGCACCTACAAGGGAATAATTATTTCCGCAGTCATCAAGATTATTTTTATAATAATGTTTTACAATATAAAACAAACTTACTTTATTTTGTCGTAAACTAAGAAGAAATGCAGCACGTAATTGTGTAGCATTATCAGAACTATAGAACATATCTTGAACTTCTTCATTACTAATAAGACTAGTAAAATTTTGTGCAACTGAGCTAGATCGACAATTATAGTCTGTATTTGTATTGACATTATCTGTGTAACTCCTAAAAAAATGATAGATGTTATTCATCATTAAATTATTTAATTTTAACAAATTATACATAAAACAAAAACAAACACATTAAAATCTTGCGATATAAAATCTGTTGGAATAATAGAAATTAATCCAAAATTTTTAGTGAACAAAACTGGAGTTCCTGTGCACAATGCACCGCCAAGGATACTGTCTTCTCCACCTCGTACTAAATCTATTTTATCTTGTTCATGCTCAGATGTACCTAAAATATTTTTTCTTTTTAAATGAAAGAAGATACAAAGAAAATATGTTTGAAATAAAGAAAATCTAACTTACAATTCACTACAAGAACTTCATACTGATTGTATATGATTGCTTCCCAACTGCATAATATAAAATGGTAAGAAATTAAAGTTGATTCAATATCATTATGATATGAAATAGAATCAATTTTAACTGGTATAAACCATTTAAATGTATTTATTAATGTTGTACCAGATAGCTGTATCAAACCTATAACATTTAATTATTTTATTGACAAAAAGATGTAATAAAATAATTTATTATCCAGATTTTTTTAATCTTTACCAAGTGCAAATTCAATAAGAGGTGATACATCAACACAATGAGCTGCCATTAAAAACACTATTCCTTCATTACATGATTGCATATCAATCAACCAAGTTTCTATATTTTGTGGATTACATGCACTTGATCCCTAAAATAAAATAAAATAACTTAAAGTAACGAAATATACTATTGTTTGTATATACATAAGATAATAAATATACCCAAATTTTTCGCTGGAAAGTTTGTGAAATAATATATCCAATATCTTCATCAAACTCCATTTTCTCTTGTTCATTATGAAGAAAAGACCAATATTGCAAAGATGAACCAGCTAAAATGAGAACCCTTGATCCCCTGTCTTCTAAGGTTGTGCAAGTGACTTTTACTAACTTCTATGAAACAAAAGCAAATCCGTTGTATTTTACATTTCACATATCATATCTCCTACTAAAAGTTTGACATGAAATTTACTGTTTCTATAACTGGGGATTGAGGTATAGCACCAAAGATAAGAGAAGTCATCTTGCGCCCTATACCCCCTAACCATCCTTGACTTGTTCTAAGAACCTGACAAGTAACACTGTTTTTTCCAGCAACAAACTGTGGTTGTAACAATGCTACTGTACATGTAGTTGTAGCTAAAATACAACCATGACCAGGAATATATGTAAGACAATTAACTTCCTGTCCAGCAAGTTCTGCACTTGTTTCTACAGAAGATCCTTCATGTGCAACACTAGCCCAGAAACGTACAATACCTTCAGGAGAAACAGCCATACAACTAGGCACCTAATGATAAAAATAATTAAAAATTAATAACATTTTGTTCTTATTTAATTTAAAAAAATAATTTTCATACCTGATAGCCAGAAGGTAACCATACAGCTATGCATTCTGCTTTATGAGCTAAATCACTTTGAGGTAACAATAATTCGCGACATTGGCTTTTAAAGGCTCTTCTTTGTTTTGAATCATGGATAGTAGTTTTACATTGCCAAACAAGTAGTCTGCGACCACAAACAAGCCAAGCCCAACCATCTATTGAAATATTAACACTAACAGCAGTATTTTTATCTACAAATGTTAAAGCTTCTGTAACAAGTACAGGTAAAGAAAAACCGAAACTTTCTACCACATGATTCAGTGTTTTACATATTATTTGTACGGACTGATTTGATCGTCCAGATAAGCTTATTGTTCTATAAAAATAAAAGATTTATTGAAATGTTAATCTATAACTGACATTTCATTAATTTGAATTTAAAATATTTAAAAGAGACCTACGAATTATTTTTCCTTAAAGACTGAACAATTGACATTCGTTTCCGCGGAGACATTAAATTTCTTCCTAATGAATTTCCTGTACTTGTACGATCCATTGTAACTTCTCTTTTCTTGCTAAAAATTTAATATTAAAAAAATAAAATCGGTTTATAAATTAATATTTAAATTTGTATAACAATCTTCCACTAATTTTTTCGCATGTGTAACATTACGCAGGTTACTATTTTGTATGCATGAACCGGTAAGTACATGTGCTCTGCATGAACAACAAAAGATAGAGTTGAATAAATACAAATGCTATTACAATTTGAAGAAAAATGAATACAAAATAAAATTTATATCAAATACAATTAATAATTTTATAAATTAAATAAATGATAACTTTTAAAAATAAATAGTTTATTCTGTTGTACATCTAATGTTAAATATTTTAATATGTTGTAATTTTAATTGTAGGTACATGTAGGGTTGTTAAGTTCAATACTACGTTTCAACGATTGGTTGAAGCTCTTGTGATAGATTGGATAACTTAATTGCTAGTAAAGCAATTAATGAAACTTTTCTGATGTTACCGAGTAATGGAATATTATTATGCTAAAGATTGTGTTGCTTAGCAACACGTACGTAAAAATACAATACATGATATTAACAGCTGAATCATAAAATAATCATAGTCGAAACCTAACTATATCCATAGTAGCTATTGAAGAAATGTAATAATTAATGACATGAAAAAAGATAATAATGAAATAACTCATTATAATATAATATATAATATAATTATAATGAATGTATAATTCTACTGGTTCATATAGCATAGGATTACAGAATAATGAAATACAATAGTATCAGGAAAGAAAAGGAAGACAATTTTTTACATCACTTTATTTGTATCATTTTAATAATTCTTTTTATAACTGTGATTATATAGTATAATGTATACTATTAAAATGGCGAAAGGATTACGATGATTTGAGTTCTATATATGTCTATAACATGAGCATAATTTTCTTTAATATTTCAATCGACTATGATTTCATATATTTTATTAGGGATTTTAAGATTTTTACTGTTGTTTTTTTAGTTACGTAGAAATATTTACCTATACCTATTTAGCTTATTACCTAGCCTATTTAATTTTTATCTCATGCCATCTCGTGTTTGTTCACAGAAATACAATATAATACTTCACTGTTTGCCACAGCAATGAATCTCTTCTTTATATTTATCGGTTATAAATTTGCATCAAGTGGATGGTGTAGAGAAAGCGTGCGATTGATATAACTTTCTCTAGTGTGTCATCAGCTTATTTATTCTAATAACTAAATATTTAAAAAGAGTGTAAAATAAAATTGGCAAAATGATTGATATTAAAACCGATGAAATTAACAGAGAGACTGAAGTCTTACAGAAAAGTGCAAAACAATTACAGAAAGAAGCAAAAAAACAAGCAAAGTTAGAAAAATTTAAACAAAAACAAGAAAAGAAAGGAAATGATAAAACTTTAAAAGTAAAAGAAAAGAACGAAGTAAGAGTGTTAAAATTTTTTGTTTTCCTTTATTTTTAATTGTTAATTTTTTTATTATCCATGTGGCTTTTATTTTTAAATTAGTTATGCAATTCATATTTCTTCCTATTAACTAATTTTTGTTTAAGCTATAAACTATTTTACTTGTTAGAATATTGAAAAGAAGAAAGAATGCAAAGAATCAGCAGTATATATGGTAAATACACCTATAGGAGACAAAAAAGATGTTACATGTGCAATGCCAGATGCATATAGTCCAAAATATGTTGAGGCTGCATGGTATGCATGGTGGGAAAAAGAGGGTTTTTTTAAACCTGAATATGGTGTATGTACTTAAAATGTCTTAATAAAGAATTGGTTTTTTTCATTTCATTTTATAATTTTTATATATTTTCTTTTTATCATTTATTACAGGGAAAGAATATATTAAAAATAAATCCTAAGGGGAAGTTTGTTATGATAATACCACCTCCCAATGTGACTGGATTTCTTCATCTAGGACATGCCTTAACTAATGCTATAGAAGATGCTATTACTAGATGGTAAAATAATGCTTGAACTATTATATAAAAATGTGTAATTTATAAAAATAATTTAGTCTGTTTTGCTTGTGAATTACTATCTAATCATTTGTAGTTAATAATTTTATACAACATATTTTTATAATTTACAAGGAATCGTATGAAAGGACTTACAACATTATGGAATCCCGGTTGTGATCATGCAGGTATAGCTACTCAGGTGGTAGTTGAAAAGAAACTTTGGAAAGAAGAACATAAAACACGTTATGATATAGGAAGAGAAAAGTTTATAGAAAAAGTTTGGAAGTGGAAAGAAGAGTAAGTATAAATGGATTATATGTAGTTTGAAAATAATATGACAAATTTATACATTAGTTATATATTTTAGGAAAGGAAACAGAATTTATTTACAATTGAGGAAATTAGGTGGGTCATTTGATTGGGATAGAGTTTGTTTTACAATGGATCCAAAACTGTGTTATGCTGTTAGAGAAGCATTTATAAGATTACATGATGAGGGTGTAATTTATAGAAGTAATAGATTAGTCAATTGGTCTTGTGCATTAAAAAGTGCTATATCTGATATAGAAGTAAGAATTTTTGACTAAACAATAGTTTTTTAATTGTTTACATTTCATATTAAACATTTGGTTATGTAGGTTGATAAACTTGAATTAACTGGTCGAACGTTACTTTCAATTCCTGGATATCAAGAAAAAATAGAATTTGGAGTTTTAGTACTATTTGCTTATGAAGTAATTAATTCTGAACAAAAGATAGCAATAGCTACTACTCGTATTGAAACAATGCTTGGGGATACAGCTGTTGCTGTTCATCCAAAAGATACTAGGTATACTCATCTTATTGGAAAATATGTACAACATCCATTTTGTGATAGAAAATTACCAATTATAGCTGATGAATTTGTTGAAATGGAATTTGGGACAGGTTAGCGTTAATAATCTAATAAGAAATCTTTGTGTTAAAACAACATTAGTTTAAAATTGGTTTTTATAGGAGTTGTAAAAATTACACCAGCACATGATCCTAATGACTATGAAGTAGGGAAAAGACATAATTTACCATTTATCACTATTTTTGATGAGAATGGGAATATTATTGGAGATTATGGACAATTTACGGTGTGCATAGTTTTTGTGAAAATATTACGTTTTATTTTATTTATAAAAATTAATTTATGTTCATTAAAATGATCTTTATTTTTAGGGAATGAAACGATTCCATGCCAGAGCAGCTATAATAAAAGAATTAATTGCAAGGAATTTGTTTATTGAGATTAAAGATAATCCTATGATGGTTCCAATATGTAGTAGATCTAAGGATGTTATTGAACCATTAATGAAACCTCAATGGTAATTTTATTCTTATATATTCCTATTAATTAAAATACAATGAAGTCAATTACTTATATTAAATTACATAAATTGTTCATATTTTTCATTATTAGGTACATAAAATGTAATGAAATGGCCGAAAGAGCATTAGATGCAGTGAAAACTGGTGAATTAAAAATTATTCCTGATCAATATAAGAAAATTTGGTACCATTGGATGGAAAACATAAGAGATTGGTGTATATCTCGTCAATTATGGTGGGGTCATCGTATTCCTGCTTATTGTGTTAAAATAAATAATATAAATGTTAATATCAAGGTAATTTCAGAGAATATCAAATTGTAATGTTTTGCATTTTATTATACAAATTCATGTTACTTAGCTAGATGATGATTATTGGATAAGTGCGCATTCGGAAAGTGAAGCTAAGGAGAAAGTTGTAAAACAGTTAGGTATAACTGAAGATAACATTATTGTTGAACAAGATCCTGATGTACTGGATACATGGTTTTCTTCGGGTTTATTTCCATTTTCGATATTTGGATGGCCAGATAAGGTGCATATACGAATTTTGTTATTTTATTTAACTCATTTAATATTAAAGTAAAATAATTGTATTTTAGACAAATGAACTTGCAGCTTTTTATCCTGGTACATTATTAGAAACTGGCCATGATATTTTATTTTTCTGGGTAGCAAGAATGGTTTTTTTAGGTCAAAAATTATTAGGAAAATTACCATTTAAGTATGTACTCTTTTATATTCTTACATTTGACTTTTTATAATTAAATAGTTATATAAAACAATGCATTTACAGAGAAGTATATTTACATGCTATGGTCCGAGATGCTCATGGCAGAAAAATGAGCAAATCCCTGGGAAATGTAATAGATCCTATGGATGTAATTAATGGAATATCATTAGAGGTATATTTCATCTTCCACTTTTTTTGAATTCTGGCAAAGTATTTGTTATTTACACAGTATTTTCGTTTAGGATCTTCATAAGCAATTATTAAATTCAAATTTAGATTCAAAAGAGCTTAATTATGCTATGGAGGGACAAAAACGCGATTATCCTCAAGGAATTCCAGAATGTGGAACTGATGCTTTAAGATTTGCACTTTGCGCTTATACAATGCAAGGTCGTGATATTAATCTTGACATTCTTCGCGTACAAGGATATCGATTTTTCTGCAATAAAATATGGAACGCTATGAAATTCTCTTTGATGTATCTGGATCCTAATTTCGATTATGATGAAGATATTCAAGCGGTAAAACTTTATTTTGATATTGATATTCATAGAATTTTTAAAGTTTTTACCAATTATACATTTTTTTTTGCTATAGGCAAGTAATGATATTCAGAATGATAATATGGTAACTGAAAATGATTGGTATCAAAACACATTAAAGGAAATGTGTGTACAGGGCGCATTAAATAATTATTTAGCAGATTATCCTTATTTAGATGGATATAGCCCTTCGCAAATTGATACGAAAGTTTACCAAACTTTTATCAAATTAGGTATTGATTTAACAAACTATCCTCATTTATATCGTTGGTATAAGCATATGACATCTTATAGTGAACAAGAACAATCTGCATTTCGTGCAGAAGAAAGTAAAATATTATCTCATTGTGGTTGTAAAATATTTGATTACAATAATAGGAGGAAACAGGTAAATAATATTCCAATAAATTAATCTTAAAAGTCAATGTATATTTAAATAAAGATGTGACTTTTTATGTCATTAGTTACGTTGTGAGACGAATGTAAACTTTTGGATGCTTTCTCGTGTAAGTTTTGCTGTAAAAGTCTGTAACGAAGCAATGACGCAATATGATTTTCCAACCGCCACCACTGCTTGTTATAATTTGTGGTTATATGATTTATGCGATATTTATTTGGTTTGTATAAAATCATACACAATTGTTTTTATAAAGTTAGTATTAGTAATTAATATATGTTATTATCCAGGAGTATTTAAAACCAGTATTTCAAAGTAACGATAATAAAAGAAAATATGCAGCGAGAAAAACCTTATTTAAAACACTAGATGTAGGGCTAAGATTGTTGAGTCCTTTCATGCCATATATTACAGAAGAACTTTATCAACGTTTACCTCGCAAAAAACATCTTTATCCCAGTATTTGTGTTAGTCAATATCCAGACATTTCAGAGGTACTAATTTCTTTCTTTAACTATTATCCATAGTTTCTTTCATGTAAAAAAATTTTTATTGTATGATATTCATTATAGTGTTGCTGGAGAAATGAGGAAATAGAGAAAGACGTTGATTTTGTTAATAAAATAATAAAAAATATTCGATCAGCGCGTGCAACGTATAATTTACCGAACAAAGTAAAGACTGCAGCATTTCTTGTATGTAGTAATAACAACTTGAAAAAAAAGCTTCTAGAATATCAATCACTGATAGAAATTCTCGCTTATTCTACACTTAATTCAATGGAACCACCAACAGGATGTGCTATTGTTACTATCACAGATACAGTTCAAGTGCATCTACTTTTAAAAGTAATGATCATTAGCAAAATAGTTTTAAAAACTTATCTTAATATATGATAGTTTTGTTAAAGTATCAAATTTGTTTGTATTAAAGGGTTTGATTGATCCAAAGAAGGAGCTAGAAAAACTTAGCAAAAAGGAAGAGCAGTTAAAGGATAATATTCACAAAACCAAACAAGCTATGGAAGTTCCTGATTATAATGTTAAAGTACCTTTGGATGTACAAAATAGTAACAAAGAAAAACTAACAAACAACGAACGGGAATTGCAACAAATCACCGATGCATTATCAGCGTTACGAGCAATGTAATACTTAATTAAAATTGTTTAGGTTTCAGAATTTCATTTGTCCATTATCTTCTTATTTATTAAATAATATTTTATCAAACGGCATTTCTGTTGTCTATTCTTTGGCAAATATTTTTATAAATTAATATAGTTTTCGTTACAAATAACCTTTTGTTTTTTTAAAGTAACCTAAGAAAATAAATTTAAAAGAGTAACTAACAACTTTTTAAATAAATATTTTATAAAATAAAATAAGCCAGGTAGTATGCATAGATAATTATGGCGTTGTAAAAGTAATTACTTTTTGTACTGATTTATTATAAAGCATTGCCAATAAATGCAAGTATTAAATTTAATATGTATATTCAAAATCTAACAAGAATAAGCTAATAATTTCAAAAATCGTACTTAATTTGTTCCGATCGATTTTTTTTATTACATATTGAGAATAATTATTTATAAGATGTAATTAAATTGTGAAGGTAATATTATATTAACAAAAAGTTCAGTTAAATAATAGAAATTATATATGCATTACTTTGTCAATATCATTTGCTGTTTTACTATAATTTTATGATATAATTATTTTAACATTAATATTTAAACTTAAATGTTTCAAGAATTTGTCCCAATAATATTAGACTATGCCTCTATTTTTTTTTTAATCAAGCTTTTAAATAGTAGTTATATTTCTTATTTTAATTAAGCATATCGATTGAAACAAATTTCATACACAAATTTACAATAGAATTTGGAGAACTAATGGATTAGAAATTGCACGAAATCAAATTTGAGAGTATTGCAAATCTTATTCTATCAGTTCTCAATATAAAAAATGTATAAGATGTTATATTTGTGCTACAAAGCCAAATTGTCGTATTCCGCTTTATAACGGATAGGATATTACAATTCATTAAACTCTATTTTACTGTAAAACTATTCACAACTATGTTTTTGCAGGCATTCAATGATTCATATGTTTATGTGAATAACAAAACAAAAGAACAGTATTAACATTATATATACAATGGTGATATGTGAATAGTAATCGAATTCATTACTTATTCAAATTTTGTCCAATTGTTTTGTGACTTAATGGCAGGTGCATTCAGAGCTAAGCTGAACGTATTATCAATATTAATACTGCTTTCGGATGTGTTGCATACCGTAGAATTCTTCGACGGTGAATCGCCGTTGCTTATACTAAATTTATTAAAATCCAAACCGTATGCTTGCAACAGATCCAAATCGCCGGCATTGTCGGAAGATTTTTGTTGCTTATCGTTATTTTTGTGCAATGGTTGAAAGTAAGGGTATAATGGGTTGCTAAGGCCTTCACCCATCTCAGGTATATGCAATGATTGAGTCATTTGTTTGGAACTTGCAAATTCTGATGATTTGGAAAGCAATGGGTCAAAATCATTGTTGCTCCCGGTTGAATCTAATCTAATTAAATCTGGCATTTCCGGAGATTCCTATGAACAAGAATAAAAATGGTTTGTTAAAAATAAAAATATCTATTCTTAAGAAGAATCTTCAAATTGAAATAAAAAAGAAAAAATTACACTTTTTTAGTAAAACAGAGGATTACTTGACAAATCAGTCACAAGGAAGGACAAACGCATAATATATGTTAAAATGACTGTATAATGACTATAAAAACCAAATATAAATCCACAAAATAAATAATGAATGATGATGTTTACCTTCAAATACGCAGAACAAGATGTACTATTGTATGCATGGGATGGTATGTAACAATTAACAGAGAACGATGCATTTGTAGCTTGAAAAATTGGTGGTTGTAAGTAAGAAGGAATGAATACTTTACTGGTGTCAAAGGGATCATTTTCTTTTACACATAAATCAGAATTATAATTTTGTATAATACTGTCAATATAAAATGTAGAGTTTTTTGTAGAATTTTCGAAATCATTGTTATATTGCTTTATATCTACTTTTCGGGAATGCAATGAAGTATTATATTTTGTAAATTTAGATGTATGAACTTCATGTAAAAAGTTACTTGATTCAGTATTATCAATACATCTTTGTGAAACGGATAGAAGCGATACTTTGTCAGTTTCTTCTTCTGCTTTATTTGGTTCCGAAACCAAAGTATTAAATGTAAACATTTTATTACTTGTAGTTTGAGAATTTAATATATCATTGGTATTTAGCAAAATATTCGACTGATCGACTGAATTAATCAAGATGGTGGAATGTGGAGTACAGGATGTAATTTTTGTGGAAGAAGTATCATTTGAATTTGTGACAATTGTACTAGGTGGAGGGCCGTGCCGTATATGCCCATTCCATGCAGGTCTCAAGCTGTCTAAACTGCGCACTGGTTTCAACTGAAAGTGATGCATGAAACATTCTTACATTTACTGAATAAAAAAGTGCTTAATATGATTCTGTATATGTAATATGCTATTCAATATTGACCTACATATATACTTAATTTTACATGCACATTTAAATAATACTTTTTAATTATTCTTTTTAAATAGTACCAAATAATATCTTTCATACTTATGTGATACTTTAATATGATAGAAATATAAAATTGATACATCATATTACTTTCTATGATACGAATTAACATATCTTGAGAGATGTTACATGCATGACACGCGTATGATTTATGTGTGTTCCAATGTACATTTATCCAAAATTATTATCATGCCAGTGATGCTAATTGCATACACATATACATCACGTAAGCAATGCTTTACGATACATAGATATTACACAAAAACGTTTCTACACTGCCGATGTTAAATATTTGATATAAGCTAAAATGCTAATCGAATTATAAAAATTTGTGCAAACTACTTACTAGAAATTTCTATGTATTTTTACATAGCAAACAAAAATTTTAAAAATACTTACTGTTCTATCAACGGGAGGTGTATTCGGGAATATTACGTGACGAAGTTCTTGCATCAGATCAATATTCACTCTTTCTGGTGGAGAATCGGATTCTTCGGGAGAACTAGGACTTAATGGCGAATATTGTTTCCTACTATAATTTAAATAATACAAATTAGATTTTATAATATTAGTAAAAAATTATTTCATACAGCAGAGGCATAATAAAACAATAGGGGCGAACCTCGGATCGGTGAAATTACTATTGCGTATTCGAAGATCTTTTCTGTAACTAGTAGTAGCTGTAAAACCGTTTGGCGATTTTGGCGGGGATGTAAAATCAATAGGCCTTCTATCTGATGTGGGTGAGCTAGGCGCGGATCTTGGTTGATGAAATCTCAGACTCGTATCGTTTCTATTTGATCGTCCTTGAACCAGAAAAAAATTATACTAAAATATTATTCGATGCATTTTGTAACAAAGTTTATAAAACACTGTCATACCTTTCCACTTTAAACCTTTATAAGCCGTTTTCATATCCTTCCCCTTATCTTTTACCTGAAATTATAAATTTTGTTAATAGTAATTATTAAATCTAAAAAATAATTCATAGAATTGTTATAGAAAAGTACAAAATTAGTTTAAAAGATAAATAACATAATACTACAGCTGTTATTGCTATATGTATTTGACAATTTCTGTTAGCTGTTATTTTTACATATGTTCATACATAACATAAAAATAAAAAATTTATGATTAGTAACACTAATAACATATATTATATAATATCAAAGAACTAATTTAATTTGTACACTAAACTTACTGATTTAACTGCGTATTTTACAGCTGGATTGGCCTGGAATTGAAAGCAATCAAAAACACAAAAAATAATGATTCACATATTCCAATTTGAAAGCTGATCTCCAGAATATTTCAAAAGAGAAATTAATTAAATTAGCATACCTTGTCTTTTACGCTGCGGAAAAATGCAGAACTTTCTTTTCGCATAGCATAAGTCCATTCCCGATATTGCTGCATAAATTTGCTACCAGATTTAGCAGAATAACTACAGGCTTCCATTTCAAATTCATCAGAGAAGCCAAGTCCTGAATTAAGCATATTCAGTCTTTCTTCTATAAACTAAAATTGTTATCATTATTACATATCTATATATGTCATGTATATCATTTAAAATATTTTTTTACAAATAAAGGAAAACAATATTTATTCATACTTGTTGAAATATTTGTAATTCCAACATTTTTCGTAAAAAAGGTTGCATCGACGATGGTCTGCTCTCCACAAATGCATTCTGATTAAAGGTAATACTCTGCCCTTGTTCTAACGTTAATGCGTCTCTATAACCAGCTGTTAATTGTACCAATGCTCGTAAAAATGCTCTCGATACACCGTCTCCAAGTAAGGTAGGTCTATTACGTAATGCTTTTTTCAAGTTTGTCACCTGGGACAAAGAAACTCTTTATTTTATTATTTAAGATGTGTTTCGATTCTTAAAAATAATTTTGTTATTCCACAAATAAAAGCATATTTTTATACGAACTACGTCTTGAGGTAAAGACTCCAAATCCTGAAATGGAGACTCTATGCTGTTTATATCAGCATCCAGTATAACTACTTGACCAAGATCACTCTTGCGCACTCTCTAAAGGACATAACAAAAACAGTGGAAGACAAAGATGTAAATTATCTGTTTTATAATCAGTAGAGATTATTTAAATACCTGAAGCGTTGGAGTAGGTACACCAATTAAAAATGGCATTGGTGCCAATAAATAATCAATTAAAGATAATGGTAGGACTGGGATATATATATGTTGCCAAATCATGGGATAAATTAAAGCATTACATGCTTGAACACAAGCACTTAATCTTGAAAGACGTTTTGATATGAAAATAATTCGCCGCTCATATAACATAGAAGCAAATATGACCATCATATTATGGGAATCAACAGCACTATAATATTCTGTTAAATTTCTCTAAAATCATAAAATTTTTATACATACAAATTTTTATTTAAATTATTCACATAAAGAATACAATTATGATTTTCTGTTACTTACATTTTCAGGTATACTTGGTAATTGAAATTGTTTTGGACTTTGACAAACGAAATTCTAAAAATTATTAATAAAGATTAATAGTATGCAACATGAATAATATACTAGATGAGAAATACATTTATTAAATTATTTACCACTTTAGAATTTGGTACAGGAATAGAGATAGAACTACCAGGGATAGGAACTGGACTTTTATATACAGTTTCAAGAAATTTCCAAAGATCTTCTCCACTGCCATTGCTCATTAAAGTTGCAATATTATTTAAAAGCCTATTCAAAAAGTATAAGTATATATCTTATTCACATCTAAGATCTCTTTAATTTATCATATTAGAGAACAGACTAACTTGTAAAATATTTCATGCCATGGTAGTGCGCTTAAAATTACTAGGGCTGTGTCTGTTTTAGGATCATGTCTGCAAAACCCAAATGTCCATTTTGAATCTATACTAGTTAGTACAAATGAAAAATGCTGCACCATCAAACTAAAACAAATATACAAATACAATAATATTACATTATATTATAAATACATTTTATTTTATAATTAATTAAATTTGACATCATTAAATAAATGTATAAAATTAAGTAACAGTGAAAATTAAACTTACTTTTCAATTTCACATGGATATGCAAATTTAGGGATAGATTTAAGTATTTCCTCATCTAAGAAAGAAGTTGGGTATTTTTGTAGTATCCAAGGTGGTTTTTCTCTCAATGGTGCAGCAACCTCACAAAAACACTCAAAAAGATGTTGTACATTGTCCCTAAATATATCAATACATTATTGTAATTATAATTTAAAATAAAGTATCTGTATCAATATATATTAAACTTTGATTGAGAAACACATTTGAGCAATGTGTTTCAGATAAAATGTACTTTCACTTATTTTATATATTACATAAAAGGAACAGTTCAATAGTACAATAAGGATATCAACGTATAAAATGGAAGATTAAAAACATTCGCAAAATAAAGTCCATTGAAAAGAATTGAAAATGCAGTATCTGCTTACCTCAATCTGGAACCCATGATAACAGCGAAAAAAAAATAAGTACTTTATATTCTCTTGACGTCTATACGTCATTGTACGTACTACATGACAGTAATACATTCCATTCACGTAAATTTTAATCGCATTGTATGGCTCATTATCACACCCAGTATTATTCTTATCAATAATATACTTTCTTCTCTTTTTTGTTATTCACTGCCAGCAATGTGTTTTAAATGTACCAAACGTATCAACTATTATCTTTGACTAGTAAGAGCATCTTGTATTGAAATCACGCCTACCAGATTAATACATACAATTTTCACAATCATGAGAGTGCCGCATGTTGATTTAGAAGTATGTTCTTTTTTACACCGTAATACACTTAAATTGGTTTAATTAATTTTCTTTATGAATATATTTCTTTTAATTTATGCAGTGTCGAAATATAACGTTCTATTTTAAGTATAAATAAGTATAAATAATTTTAAGTTATATATTTTAGTTTTTGAATTTTGTTAAATGAAAATAGTACGTTTAATCACTAGATGTTTGGATATGAAGTTCATATTCCTCTCTATATTTATATTATCTTATGCTAAAAAAAGTAACGTGATCAGTTTTTGCTTTTTTGTCATATGTGATATTTAGAAGTGTAAAACATGGCGCTTAACCTGACTGTGAAAGTTCATCCCGTAGTTCTATTTCAAATTGTAGATGCTTATGAACGCCGAAAAGCCGAATCTCATCGTGTTATTGGAACATTATTAGGTAACTTTTAATTTTACATTTATAGAAAAACATAATATTTGTTGTAATATAATGTTATTGAAACACAAAATTTAGCAATACTTCAGTTTTACAAAAAAAACGTTATTAATATGTACAGGTACTACGGAAAAAGGAATAGTCGAAGTTACAAACTGTTTCTGTGTGCCACATAAAGAATCTGAAAGTCAAGTAGAGGCTGATTTAACATATGGAATTGATTTATACGAATTAAATCATAGGGTTAATGCCCAGGAAAATATTGTTGGGTGGTGGGCAACCGGAAACGAGGTAAATTACATTAAAAACTGTATATGCATCTTAATATAAATGAGCATGTTTTATTGGAATAATTTTAACAGGTTACAACTCATTCTTCTGTCATTCATGAATATTATGTTCGTGAATGCAATAATCCTGTTCATTTAACTGTTGATACTACATTAGCAAATATTACTAGGATGGGAATCAAAGCTTATGTTTGTGTTCCATTAGGAGTACCTAATGGGAAACAAGGTTCTATGTTTACACCAGTAAAAGTACAAGTATGTAGCATATTATATTTTATAAAATATATTTCTGATAACAAGTAAAAAATAATCTTTATTCAGTAATTATATATTTTCACAGATTACTTGTTATGAGCCAGAGATTGTTGGATTACAGCTTTGCTCTAAAACTCAGTTACCAGCTCATGCACAAATAACTGCTGTAAAAACAGGGGGAGGCATAGAACCAATGATGGATCTTTCTCAAATAGCAGAAGCTAGTGCTAAACTTTCTTCAATGCTGGAACAAGTACTTGTGTATGTTGATGATGTATTAACTGGAAAGCAACTACCAGATAATCAAGTATGCAATTAAACTTAAATTTTTGTAGAATTGTTTTTTATATAATTGTTATAAATTTTATTTATTTACGTTTCTTTTTAGGTTGGTCGTGCTCTTTTGGATATGGTACATTCAGTACCTAAAATGTCAAGTGATCAGTTTGATGAAATGTTTAATAGTAATGTGAAAGATTTATTGATGGTTGTTGCACTCTCACAATTGATAAAAACACAGCTTCAACTTAATGAAAAACTTACATTACTCACAACAATATAAATCTTGTAACATAATTCCAAGGATTTTATAATGTACCTTATATAAATACAAAACATTTCAAATTTTCAAATTCTTATTATATTTATTTAACATTAATTACGCAGTTTTTAAATTTTTTAAGTTTTAATACAAAAAATAAGAAATAAAAAATAAATAAGATTATTCATATTTTATGTACACATATAAATACAACAATTAAAATATGTTCTTTTTAATATAAAAAAGATCAGTGCATTAAATTAGGCAGTATCTTAAATATTATAAGCAAATGATTCGTCTTTTTGATTATCCATCAAATTGACCCAATCTGGAACTCTACCAGATTTTAAATAATTCTCTTTTGTTAAATACCTCACTGGTAAGTTTACAGTTCCAAAAATAGCACCACCTAACCATGCTGTATAATTAGGTTTACTAGGTGCAGTGTGATACATAAATGTTTCAATTTTTAATTTCTCAAAATAGATATTACTCTTTACAAGAGTTAAAAGTTCGGATTTAAGACGACTTGCAAAACCTTTTGCCATTGTTGTACCACCAATTAAAAGTATATTTTCTGCTAAAGTTCGTCTAGTATCTATTGGACACTGAAATAAAAGAATATATTTTTTAAACTAAACAAAGAAAAGAAATTAACAAAATTTATATTTAAATTATACCTGCATAATAGCATTTAGGATCATTGTTGATATACTAAGATTGTCATTATCCCTTTCCCATAACATTTCAAATGCTTTCTCTCTAACTTCACCAGGTATAATAATACTCTTAATTCCAGGATATTTAACTGCTGGTGGAGGATTAGGCATTTCTGCTGTTGCTAATTTAGCTGCTCTCTCCAATGTAGTAACAAAACATGTTCTTACTTTTATATCTTCTACAAGTTTCTCTGTGATATCTACATTGGGATATATTTCCTTTAAAGATTTCATCAAATATCTAATAAAAATATGTAACTGTTATTAGATAATTAATATAATATTAATTAAATATGTAATATAAAATATTTAACTGACTCATGTATGACTTTTCCACCCAAAGGAAGAGCTTGCCATGCTTTTAAGATTGGTATACGTTCAAAAATTGGAATTAACGTAGCTTCCTTATACCCAACATCCAAAACTAAAGCAGAATTGACACCTAAGGTGCCAATGCTTGCTAAATGAGCAGGTAAAAATGTTATGGATCCAATTTCAAAGTGTCTAAACAATACCTTTGCCAATGTATCCCTAAATTGTGTGGGAGCTAACAGAGATTCTAAAATGATGACTCTACTATCCTTTGGACTTATTAAAACGTGTCTGTACCAAAAGATAGAAAATAAATACATAAAATAAAAGAGAAATGTATTTCAAATGATTAATTTATACCTAAAAAATAAGACATGGAGAAATTCAACAAGTAATTGATACAAATCCTCCGTATTTTTATAATCATAGATTTTTCGAAGCTCTTTTGTTTCTGGGCACTTAATTTCTGTTCTTATTATACCGCGTGGATTAGGTTCGCCAGCATAACCAAATCTATTTTCAAATTATATGTCAATATATTAATATATTGAAATTTTTGTTGTAAAAATAAAAACACGTACTTTGTGTATGCACTACCAATATCGAATATCACCACTTTGTTCTCTCTAAGTAATCGAAGGTCTTCGTAAGTACGCATCATCTTGACAGGTAATTTTCTGACAGACTGCAATGGATCTTCTTGTAACATAACCTAAAAATATACCAAAATACTATACATATAACTATCAATTGTCTAGAAATTAGAATTTCAAGCTTTTAGGTTGGACGGTACTTTAATTACCATATTTCAATTCTGTCTTTATTTACATTAAATATTAAAAATAGAAATATATAAAATATTTATAATTATAAATTTTTATGTTTACAAAGCAAAAACTAAAGAGATGCAAAAATTTTAAAATATATATTTTAGTAAAAATTATATATATAATTTTCTTCACGTATTTTTTATTTTCGTTTATTTATATACTTCATTTCTAATATTATTTTAAAATAGCCGATTTTTTTTAATCATATTAATGACTTTATATTCAAAGTAAACTTTTTACAGAGAGTTTTAAAAAGATGTAAAACATTAATTCATAATAACTATATTATAAATTTTATTTATTTTTTTGTCAAATACAGAAAAATGTTTATATTTAAACAATCATTTCAAGTTCTCTTGCATAATCAATTGCTAACGTAGCTAAATCTGCACTGGGAATTGGTTCTTCAGTTTTCTTTTCACTAGTTGTATTAAAGTAAAAATATCCATCATTTGCTAAATTCCAGCTTTTTTTTGTTGCAAATGCTTTTATATCTTCATCTGAATTTAAATTCAGCATTCTTGAGGCATCCTGAATAGAAATCTTATCATATGCACTTTCCATGCATGCTCCAATTTCATCTCGAACAGTATTTAATAAAATATCTATAAAAAAATTATATGATGCTGCTGGTACATTGCCTTTTGCTAAGAATATTTTATTGTATGAACCTTCCATTAAATACTGTTCTAAGCTTAAAGGATGTCTAATATAAACGTTAGATTGTATTTGATCAGAAGGCAATAATTCTAATTCTGTATGAAACTCAGCCACACGATTCTGAGATAGTAGGAATAAAAGATTTAAACCAAGAAGGTGATATTTATATGCAGATTCCATTAACCCTGACTTATAATCAAAGTAATAACACTTTAATTGTGCCATATAACGTTCAAAAGATGGTATATCTTCAGTCACTATACTCCATTGTGCGCCAATTTCTAAAATATCACCTGCAATCATATGTTTGTAATTGCAATAATCAAGATAAAGTTTAGTATATTTTTTTTAAATTATTCATTAATACCCACGTGCTATGAGTAATTCCTTTTGACTTGCTGTGCTATTAGATGTTGGAAGAAACATCAAATGTGTGAGACCAACCTGCGGAAATTAATTGTTCAATAATTAATTAATGTCGTTAAAATATGATGACAATCCATTTTTGACCGACTATAAAAGTAAACAAGGTTATATTTTTATATTTTCGATAACATAAATATTTAAAAAAATATAAATACTAAAATTTATTTGATAACTCACCTTTAACTGATTAAGTAATTCACCGCACTTCTTTAAATTACACGGTGTTGCTGCCCATTCTTCTTTTAGATTTTTGTATACAGACACAACATCTTTTAACGCTGCCATTTTCGGACACTCTACAACCATATAATATACATATTATAGATATGGAATATTAAAACAAAATAAAAATATAAAAAATACAAATTACTTATACAAAATTAAAAGCATTTGTTAATATTAAGAAGTAAATAAAAATGTAGTAACAAAAGTAATAATATAGTAAATATAATAAAGATCTAGTAACAAAATTTCGATCATGTTCAACAAAATTCAAACTGAACTATATATATTATTTATTATTGCTTTATTTCTTTCTATATATTTTTTGTTCGGCAAAATATTTAAAAAAGTACTCAATGAATAAGTTATTTATAATAAATATTGATATTGAAAAAAAGTACAGATTCTTATTAATTAACCAATCGGAATTAATGCATTTACTAATTTCACTATTTATCTTAAATTAAGTCAACAAAAAAAAAAATATTGTTTGAATAATCAAATTACGTTATAAGTGTTTTTATCAATCTGTTACCAAAATTTACATTTAATTGAAGATCGTTATAATATTTCATGAAAGTAAAAGATGCGCGCATTGTAGTTACGTCTTAAGGACATATCTATTCTGTAAAGAGACTTCATATACTCGAGAGAAACGATCTTTACCGGCCTTCAACTTCCTCTTCCCGTAGCTGGATATAATGGCGTCTGGAGTAAGTCCCTGTTGTGCAATTCGAACTGCTAAACATCGACATTATGATAAATAGATGGGAACATAGATTTCAGCAGAAATGGAATTTAATATGAAAATCAAATAATGGACTTTTGATTTATTTCAGACACTTTACACATACCCGGAAAACTTTAGAGCTTACAAGGTGCTCATTGCAGCTCAGTACTCTGGTGCTCAAATCAAGATTGCAGATGATTTCGTTTTTGGCGAGACAAATAAAACCGAAGCATTTTTAAAGAAATTTCCACTGGGCAAGGTAGGATTTTAGATTTTTCTGTTTGTTACTTATATTATGACTTTTTCGACGAACCAGCTGCTATGTTTTTTGAAGTTATATTAATAAATGAATGATTTATATTAGATTATGAAAGAAATTATTTTAATAAAGTTTAAATTTTCGAATTTTCTGTTAAATGTCTTTTTCAATCTTCGAATAATTGCATTATTTCTTTGGTTTATATTCTTCTCTATCAAAAGTTTAACAATATATGTTATTCTTTATGTAAGGTTCCAGCATTTGAAACATGTGATGGGAAGTGTATTACAGAAAGTAATGCTATTGCTTATTATGGTAAGGTTTATGTGTTTGTCATTTGTACAAGTGAAGTTAATGCATAATAAGAGTTCTTATTTCTTTTAGTGGCTAATGATCAATTGAGAGGTAAAACTGACCTTGAACGTGCAGAAATTATTCAATGGTTTGGATTTGCAGATTCAGAAATTCTTCCAGCTAGTTGTGCATGGGTATTTCCATTACTAGGAATTATGCCATATAATAAACAGGTACAAGTCAAAGCTATTTTTATAAATTCTCCTTTAAAGGCAAAGATGATTGAATATCCTAATTATTTTTGTAACTCAAGGAGATATATAAATACTAGCATATTGTTAGAATAAATATGATTTTTACATATGTATTAGATAATATGCGTACAAATTATAGCATTCCATATAATTTCTGAAATTATTAAAATTGAAAATGTTACAGAATGTAGAACATGCTAAAGATGATGTGAAAAAAGCTTTGACTGCCCTTAATTCTCATCTACTCACAAGTACTTACCTAGTTGGAGAACGACTGACATTAGCAGATATTAGTGTAGCTATGACATTACTTCATTTATATCAGTACATTTTGGAACCAAATTTACGTAAACCATATCAGAATGTAAATCGATGGTTCCAAACTGTTATTTATCAACCTGAATCAATGGCTGTAATTGGTGCCTTTAAATTGGCTGAGAAAACTCTTGAATATGACCCAAAGAAATTTGCAGAAACTCAAGGAAAAGTTAATATTATTTTTTTATTTTACAAAAAAAGTTATCTTTAATTTTGTAGTAACAAATTATGTTTACAGTCTTCAAAGAAAGAAAAAAAGGAAAAAGAATCTAAGAAAGAATCAAAGGAAGCAAAGGAGTCTAAGAAAGAGACTTCTGAAGATTTAGATCCAGCAGATGCAGTTTTGGCTGCTAATACAAATCCTTTTGATACATTACCTAAAGGCACTTTCGATCTTGATGATTTTAAAAGATTTTATTCTAATGAAGAGGAAGTAAAGTCTATACCTTATTTCTGGCAGAAGTTTGATCCAGAACATTACAGTATTTGGCTTGGTGAATATAAATATAACAATGAATTAACAAAGGTAAATTAAAAATGTTTACATACAGATAATATTATATTTGCATTGTCTCTAATATCTTCTATATATTTTGCATAGGTTTTTATGTCTTGCAATCTTATAAGTGGAATGTATCAACGATTAGACAAAATGCGAAAAGGCGCATTTGCCAGTGCCTGTCTGTTTGGTACAGATAATGATAGCAGCATCAGTGGTATTTGGATTTGGCGCGGACAAGAGCTTGCTTTTACGGTTGGTTCTTAACCTTTTTTTTTTTTTTTTTGATATTTTTTTGCATTACAGTAGTTCAAAATAATAATTGTACTTTTTTAACCAGTTGTGTCCAGACTGGCAAGTAGATTATGAATCATATAGTTGGACTAAATTAGATCCAACTAAAGAAGAAACAAAACAATTGGTTCAACAGTACTTCAGCTGGACCGGTACTGACAAGAAGGGGCGTGAATTCAATCAGGGAAAAATTTTCAAGTAAAAATTTGCCATATGCTTATTATTAAACAGAACATTTTGTTCGCATGAAATAAACGTAAAAAACTGATAAAATATTATCAAAGTTTACGTGCAAATCCTTAGAATCCTGTATTAAAATAGGGTGTTTCAAAAAAAAAAAAAGAAAAGAAGTGTTCCTTTCCATAGGTCTTTATTATATAACTTGATGTTTTTACCTTTTAAGTTTATATTGTGTTTAAAATATCATTCTAATACTAGTTTTAACACACCTTCTCCAGTATTTGGATTTATTTTAGCATTATATGAATATTGCTAATTTTTAATGAAATATGAATGACATAATATTTACTTCAGCATATACATTCGTAGAAATTTTTTTTTCATACAATTGCGTTAAATTATTTAATTTATAAATTGTTTTAATATATGTCATAAGCAAAAGTAATTTAATAGATTAAGAAGTAATTTTGCTCATTCATTATTGTTTAATAAAGAAGCATATAGCATGACTTTTTATAAAAACAGAAAATTATGAATACATTAAAACACATAAATATGCTGCTATACATACTATAATTCATCTTCCATATACTAGTTTGTGTGAACTATAGTTTTAAATATAACGCATATTTTTACAAAAATGAAGTTGTTGACTTTTCCACTACTAAAATAGATTTTTACGCGTTACACACATTATATTGTTATTTGAATACCAAATATTTAAAATTCAAGAACAAAAAAAGTTTTCTCGTATTTATTTTCAACTTTCTAACAAATAATTACAATTGGAAAATATTTTTCATTTTATATTTACAAAATATGTCTGCATGTAAATTACTACAATATTTAAAATCCTTTTTCATCCATCCACATTTTGATAAGATTCACATAATCTCCTCTAAATTGAATCTCACCTATGAGTTCATTAGTACGAACACCAATTGGCTTCTGGACTCTTTTCTCTATATATTCTTTTAATGCAGATTCAAGTGCCCAAATATCTCCATAAATTTTTCGCACAGTAGTTATTTTTCGCAATCCACGATGAAAAATTTCAAGATATACTGGTTGCATATAATTTTTTGTACGCTGTATATAGTATGGATGAACTTGTGGTTTAGCTGTTAAATAATAAATTAAAATAATAAATCTCATTTTAATATATAACATATATCATATCTCATAATAATACATACAAAATTGTGACTACGGTATTAATACATGGTATGAAACAACTTACCAACAGGTGGTTTCCACCCAGATGGATAATCTTTATTTTCTAAGCAAGGGACAGGTATAGTTTTTGGTTTAAGTAAACGTTGTATATATTCCCATTCTTGTGGATCTTTTGTTATTTTATAATCCGTAAATTTAGTAGAATCTATATACTGTGGTGAAGTTCTAAAACTTCCACATCTTTTCTATATGTACGAACGATGAAAACATAAAATGTTTCGAATAAAGTTTTTTAATAGAATTACATCATATATAAGAATTACTAAGCAATATGATTTATTTTTCTAATAATTTATTATTATTACCTCGTCTATATAAACATTTATAGGTTATAATGTAAGATCAAATAAACACAAATTTTATGAGGCTATATTTAGCACCTCTTTTTTTCTTTTCAAAGAAATTTAGGAGTAAAATTTTAATAAATAACTTTGAACTTTTCTCTATATTTATCATTGGGATAATATAATGTACATTTAATTTTTGTTTAACTTCTGTTTATAAGCTATCTTTTCATATGAATAATTTACTACTTAAAATTCAATTTGGCACATCTGTTGCTTTATCATATTTTTGCTCTGTTTATACTTAATACAAAATTTTATGAATTTAAAAATTGGGTATTTACATATATGACAAATCTTTCCATGAAAAGAATTAAATAAATTTGTCAAAGATAAAATTAAACAAAAACTAAGGACATAAATATTTTGCATGATTTTATTAGTGTGTAGCCCTTCGTTTCTTTATCATAAGACTAATCATTATGGAAACGAAGCAAGCTTTTGTCCCTTATCAAAAATTATGAAAAATAAAATATATTAATATGTAATACCTGAGTATTAGTAGGTAAAATTCTACTCAATGAATTATGCTCGCCAAAAGAGTGAGGAATAATTGTTGAAAGTTTGGAACGTGTGAAAAACCGAAGGGCAGCCATTTTGACTTCAGTAAATAAGGGTCGGTGGCCGCCATTGGTGCGCACGGGCGCGTCTTCCTTTTCGTTCTCGTGCTAGGTCGCGTTTTTCCCTGCGACGCGCTTATATTTCCAGCGTTTTTCGTTCTTAGGAGAAACTTCGTCTTACTTATTCGTGATTTTAATAAACGAACGTGTCATCAAGTGACCGTGATAATGTAAAATCAGACAAATAATGCGGGGTTAGTTATTGCAAATACTGTATAGATTTCGAAGTGCCGCGTTGTTCCAAATTTCGCTGGAAGATTGTTGCTATACAGCCGGGCTTCTTGAAACCGTTTTTTAGCTTACCAATAAGCACGGGTTTCTTAAAAAGTGAACGTATCATAGATATCGGTTCATATAAAACGACAAGGGTTGAATCCATTAAAATAACGCGTTGAATTAGTGCGAACGGACTATGGACCTGGGAGAGGTCGTGTGTTCTACCGTCAGGTGGCGGTAGCCTCAAAACAGTGGGACATCGTACAGACACCCTGCAACGGGACTGTGTTTTTCACAGAATTGTTTTCCGCGTTTTCCCGCAAAAACTACGCTCTTTGACGGTGATTTTTCATCTCAGAGGTAAGTATAAATAACAAATCGAAATCCGAAATTATAAATTCCCTTGATAACTCTTAATTAAGCGAGTAGTAAATCTTGGAAATTTCGAATTGATTCCGACCTTTTGTTTATTCGTGGCGATTTTTTCGCGATGATTTGTTACGTGATTTTTGATAGTTCTTGCCTACTTAACTCTCCATTTTCATCTTTGGAAGTTAATATATGACATGATCTTTCCACCGAAATAAAATTTTCCATGTTTGAGAGTATGATTATCGAAATATCGCGGTAAATATTTCAAAGTGATCCTCTGACCGAGAAGAGGCGCTCCGTGTATCCGTGTAAATGCAAAGTTTGTCACGTAATTTTTCTGACCGCCAGGGCCGCATCTATCAACCCCACTATCTGGCCGGCCGCTCACCTACTCACACCTAAGACAAATTATGTAGTTTTTCTACGTGGTATACAATCAATTTGTTCCTGTCTTGCTTAAAAGAGGAAAGGTATATTTTCTTCTCTTATAATTTAATTGTTCTATGTAATATATTTTCTGAAAACGAAGTTAACTTTTAATATAATACTTAATATCTTGAATATTTTTTTAGAGATAAATATGTTATTTCAGAGAATAATATACAAATAAATTCATTTCTTTAACTTTTTAAATGCATATTATTTTATTACTAGGAAAATTGACAAATTACTTTGAACTCTACAATGGTAGTAGTAAGTACCATTTGGTCAGTAATCAGCTTGCAATTTCATATTACAAATGAAATTGCAGGAGCCCAATGTGGGTGGAAGTGAGATGGCATCCAGGGAAAAGAAACCCTTAACGCCTTCCAAAGCAAAACAGAAGGCGAATAATGATTGTGGCTTGCCATCGAACGAAATTAAAAGTAGAAAAGGCAAGTCTTTGTCAAATCTAAAGCAACAGCAACTTACACGAGATATATTGGAAGCTGTAGCTACTGGTAGTCAACTTACTTCAAAATTAGAGACAAACCTGCCACGTAAAAAGGTTCTTAGAAATCTTAAACGTAAACAAAAGCTAAGAGTAGCAAAAGCAAACTTAATTAAATCTAAGGTTACAAGAAAAGTAACAAACAGAAATTTGTGTAGAATAACTTCTGATATCAAGAAAGGTGTGAGAGTTAAAAGAGTCAAATTATCTGAAGAGAACAGTGTTAAAACATCTGATATTAACTCAAAAATTTTAGAAAACCATATAAACGAAAGAGAGAGTGAGAGTATAGGAACAGAAGGAAGTAACAGAAGTGCCAAGAACAATCTCAGGACTAAAAAGACCAAGTTTATACCAAAAAATAGTGGAGAAGTAGAGAACGAGGAAATCGTGGACAGAGATATAGATTCAGTTGCTGGATCTAGTACTAAAAGCAGCCCAAAACTTAGCAGAAAGGGTAGAAACGTGGAAAATTCAGACTCTTTACCAAGAGGTGTTAAATCTACAAAATTTTCAGGATTCAAAAGAAACAGTATCAAACAAAAAGACACTTATATAAAAACAGAAAGTGATATTAAATATACAAAGGGAAGAAAGAGTACTAGAGATATAGATTACAGTAATACAAGAGTTTCAAAGTCACTTCTGGACTCCAAAAGTTCTATAGATCTTACCATAGACGAAGTGATAGCTTCAATGTTGAGCGATTCAGAAATAGACGGCCAACAGGGAATAACTGAAAAAATAGAAGGAAAGGTAACAAGAAGTAAGAAGATGTTGGTAGAGGAGAATATAGTCCCAGATATTGACATAAAAAAAGAACCAGACAGTGATGATATCAAAATTACTTCTGATGGAGAAAATATAGAGACAGAATCTGTTCAAAGTGCAATTCAATTAAGGAAAAGATCAAACACATCAATTACTCAAAGAAGTTTAAGAAACGGCAAGTTACGGCAGTCAGATTCTGTCATTACTAGTGACTTAGAGCTTAAAAAACGTCGAAGATTAAATTCGGATGATCCTAATAATTCAGAAGTTTCTATAGACAATACTGCAGATAGTAATATTGACACTGAATCTTGTTTTTCTGAATCAAGTGGTAATAACTCTCAAGCAATTATGGTACCAACCAAAGATGAGTTTTGTTTGAAACAAGAAACATTAAAAAACTTTGAAGACAATGCTCAAATTGGTTCAGAAATAGAGAACAATAATAACAGTGATAGATTAGATAAGACAAGTGAAATTGGTCCTACTCTTCGTTCAAAAACTAAAGCCAAAAGTATCGAGATCGAAATAAAAACTGACAATATGAAAGTTGAATATACGAGAATAGTACCTAAAAATACAGAAGTACAAGAAGAGCTGAAAAAAATTAGCAATTTAGATCAAGTTAGAAAAGATAATATTTTAGCGAAACTTTCTGATAAGTCTAAAGGCAGAAGAAGTAGCTTAAATATAGATATGAAAAAAACAGTTAATTCTTTTTATGCTACGGATAAATCAGATGGTAATCCTACGTCACAAATAGATCAAATGATAGAAAATATCAAACTTACAATCGCGAAGTCCATTGAAAGTAAAATTTTCGGTCCAGAAAAGGGTCTTGGATTAAATAAAAACTTTGAAGTACCAAAAATCGAAGAAATTATTGCACCATTGAGTGCTGAGTCTCAGAAATTAGGGCTGGAAGAAAGTACAGATGAGGATAAGTCTGTTATTTCCAAGAATGAAATCAAATCAGACAATTCAGAAAATTCAGTACCAAAAGTGGCTGACACTGCCAAAGAAATTGAGAAACTAGTCATGGGTGATATTGAACTAGCTGAAACTCACTCTCAGAATGTACAAGAAAGCGAGTCTCCAGATACTAATACAAGCAACAACACTCATAATACTTCTGAAGTTGTACATGCTACAAAAAACGATGATAATAGTTGCAAAGCTATAGAGCAACAGGAAGAATCAAACGAAATTTTTAATCTAATAGTAAAGTCTGAAAAGGATATAGAACAAGTTGGTAATGATCAAGTAGAAAGTTTAGTTGATGGTAAAAAACTTGTGCCTACTAGAAAATCTTCAAGGATAATAGATAAAGGTTGTCTTGAGAATAGTGAAACTGTTAAAAAATTAAGTAGAGTAATAAATAAAATAGCTCAAAGATCTGAAAACAGTGAAGAATCTTCACAAGATTCTAGTAAATTTGTTTCCGAGGAAACTACTTCAAATGATGAGCTGCTTAAAAATGAATCAACAAACAAAGCAGTCACTATAGAGTCTTCAGTTGCTAACACAGTAATTGCATCGATGCAGATACTAGAGAAGATTGCAGGGGACAAAACAAAGTCAAATCAAACAGTTGCATGTGAGATTGAGATTTCTGGAACTACGATTATGGAATCAAATGATGTAGAAACCTTAGAAAGTATTTCTAAGGAAGTAGAGAGATTAGTAGCAGAGGATCATTCTAACAATCAACTACAAATGAGTACAAAAGAAATGCAGCGTAGAAATGAATCTACAATTACAATTGTAGCAGAGTTACAGCAAGAAATATTGACAGATACATTAATAGATAACGAAAAACAAGAAATAGTTTCTGTTAAAACTGATAAATTAAAAGATAACGATGACCAAGGCAAACCAGAGATAGTAGAGAATGCCAAAGAAGTTGAAAAATTCGAAGAAACCTCATTTGAAACAACGCATATTGCTACAATGGAGAAAAGTAATTATGAAGCACTAGTTCCCTGTTCTGTTTCTAGCAATATGTGTGAACCTATTGAAGACACGAAAAAATACACAAATGGCAGTGAGAAAAACGATAAATGCAAGGAAGGTAATGATACCGATAATAATAATGCTGTCGATAATATTACCGAGAAGAAAGTAATTTTGTACGATAATTTAGAGAACACTGATATGATAGTAGCAGAGGGGGAAACAGAAAAATCAAATAATGTTATAGAGGAGCAGAAGTCTGTTAACGATGATAATAAGAAACGAGTATTAAGAGCACGCGAAAAAACGAAAAAGCTTGAAAAGGGACAAGCATCATGTAATAAAGATCGTAACGAAGGTGTTTCAAAAATTCAAACAGAAGAAAGTTTTCAGAAGTCGCAGGACTCTCGCAATGAGGAAAATATGCAGGACTCAGATGAAAAAGCTGAGGAATTAATTACAGAGGACATAGACGACACCCAGAACTGTACTGAATTGGACACAAACGATCTAGAACGTCAAGCTCGTACTAGACGTAATAGAGAAGTAAAGAAACGCAAAGAGGATCAATTAAGTACATTAAAAAATAAACGAACAAAACGGGACGTTCGAAGATATGATCAGCAGAATAAGGAAGAGACCCTTTTAGATAATGAGGTAGCAAAGATCAATGAGAATAATCGATCCTTCTTAAATAAATACGGAAACGAAACGGAATGTGCAACAAATTTCAGAGGCTTCTCAGAAGGTGGTAGAAGAAGCTTGGAAAAGCCACAAAATACTACGGATAATATTAGAAGTAAGTCAGAAAATGACTTGACTATTGTAAAGGAGCCAAGCAAAACAACTTGTGATAATAGATTGTCTCGGAACTTATCCGAAAATCATGTTACTAAACAAGTAGAAAATATTGATATATTAGATGCTGATTGTAAACCTACAAAGACACCGGAAATATCTCAGAAAGACTCTGATGAGACATCCACGTCTAGTGAATCTTCCAGCAGTGTCAATATTATTCCAAAGATTTTGGAGACACCGGAAGATAAGGCAAAAAAAGAGTCGATTTTGAGACTACTTGGTTTGGAGTCTCTGGAGAAAGCTGCGGAAAGGTTAAATCATCAGAAGGCTAAGAAAGAGCAGTACACAGGTACTCTGAAGACTGTAATCCGTGTTCAAAAAGAAAAGGAAAAGGACAAAAGGCGATCAAGGTCACCACTGAAGATGGTGTTGAAACAAGGCCGTGGAGATGGCGAAGGAGACTCACCTGAAAATTTTTACACTATTCAGAAGGAGGTGAGTTTTATAGGAACACAATAAATTGCTGTTCATTGAATAATATAAAATTTTGTCACTTATTTATCGATTTGTTCTTTATTTTTCAGTTTGGAACCAGTGGTTGGGGAGATAGCAGCTCTGGTGCGAACCGAAAGTTCTCTACTAACCACAGACACTCTTGCGGTAATCCTGGTTGCGGGAATAACTACATTCTTAATCGTTCCTTGTCCTACTGCTTTGTTGAAACACACGTTTCTGTTTATTATACAATCTCTGCCTTTTGTGAAAAGAATTTCTTGATATTTGTTTTTAACGATTGGTCTTTAATTGAGATATTTATTACCTCATTTGTAATCCTTCTATTATCTAATATCAAGCAATTCTTAAATTTGCGAATCACCTAAGAAAAATCCTGCAAATCGTATTCATAACAACTATACAGATTTCCATAACAAGCATGTTTTCCTGTGCTACCGCTTCAAACATCAGTTATATTTACTCTCTAATCTTTTAATTATATTTCAATTAAATCGATCTCATTCTATCGAAATACCGAATTAAAGCATTTAATCTATTAATTTCTATCCATTCTGTAATAATTGGATAATTTATTATTTTGTTACAACAGACGAAGATAATGAAGATACAGCACCAAAGGATCGTCAGTCTCTTGTCATTCCAGAGAAGTCTTCTTCCTTTTCCATTCATCCGGGGCGTTTATGCGCAGACGTATGTTGTTACTGTTTTGGAAAGTTTGGTTCTTTGGACACACCAATGCATCTTGCCCAGATGAAGTCTGATGAGAGACGCAAGAAGATTTTAAACATAGAAAGACATTTAACTAAAGATTCTTGTTTATGTGATGCCTGTTATCGTCATGTAGACAGAAAAGTGAGAACTTGCTCTATAAACCTTCCTATATCATTTAAGTTGTTTTTAAATGTTTTATGTTATCATGTAAAATTTTATTGCTATCTAGGCAAACACAAGTCCAACAAACATGCAAACAAAACCACCAAAACAACACAGGCAACTCATGGTATCCAAGTGCTCGGCCCGCGAGTGTAGAGACACTGCACGGCATCATGTTAAACGCCGATGGTTACTCAAAATAAAAACTGGTCTGCAAAAACAGGTAAATGTATCATATTATAAGATGTATAATATTATAATTTCTTTGTAAAATAATATGAAGAAAGTGCAATGAAATTTAAAATGTAATTTGTTTTTAAGTATCGAAATTTAGAGATGCGTTTAATTGAATTTAGTACAAATAGCTATTATAGTAACAAATATATTTTCAATATAGGTGGACATTGACTGGGAATCGAGTCAACACACATCTATGTCATTTTGTGTCAGTCATTACTCAAAGATCGAACGATTCTTGACTTGTGCGCTCTGTAAGCGTCGATTAGCAAGGAATCATACTCATCAACTAGCAAATGCGGAAACTGACGAATTGAACCAATTACTTGGACAACAAGGGATTCCCGTCATCTTGGCAGCCGGTACTTTCGTTTGCAAGTTATGTCGTTACTTCACGCAATTACAGCTGAAGTACAAAGATGTGGAGAATATGAATACAAATCATAGATCGTTCTTCAAGAGCTATCGAAAGAGGTACGATTTACTAATATATTTAAAAAAATCAATTTTTTTAATGGGACATTTATTTTTGTTTTGTTCTTTTTATGTGTTTAGAATCCTGCACTATCACGATATTGAGGTTTTGGAGAACGAAGACGAAGATTCCTCTCAGAATCAATCTAAGGATAAAGATAAGGATAAGGACAAACGTAAGAAGACAAAATGTAGTACTCAACCTAAGACTGGAATTTTCAAGTCTCAAGATGGCACGACGAATTCCATCTCTGAAAAATCTATTCCGGAACCCAATAAAAACGAGGGAGCTAATTCCGAGACGGATAATGAAAACCGTATCACGAAAAATTTGAGTGATGAGAACGTCACAACGGATGTGCAATTTCTTGGTATTGAGAGCACTGTGGAAAAACTGAAAAAACGTAAGCTACTAGACATGCATTCGTATACAACATCAGATACAACGATATCTTGTGATAATCCAAATGAGGTCGTTGAGATTCTTGCAATGGATAAGGAAGTGACGTTAACTAGATTGCCAAAGAGACCAAGAACGAATAATGATATTACCCCGGTTGTACAGAGACTCGGTGCTAATCCCTCCATTAGTGTGCGTACCCTTTTCCCTGGTGAAGAGGAAATGAATCTTCATGCTAATATAGAATTTACAAATGTTCGAGAAATAACACCTCAGGGATGGGAAAAATGCGCTACCATGATACAATATGATAGAGATACAAAACTTCTCTGGCAAGAGCTACAGAGACCATATGGAAATCAGAGTTCATTTCTTAGACATTTGATACTTTTGGAGAAATATTACAGATCCGGTGACTTAATTTTAGCTCCGAATGCATCGCGAAATGCGATTAATTACTCGACTTCTGTGCAGAACCGATTAATATCATATGAAGGTCCAGAAAAGATGGATGAACCAATAATGGAGCCAATAGCCTCGGAATATCACAATTCTCGTCGATTAAGTGGCGGTTATGTGCTGGAAAGGGACAAACATTCTTTACCAAACACGAGTACTCCCAAACAACTACCATCTACAAACACTACGCAATGCATAAAGGGTAGTCCTCCACGAATTCTAAAATTGAATCCTGGAGTATCGATAATTAAGAAACCACCTCCTAATTTGCAACGACTAAATCTTCCATCCACTAGTACTGCTACCGCGAATGGTAACGTAAAACGGAAGGATGGTCAAAAGTTACCAACTTCTTCTGGTGGTAAGGTGTTTCATTTAAGTGAGCCTGACTTTAAACGACTGCAAAATCTAAAGAAACAAAAACAACAGATGCTCACGGAAAAACAATCGAATGGTGGTTCGAGTAACTCAAGTTCGCCACCAACTTTAAAGTCGACTACACAGTACCAAAAAGCTCAGATCGCTGCGCACACGCAGTTCCAAAGGCATCTGAGAATGCAGCAGGAGATGTTGAATCGACAAAGCAGGAGCGATTTTGAGCCGTTAATTTGTGATGTGCGTGCGTTGACGAATGAGAATACATCGACTCAGAACCTCTTGCATAATTTGAATCTACCGAAGTCAATCCAAGTGACGACCAAGACGTCCAATCAAATTCCGATATTGCCAAAAATTCCGAAGTCTTTGACGGTGATACCACAAACGGTCACCAGACCTGCCGAGAAATGAAAAGAGTGGACAGAGTGGGAGTGAACAGTAAGTAAACAAAATGTAAATGTTAATTTTTTTAGACGCAAGCGTACACAATAATGACGTTTATATTCGGTTCTGGGTGGAAGGGGAAATTATAAGACAAAAGAGATGATCGGCTATTTATAACGAACAATTTATTTGATCGGCTACTCTCAATAAACAACAATTATTCGTCAAACTTTGCACTTCGATGCTGATTACAAGGAATAAAGTGACAATGAAAAAGTTTTGCGGAATTAGTTAACGTTCAATACAAGAAGCGACAATATCTACCTTATTAAAATAAAAAGAAAAAGGAAAAAAAAAGAAGAAAAAAGAAAAGGAAAAAAAGAAAAAAAAGAAAATAGCGTGCGGATACGAGAAGAATTTTGCACTGCTCAAAAGGAAACGGGTTTACGACAATTAACAGATGTTCGTCAATGCACGTTCGAGGTGTAATTGTACACACGCATGCGTACATGGTGTAATACTATGTTAGAAGAACGTTTCTTCAAAACATAATACAATGGTAAGGAAAAGCGAAAGAAACGGAAGAACAATAGTTAACGATGTTGCAAACAAACAATTGAAGCAGTAGTGTGAAAAAGAGTGGCGAAACATAGAATAAAATCTATTTCCAAGGAAAAGTGCCTAAAAAAAGAATGTATGACGCAAACGAAGTTTGTTAGTTTTTAAATGACAGAATATAATATGTTGAACGGACTTGAAATACACGCCATACATATGATTAATTATTTATATATATATATTATAT